AAATTATTATAATGTTTGTTTTAAAATTATCACAATGATTTTTATCTTTTAATTTCTTTAAAATTGTTATAGGTACATCTTTTTACTTCTCTATTTTAATATTGATGACATTATAAAGTAATTTGCTTGTCTACTTTTTTTAGACGTCCCACTTAATTTTGAGACTATTAGTTACACGCTTCACATACAAATTAATATTGAAATAACTCACAAGGAAAAACAGCTTCTGTAAAACATGCATAAAACTTTGTTCTTGAAAACTTAGCCATATTTAACAGTTTTCACCAACATGTTCGATTGCCTTCCATTTTAGTTCACAACATACAGCAACTCACGCTAACTCATCTTATTTTATAACTGCTTATATCTATAAATAAATTTTGATAGATCTTTATGCATCACGAACCCAAAATCAAAAGTACATTAAGTTTTGCAAACAAACATAGCTTGGAGAACAATAAAAATGCCATTTTTGGAATCTTTAAAGAGGTTTCTGTATTACCTAATAAATACCACAAAATAAAACATATGATTTGACGACTATGAGTTTATGTTCTCTAGGATTCATTATTACTGCACTTCTGTTTACAACTTGAACTTCTTGAAACTGAGTGAGTCTATTTAAAGGACTATCAACTTTAATTCTTCTGTTCGAAAACATCATTAGCTTTCTATTGTCTTTCATTTGTATCATCGAATAAGTTTCAGCTGTGAGAGAACTTTAGATTGGAAATGATTTGTTTTTTTTATTTTAAATTTCGCGAATTTGGAAACTGGAGACGCAAATTTGGATGAACAAAAAATACAAATACTAAATTTAGAGTAAATTCTAAACATAAACTCATTTGGGGTTTTTCTTCTAAGTTCAGATAATTTTTATTGAAATTTTAAAGTCATCCAAAAAGATGTGTTACTTTTCTTTTATCTTATGATTATATTTCTGTGTGCTTAAAATGCAATTTCGATTCCTCAAATAGCGTTTTGAATGTCAAATACTTCTTTCTGAATTAAGTAAAGAAATAATAGTGAAAAATGCACTTTTTTTAATAAACACCATTTTGTTAGGCATATTTCTAAATTAAAATTCAAAATCTGTGTGCTTTATCTGCAATTTATGAAGTATGGTCTCAATAATTAAGTTCGAAGAGGGGTCGAAAGCTTGCCCTACTTAATGCTGTTTTTATTTTTAGTAATGGTTCAAATTCATACAAATTTTGATGTCATTTTAAATTACCTAATTTTAAATAATGTAAATACTTTCTACCTTGCAGTTAAAAATTTCCGATCAAAAAAATAAAGTGTAAAATAACATAAAAGTAATTAATAAATATTAAAAATTATTTCCTGCTTCGTATTATCTTTGAAAAAAACTAGTTTTACAACTATGGGCAGAAATTTTTTGATTCGTTTATGAAATTCCTGAAATATAGGGAAGTACATAAAATGAGAAATAAACACTAAGAAGTTCACACTTAACTCTGCTCTCCGGATTGAACTATTGAAACCATATTTTCCAAAATTCTACTCTCCCCCAGAAAAAGTTTTTGTGTCTAATTTTGCAACCTAAAACATTGCATTTACAAATAGTTTAGCATATTTAAGGCGCTTTTAATCATTAAGATTGCATCTAAATGCGTGAAAATACACTTACTAGATCAAAAGTTATTACAATTCTTGCCCCATACATCTTAATCACAGTGTGCAGATTGCAAAAGAGTTAAATGTCGAGTGTAGTAGAACAAGGATCGGAATCGATTTTATACTAAATTAAATACAAACAAAATTTCGTACCCTGGGTTGAACGTAGTTGTAAATTAAGTAATATATTAAAAAGATAAAAGGAAACCTTGGAGAAAAGTTACTTAAGTTTCTAAATGCATTTTCTATGGAAGACAAATTTCCTGAGACAGCAAACTTCAGAAAAATTACTAGAGTTCAGATTTTTTTGTAGGAAACAAATAAGTCAATCTTATTTCAGAAGGAAAATGAAAACTTGCAAAAGAAATAATTTGATTTGTTACAAATATTTTATTTCTTAACAAAATTTTAATTTTTAATTAGAAGCTTTTTTGAGCTTGAAATGAATAAAGAATGATGAATAAAATGAATGACAATGAATAAAAGAATTCGATGAATAAAAGAAGTTAATGAGCAACCAATAGAATCAATATATTTACAAGGTGCAAATATTTTTATTATGCCATATTCCAAAGTTTCAATCAATAATTACTAGATAAAGGTTTCTAAAAGTAATGATAAAAAATGATAGCTTATAGATTAGCAAAAATAGAGATGGAAGTTTTTGTAAGAACATCGTAATACAGTAATATATATTCTTGTCAGAAGAATTTCGCGATTTCCCTTACTAAACTAAAAGCTCAATATTATAGATAATATGATAATTAAATAACTGCTTAACTTTAGATAATCTCCCTTTTCAAAGAATACTTTCCTATTAATCTTTGTATTTCTAACAAGAGATTGTCTAAGATTTGTTTTTCACCTCTTTAAGAAGATTATCTATTGCAATCATTCTAAGCTTCAGTATCTAAATAGGAAGTAAAATCAAATGAGTGTCAAAACTCATTAGTTCCTGTAAAAAAATAAAATTTTAAGTTTTCGAAATCTATCTAAACCGGTTTTTAATCAAAGCTTACTCACACTACATTCTTATGTGCATGAATGAATTGAAATTTTTCCCCCTCCGTTTTCTGGTCTAGCATATTAAAATTTTGAGACAGAATTAGGAATCTAAGAAAAGAGAAAACTACATGCTTTTTTTTCGTTTTAGGCTTGACAAAAATGAAACCGTTTTCTACGTTATAGCTTACTTGCAAAACATAGATTTCCGAAGTTTTTATTTAATTTTATAGTTTCCTCTTTTAATCGGAATAAAGTTTCTAATAATTACAAAATTTAGTTGAAAAACCTGTAAAGGAAAATTATGCAAAAATTCTAGTTTTGGTCATATTTTGATTTGTTTTAAAATACAGAAAAATAATTAATTCTGCTATTTTTTTTCTTCATAGTTAAATCCAGTGCAGGGTGATACTGGAATTTTGATATTGAGATATATTATCAGTAAATATCGATATACTGAGACATATATTCCAATAGACATGCGAGTATTTACATTCGACAATATTATCATAACCAGATTGGGAAAAAAATTATTAATAATTTTAAAAAATAAGTAATTAGGAAATTATGAAAAAGATAAGTAGAGTAATTCAGACTAGAAACTTACGATTGTGACGTTGTCCATAATTATCTCGATATATTCTTATTCAATAATTATAGTTACCGATAAATACAACAAAGTTATCGTCAGCTATAAATATCGTTTACATTAATAGTCATTATTATATACGATAACTATTTATTTGTCGCAAAACAGGTATTAGCGATATGTCTTGAAATATATTTTAAACTATCTTTATATGGATACTTAAAAAATATTGATGCTCCATGATATAACGCTATACAGCCCAACTTTAATGAGAGTAAATTTTTTTAATTAGATCTTAACTTAAACTTTAAAAATGCATTATAGGGTCAGGACAAATTATTTCGACAGAACTCTGATATAAATTATTTTTAAAAGTGTTCTTTACTTTTAAATTTATGAATGGCAATGAGAAGTAATGTTTCTGGGAGTCAAATTTTTCACGTATCCTTAATTCATTTGAGTGAGTTAATCTTCGATTGAAAATTCTACATTGAGCCAAATTATTATAATCAAACTTTTCAAAAAAATATACTTAATAATAAGAATTTTTTTTAATCATTTATATAGAAGATTGTAAAATCAAATCTGAGGTTATTGCTAACTAATATACAATATTATACTTCACAATTCGTACATTTCACAATTCGTATATTTCATGCCATTAAAGCCTAAAAAAATTTCTTCTTATAATCAACAAAACTCCAATTAAGTTCACAATTTTCCCTACTCTACACTATTAAAACGAACCAAAAAAATTATTTTTTACAAGTAACAAAAACTCTATTTAAATTCAAACTCTCAAGTCCGTACCATTAAAAACTGAAGAAAAAAAAACTTTATTATAAATGAAAGTTCTCCTTTATTGATGGGCACTTACTATGAAACGTAAATATATAGTAATAGTGGCACTTATCGGTTATCCGGACCATCAGTTGGTGACAACTCTGCAAAGCGGTCGCCAACACATGTTCCCTTTAACTTATAGGTGCTGAAATTTTTAAATATTTCACGATATGGAACAAAGAGTGATGATTGTAACTGAAGTTTCATTATAAGTTAATTATAAGTGCATCATTATGATCAGTTGTAAGGTAAAAAGTAAAACAATTTTACTTCCTTCATCATGCAAGCTTATTGCGGGACCCGATTGCACCATATTATCAAACAAAGTTAATTCGTTTTTAACTTGATTGCACAATATTATTGATTTAAACATCAATACGGTTTAACTTAATTATTCATTTAGGCTACTGCAAAATTATGCACTATAATGACAAAGTTGAACCGATTTATTCTGCAGATGCAGATATTAGTATCATCGAAAAAGGCAATTCGATATGTACTTTCTTTACACATAACTTCATGCTTTTCTTTACACATATAATTGATTTACGTTATTTCAGCAGCAATTTCAAAAATCCCATGTATTACAGTAAGAAAACTAAAGAACTACGATGCTTTTTAATCTTAAAAATTTTCAAATTTCTGAGATCCTAAACAACATCAGGCTAATTGTTTATTTATTTAGTAACAGATTAAATTAAACATGAATAAATAAATATTGCTTATAAGTAATTTTAAAGAACAATCCAAATTTGGTTTACAAACCAGGCGTAGTTTTTCCCAATCCTTTATGTCAAGGCACTGGAGTAGACTACTCTTCGTCGTTAGATCTAAATACTGTCTTATTAACTTCGCTTTTTCTCAAAGCTTTAGTTTGCTATTTGTTTTTAATCCATTTAATCTCACATGAATTGTTTTCATTTTACAGCTACTTGCATGGTCATTGGTGTGCTCACATTTCCAGCCGGTTGGGATTCAGAAATTGTGAGAGAAGTGTGCGGACCACAGGCTGATGACTACAACCCAGGACAATGTGGAGTACGATGGGCTTATATCTTAGCTATTATTGGTGTTTGCGACTGTGGAGTGCTGGCGGCTTTGGCATTCGTTTTGGGTACTCGTTATGTTAAACTACTTCCTGAAAACTACATTACTTCAGGCTCTCTATACAAAGGTAATATTTATTTTCATACACGGGACAACTATGTTACCTTTTTTAATTGGATACTTGCAAGCGACGTCACTCGTGAATCAGCCAATCAGGTTCAACTCACACGCGTGGCAGTGCTTGCAGGTATCAACTAAATCTAATCCGAAAATTTATTCAGAGTGATAATAATCTCAATTCTTAAAGCTGTAAAGTAAAAACGCTATGCACAGTGCAGAAAAGAATGGAACACCCCGAATAACTTTAAATATAATGATCTTCACTTTCTAGGACACAATATTAATGATTTGAGGAGGTGACCTCAAATATGCTAATTAATAAGTGTAGACGATATTTTAAGTTAAAAAATCAGGCACAAAAACGTACTCTCTGAATAAATATGCCTTTTTTTAACGAATTTATTTCCTAGATTGCGACTGCTCCTTACATTTTGGGGGTCAGAAATTCAAATCCGTCGAAAAAGGGGTAGGTTTATTTTAAAAAAACGTTTCTGTGCCTTATTTCGTAACTAAAAATAAACGCCTGCACTTTTTATAAATTAACATATTTGAGGTCTATCCCTTGAGTCATTGAGTCCTAGAACGTGAAAATCCGATCATTAAATCAAAAATTATAGGGTGTTCCGTTTTTTTTTTCGTGCACTGTGCAACCACGTGATTAGACACAACCATGTGATTAGTTGCAAGTATCCAACTGGTAGCAAGTACACATTCGTAATGTTAAGTATGTATTACAGTATTCTTTGCCAAATATTTATTTTTTTAATAGTATAGTTTACTTATTATTCACACACTTAATACATCCTTCTATATTATTTAGAGAAATATTAATGCAATTCAGGTAATGAAATGGCGTCTACGAACTTCATTTTTGCCTATCAGATAGCAGAGATGTCTAAGCAGGCATCTCTTTGCTTATTTGTCCACTTAAAATTCATCGAAGAGTTACAGATTGCAACCAATAGGAATACATCTCTATTGGAATGTGAATACAACTCGCCTAAAAGAAATGGTGCAAACCCCAACTGATTGATTTTTTCCAATCAGTGATATAGTTCAGCCCTTGGCTTGGACATTTCTATATAGTAATTTAAGCAACTTATAAATGACAGGATCGTCAGCTTGAAATTTATAGTATAGATATCATTAGTCACTATTAAAAAAAATCTCTGTCAACTATTAAAAAGTACCTTGAAAAACATTTACTGGAAATAAGCAGCATATACTTGCATGAGAATAAATATTATTTTAGTACAATAAGTTCTTTTTAGAAAAATCGAATGATCTAAAAAAAAACATAAAAAATGAGAATAAACTGTTTAATAGCTCAATAAACTAATTCGAAACTTGGAACTTGAATAACATGAGGTGTAGTGCCTATCTTCAGTACATTGCTGCTGAAATCTTAACTTTACTACCATACCCTCCAACTTATGAGGATTTTGAAAATAATTCTTTCTAGTGGTAGCGAAACCAAAGTAGAAATTTTTAAAGCAAATGGATCTCTCATAAAACTTTTATCAGAACTTAAGAATCTAGCCATGTGGCCTGCACTTTTATAAGTAATAGTGGACAAGTTACGCTAAAATTAATTTTTTTTTAAATATTAAGACTTTTATTTTGCTACCGTCAGAAAAGAAGATTTCTGAAACTACGGAAATTCCGTAGCAGTTGGACGGTATGTTTACTACTAATAGTTTTCGCATTAAAAGAAATATCTAACTTAAAGTAAGTCTTAATCCTAAGTACACATTACACGGGTTTATTTGGTGACATTGGCGTTGTTTGGAAGAGCAATAAAGTTAGCAATCGTAGTTATAGATATGGTAAGATTCGTTGGGTTATTGCTTTTTTTCACAGCATATTTATGAATTTGCCCTTTTCAGATTTTCATTGTATTTGGATTTTTTATGTTTTTCCCTATGCTAACTCCTGGCGACAATCGTAAAAACGTCATTTTAGGCATTGGTAACAGTTTGGCGACAATCGTAAAAGCGCCATTTAGGCATTGGCAATAGTTTGGCGACAATCGTAAAAACGTCATTTCGGCATTAGCAGTAATTAGGCGACAATCGTAAAAACGTCAATCAGGCATTGGCAGCAGTTTGGCGACAAGCGTCAACGTAATATTTCAACTTTGGTCAAAAATTTTCCAAGTCGCGTCGGTGGCTCAGGGTATAGAGCGCTCGCCTCTAAGTTGAATCGGGTTCGAATCCGAGCGATAGTTATTCGATATGAATTCCACACCCAACTCGCACCATCCACAGTGCTGTCGTGAAATATCCTCAATGGTAGACATATCATGTCGACAGGTCCCCTACCGTCAGGCTAACCATGGGAAGTTTTCATGGTTTTCCTCTCCATGTAACGCAAATGCGAGTCCCATCAAAAAGTCCTCCTTGAAGACAAATTCTACCTAATACTTGATCCAGAAGTTCCCTTGTCTTCTGGATTGGGTTCAAAATTAAAAGGCTACGAAGTTTAACGTTAGTAGTCGTAAACCCAGAATTGAATCGGCTGTGTAACGACGTGCCAAGTGTGTAACTTGTACAAGGATTTCAATAAAGTAACTAAAAAAACTATCATACCCAACTAACCATTTTTACACCAGATAGTTCTTTAAACCAAAAATATATAAAATTTTAATTTAAAATTTTAAATTTTTTTATGCGACAGATTTTGAGAGGAAAAAGACCGCGAGGTGAAAATTTTCTAAAACAGTGGCCATGACTAAAATGCTAGTAATTTCTTTAAATATATTGAAAGAACAGCAATAAATGAAAAATAATCCATTTAAGTTTTTTTTTAAGTAAAGTACTCTTTAACTCTAACGTCATTAAAAGACAAATATGTTAATTCAATTAAATATTTCAATAAAATTAAATATTACAATCAATTAAATATTACAATAAAATTAGTTAAATATTACTACTATTATAAATCAATTATTTCTACCACATCTAAGAAAATATGTTTGCTGTGTAATTTCGTGAGATAATTGAAGTTTTAAACTCTGACTGCTTTAAATTATCATAAACTAAAATCCAGCTTCTTTAAGGAGAAAAACTAATTACTTTTACCAACCGCAGTTTTTTTTATATAAATAACGAAACTGGTATTGTATTGTTGTACTTAAAGTTAAACACCACTTAAATTGCTTTAATTCCGCGTTGTTAAATACTGTATTGACAATACAGAACCACTATATTTGCACTCAAATACTCAATTACGTAGATTATAATCTTCGTAATAAAATATTTGAATAAAATATTTTTACAGCCTTTCTTTGTTATTGCTCAAATCATTTCCATGCGATCTTTAATTCATTTTCTTGGCATAAATAATTGTATATATGCCTAATAATTGTATAAGAAGGACAAGTTAGGAGAAGAAGAAAAAGAAATGAAAGATGTCAAAACTAAATTTGAAGAAATAATTTCAAATGCATTTCCATTATCTTACATAGTATTTGTGATTTCCTCACAGTAATTATGTTTTCTTGCTATGAAATTGAAGAGGTAAAAAAGCATTTTGAAAATGAGAGCTACAGCAGCGCTCTTCATATTAATTTTAAGAAGTTTTACTGCACATGAAAGGAAATCTTGAAAAAAATTAAAACTTTTAATTTATTTCTCTGATCATTTAAATGAACCAGTAATCATTTATTTTCCTTACACAGAAATATTTATTTGGTACTTTCGGTTAGCGCAAGCGAAAAGTCACCAAAAAAAGTAGACCTTCGCCAAATTTTTTTCTTTAAATTTATTTATTTCATTTAATTTTCTAAACGTATAAAAATTAAATAAATAAAATTAAAAAAATAATAATTGAATTTCCTTGCACCAACCAACCAAAAAAATACACTATATTTTGTAAAGTTAGCCAATTCCACACATTTCTAAAACTATTACAGTTTTTAAAAATTCAATTTGGTTATACATAAAAAATAACGATGCCCAAAATAAAATAAAAAACTATATTTTATTTATTTCACTTAACCTTTAAATTAACAAGTTTTAATTTCTTAAATCAAAAAAATACTTTGTAAATAGTTTCCCAAAGTCGTATACATTCGAAAAGCTTGTTTTATCGAATTCACTAAAAATTCATAACATGTTCTTGCACTGAATATAATGTAACGTGATGTTGGTATTATATATTAAAGGCTTTTATGACTTTCTAACCAGTTTCTTGTATTGGCATTTGAATAAAAGCGTATAATGTGTATATTTCTTCAAGAAATAATTGATTATTCATTAAACTGTTTAAAAAAAATTAATTAAAAACGTGGTGAAAACTATATTGAACTATAACCTATTAGATATAAAATTACTAAGCAACAGCTTTTACAATTTGTTAATTCTTAATAATATGTAAACAAAATTATTATTAAAGTGTATATAATTGTAATCAATGTTAGGTTATTTTCTACTTTTTTTTGCTTAATTTCATCATACTTTGGCTCCTTAGCCTGACATGACCCTTCTTGCCTTCAACCATTTATTCTACCATTTCAGTTCAAAGTTTCTTCTTGGTCGTGATTTACCATTGCTTAAAACGTCTCCTTAACGGTTATTAATTGAAGTTGTCCCATGTTTTCTCAATTATGAATTCCTGAGTTATTTTAGTAAATGACAAAAACCCATAAATTATCGATAGTGTAATCGATGTTGTTGTATTAACAATTTTTCTATGTATTTCTACTGAAATTGCTCTTGAGAAAATTCTTCCATTTAGAGAAATTACAAATGCAATTACTTTTCTTTTAGCCTTAAGCCAGGTTGTAGGATTAATTAATATTACTTCAAAACATGGAGAATATATAAAGGCAGAAAAATGCGTATTTTTAATCTTTTATACATAAAATACTCATTTTTTTTCCAATACACATTTTTCAATTGATTAGTAACGCAATTCTTATTATTATGAAATATTTTTTGTTGTGAAACTTTTTCTTGTTGAATATCATTTTTTTTTCTTTTATACTATGAACCAGCAACGTATATCTTCAGTTTAAGGCTTGTAACTTTAAGATTTACTCAGATTTTTTAATTCAACATACAAAGATAGCAAGTAAATGCTCACCAAAGACTGATATCTTCATCAGGCAGTAATATGTAATGACAAAATTATAAATATTGTTATCTACCTGATGATAGATACCGCTTTCTAAAACGCGCGACTTTATATTTTTATTTAACTTTGCTTAAAAAGTTTAAACAAACATTTTTCTCTCAAAAAATATACTTGTAAACCTAATATCTTGATTATTGAGTTAAAATATAGAATTTAAGTAGAGAGAGTATTCAGTTTGGCGGCAAATTTCAGCTATACAATTTCGCTGAAACCTTGTTTTTGGTGATGATATTTTTTGCTTTCATTGACGTCACTTCCTGGTTACTTCCAATTCTCTCTAAATATGCTCAATTGGGTTTAAATCTGGTGATTGAGGTGGTGTTTTTAAAGCTCGTGGGCAATTATAGAAGCACCAGAGACGAACGTTGAGAGCCGTATGCTTCGAATTGTTATCGTGGTGGAAAAAATGCCGTTCCCAATACCTACATTTTTTGCGGATAAATTTAAATTACCTCTTAAAATATATAAACAAACAACATGATTCATTATGCCATCACTCCTTAGTCATGATACTGACACGAACCCCCACCGCTATGCTAAACTGTTTTAACTAAGTTCTTAATATAAGGTTCCTAATTTGTTCTTCTCCATGCAATTGTACGCTCATTGGAACCAAATATGTTAAATTTCCTTTCGTCATCAAATAACACGTTTTTCCAATGCGTTTGGAGTTAACATAAATTTTATGAAGAAAAGCCTAAATTTTTTATTTTTCGTACTAACCAAAATTTTTCTACTGGTAGGCAGTCCATTTAAAGAAACTGCTCTGAGAACTCAATTGAAATTTCGGGGGAAATTGTAGAAGAAAATTTTTTATTAAATTCAGCAGAAACTTTTAGAGCACTCAAACGTGGATTTTTCACAAATTTTTGAACTATAAATCTCTGATCACGTTCTGTTAACTTTCCTTTCCTTGTTTTCAATCCGATTTTTTTTCTTTAAAGCTTTTAGCCCTATACTACTGAATAGATCTATTAACTTTGCAATATTCCAAACTGATTTACCTCTATTATTATGAAAAATAATGAATCTTCAAATGATGTTATTTGTTTCTTTGTAACAAATTTATAAATAATTAATAGAATATTGCAAATTGAGCCAGAAAAAATTAAAGTCAAACGTTTTTTTTTTAAATAACACATGCAGAAATAAAAAAAAATAAGAAAGAAAGCACCAGACAATAAAGTTAATTAGAGCACCAGACGATAAATTTAATTTTTAATTTACACGGAAATATTTTAGTGCTTGGTGACATTTGTAGCAATGTTTCTGAAAAAGAATAAGTCGATATTTAAAACAAAAAGATAATATGAAAAAATAAAGAACTTCATATTCCAATTAATTTTAAAGGTAGGTACTTTGTTTTAATTAAATATTAAAATGAAGTGTTCAAAGTGTTTCATTAAAATAAAATATTCAAAGCGTATGTGAGAGCCACTGTATATTGGTTTATTTTCAAATTTTAAATACCGATGTTCCTTCACATTTTACTTACTCGCTTCCTAATATGCTATTTTTGTGTCCCATCTCTGCAAAGAATATCTGGTAAAATAAATATACGCATTTATATATATTTTGTTTTTGAATTGGAATTAAAGGGTAAGATTGTGATATTTGAAAACCAAATTACAATCATGTTAACTATTTTATATACCTGTTCTTTCAAGTTTTATATTAATTAAACATAAATATTAAATGTTAAAACCTTTAGTTAGTATTAGTATATCTTTATCGTTATACTTATTTGTTGATGTAATTTTCTTATTAATAAATTAACTTCAATAATAAATCTTAAAACATTCAGTTAAGTGTTTTAGTTGTTTTAAAAAATTATAAAAGACATAACAAAAACCTATTATTTTTAATGTTATGTTTTTTTGGGTCAAAAATCTCCAAAAATAATGAAAGCAACCTATTGTCAACTATTATCGATCATTGAACCAAAAGTTATTTGGTATCTAATATTTTTTGTTTTCCAAACTGATAGTATTCAGTCTCGGTCTAAGTTTAACTTACATGTTTCTGCTCATTTCAGCCGAATTGGTAAGTTTGAAATGGACAGGTATTTTTTGTAACTTTAACTGTACTTAGCAAAAAGCAAAAACTGTTGAACTAAATCTGTAACTAAACTGTTAACTCAAAAGGTTACAATTTAGTTCAGCCTTAATGCGACAAACCATTTAAATTGTTTGTATTTTTAGTTAAGGCTTGTTTTGCATTATGTTTTTAATTTTTATTTATTTTTATTTTACTTCATTTATTTCTTTTTGCATTGCAGGAGAAGTAAATAGTGCCTTTATTGCAGATAATCAATCCACTCCATCCAGAAAATCAACTAATATACAACCAGTGATGGTCGTATCCCCTGGTGTAGAATCTGATCACTATTCGGAGTATTCTCATCATACAATGCGATCAAACAAAGGATTTCGCCAAGATACATTTAGCAACAACTCTGTCGCCAATTTCCAGCTCTAAGAACATGGAAACTAAACAAAAACTGCATTCATTTTTCAGATGATGATTGTACACTTATGTGTATAATAAAATTGCGAGGGAGGAGTATCTTTTCGGTATAAGAGTCGTTTACCAATTTAAAGATTCGCCTACTGAAAATTGTTCTTTTTCCACACGCAAAAAAAAATTGTGCCACTCAAGCGTCAAATAGATGCTAAAAGACAATCTGACGTGCAATTTATACAAGACTATTTCAAATAGATTAGCTATTTTATAATTTAATGCCAACCCGTGAAAATAGCTTCGGATTCCTGATATTTTATTTTATTGGACAATTATTTCGGAAAGAATGTGTTTATCTTTTCATTTATTTGTTACGGAAGAAGACGCCAAACTATAACGTATTCTTAAGAAATTGAAAATTTGACTTAGATTAATATGTCATATTAAAAATGCTCATGCTGTTCTGTAAAGTATTCTCAAACGCTAATTGATAAATATTTATGGAAGATATTTACGTACAAGACTTAAATATTTCCTAAATTTGGTATTCTGAATTTGTAAAAAAAATATTAAATTCCATTTTTTAGGGAGATGGTGTAAAATACATAAAAATATAGAAATGCATATATAAAATTTAAAAATAGACATAAAGTATACAAATATATGAAAAATATGAAAATTTATGAAAAATATGAAAATATATGTAAAATATAAAAATATATGCGAAATATAAAAATATATGTGAAATATAAAAATATATGTAAAAAAAAAAGAACTTACTTCATTGACAAATATTTTGTGGTACTCATGATTGGTCAAATGGATGTTTGTGTTGAAAAATGATTATAAATTTGTTGTTAACGTGTGTTTATGTTGATGTTAAATACTAGATTTGAACTAATTCAATCAAAAAGTATGTTCCATATTTCTCGGAACGCAGCATTCTTATTTTTAAAGGATTCAGTAAGAATCTCTGGTACAATATTTCTCTTATTTAATTATTGATTAACTGAAATTTAATGTTCATTAAAATACTTTTTTATTTAAGTTCTTCTGTTATTTTGCCTGATAAATACAGCCACAAATTTTAAAAGTATTATATCAGAGTTAGAGTTTTTTCATATTTGAATAAATTATAGTTTAAATAAAAATTAAATAATTCAACTTAGAGTAAGCCGTTTAAACAGGAGTTTGAAAATGAAGCTATATGAGAAACAAAATATTTTCAATGATGAATCTATGATTATTTAGAAATATACATTTATCGATGGCTTTAATATTGTTGTGATTTTAAAGCGTGTTTATTGGATTTAAAACAGGTTGTGGTTTTAAAATGTGTTTATTAGAAACCTATTTCAAATTATAGAGGTTTTACACTACAAAAAGGGAACGTCTAAATTTTTAAACGCCGTAAAAGACCTAATATTGCAGTAAAACGTGTTTTGACATAATTTAATATGAGAAGATCTTTGATTACTTATTCCGAATTCTGAATTTCTTCCTGAATTTTCTCAGTTTCTCCTTGTCAAAAATGAAGTAAAAAATATGCAGATTTTAGATTATTATTGGTTATTTAGATTATTAATATTTAAGTGAGAAAAGAAATGGTATCAAAAGTTTGAATAAATTAATCAAAACCTGAAGATACACTACAGAGCAAAGTGTAATTAAAAACCACTACTTAGGTACTACACGACTACTAGGTCCCTTTTTTATCCTCTTTGTTTACCATGTCATTGGTTTGGAAATTTAAATTTCACCTACGCTAATGATTCTAATAATTTTTATAAATTTGTTTTGCTCCTAAATATAAATTTGAGACTCCTAACTTATTTTATTTATATTATTTCATTCACTTATATTTCATTTTTGACAAGAATTTTGAAAGTATATATATTAAAAGTTGTGACTACCGGACGCTTTGCGTAGTATGCCAACAACTGAGATTTATCTATATACAAAGAATGTATAATAAAGGCACTTTGAAAATTCCATATTTTGATTATGTAAATCTAACACTTGTAAGAGTTAAGCTGCAATATTAGTCTTTTCATGTATATTTTAAAATTTTAAATTGTTGTCGCACGCCTCTAAATCCAATAGATTTTCTAATGTGGATTTAGTTTCAAATTTGTCGCTTAACCAAGAATTTGCCATATATCTCTTATAGAGACTGTTGGCCACTTAAGCATTTGGTTAAGTATAATGTGAATATTTTGTGTATGTCAACCATAGCCCCAATTTTTTGCTCACTCTTATTTATGTAATGAAAATGTTTGTAAATATGTGATTGTTGAGATTAAAATAATTGCCTACGTAAGGTTTTGACGAAGAATTAATTCAGTTTCAAGTCCAATTTATCAGTATTGATGTGTATATCGTTTTACGTTGTCAAGATGTTTGAATTAAGAAAAAGGGCATTTAACTTCTTGTAATTAAATGATGGCAATTGTAGTGATATTAACAAAAAAAGCTAATTTAATGTGAATTGTTCCGAATGTTGTAAATAATGATAAAAAGTTGAGTATATAGAATCGATGAAGTTTGTGTATTGGAAATTTTGATAAAATAAAATATATTTTATATAATGTTTTTTTATTTTTTAATTTCGTTAAAACTTTTGTACTCATGACGCTCATTGCAAATCAGTATCAAACAAATTTTTCAATGATTAAAATTGTCAATTCATTTGTGTTTAAAAAAATGAATGAAAAGAACCATTGTAAACCAATCTACAAATAAAAGATTATCGTGAACAATTAGGAAAACCAAAAAATGCAACTCAGTTCTCTAACAGATCATGAACTCACCCCCCTCAACAAATTAATTCTCCTTTTTAAGTTGCTTTACAAATGTGACAGATTTAATTTCAGCATTTTTCCATCTAGTTAGGCTACTGGTATCAGCCATTAATTATTTAATATTTTGTTCTCAATTGAGTACCTGCAAGTGTAGTCATGCGTGGTCAGAAATTAATATCATAATCCATCAAGTTCAACACCTACGCGTGACGTCGCTTTCAAGTACCCAGTTAAATCTGATTCAAAAATTGGTTCAACATGATATTAAACCAAACCAAATTTCCTAATTTTCTTAATTACTCAATTCTTTTATATGAGAAACTCTGCTATAAAAAGAGAGAGCTGTTTAGATGATTTATGGCAAAGCATTTACCCAAAAACTATACGACGTAACAACACTTATACGTATTTAATCTTCCATTAGTTACACTAACGATTAATAGTGCATCTTAAAACATATAAATTTGTATTATATTCGTCATGGAAACAAATTTAAGAATAAGCATGTTTTATTGAAAATACCAGAAAGATCATTGAACAAAATGGATATTTGACTGATTAAAGTTCAAATTTTTGAATGCAATAACATTTATTTCTCAACCGAAATTACTTTCTAGCCCACTCAATATATTTGACTTTCGGCTAAGCATCGCTCGATTAAGACAAAAATCAAGCCAATTTATATGAATTAACTCACATTTCTACAGAAATAGTTGTTTTAAACTTACCTCTTGTATGTTTATACAAATAATCAAAGTAGATTTCAATTAACTTAATAATGATATAGTTTAGTTTCTTAAATTTTAATGCAGATATGAACATTTTTATAATTCGTTTACATTGGGCAACCTTTCTAACAACATAAGCCCAGCATTACAGAGTAAATATAAAAATGCACTTTAAAGTGCGAAAAGATATTCTTTAAACTTTGTCTTTAGTAAAACATAACAGAAACAAGTCATATTTTGTTTTTCACCGAAAGAAAATTAAATACAGTTGGTTAGATTCATAGATATATTTACAATTTTGAATAATGTCATTTTAAAACTATAAAAGAGAAAAAAAAGCGTGATGTATTTTTAAGGTTCTTCTATTCTAAAAAAGTTATCCTAAGAAGATTGCATACTTATACTGTAACACATCAGACAATAAAAAATTATACTGTTTCGTGCTTCTAACAAATGTACCCGATTTATCAAAGTTATAAAAATAACTTAAAACTCTAAAATAAATATTTGCATTCTATCAAAACAACCACTTTATTATAAAACTTTAGAACAATCTTTTTACGTTGCCACTCAAAATTATCAATAAACTCTCGATAATATTCCATTAATGACATTTTTATCTAATGACGTCATAAATAATCGTTTGCATAAAGTTTAGTTCATAATAATCATATGTAATCGTTGCATACATAATCGTTTGGATTTTATATCTTTACATAACACATTCAGAAGAACAACAATCAATTTAAAAATATGTAATGCTATTTCTTAATAATGTCATTTTAAAACTATAAAAGATAAAAAGCATAACATAAAATTCTTCCAATCTAAGAAAGTTATCCTAAAAAGATTGCATATTCATACTGTACTAACACAAAAGGCAATAAAAACGATTTAGAAGGACAACAATCAATTTTTAAAAAAAAATGTGATTTGAGTTTTAATGGAATCTTATTCGAGACGTCACCTTGTTCTACTCGTGACGAGAATGTATTTATTTAAGAACAGCTTTATTTTCTAAAAAAAAAGTATTAATTTACATAAGGCCAGCACAAGCTCAATTTAAAAATCTATAAACACTGTTCTAAATACTTTTTATGATAAACAAAAAGACAAATTCTATTAAGATTTAAAGTTAAATTAGTAGAAATATATATTTGCATAATTTTATGTTATTTTAATTCGTGAATTTGAAGTATCAGGGATAGAAAATAACTGGGTGAGTCATGTGTAGTTACCCTTACAAGAACTATTTGTTATTCATTCTTTAAGAACCAATAGTATTAATATTATTTTTACTGGCGCGTAATATCTCATGAAGTTACTAAGGTAAATTCTGTTCTTGTACATAGTTCTCAATAAAGTATATAATTCTCAAATAAAGTATTCAATCAATAATAAAATTCTACTCAGATTCGCCAACATTAGCGATTTTTCGTCTACGGCACTGGAAGATAAAAACCTATGTTTCTAAATCTCTAAAAAACATCAGTTTATAAATAATTTAACTCCGAAATAAATCACTTCATTTGTTAACAAGACTGAACTTACATATTTTATACAGAGGAGGGTTGATTTTTAAGAAAATTAAGACCAAACGAATGAAAATTTCCAGAAAGCTAATTTATTTTCAGATTGTACATACGTTTCTCTTTTTTTTCAGTATCAAGTTTGTTTAAAAACTTATCACACCTTACAACTAGATTTAGAATACCCTCTTCATACTAACTTGCCGCCTGCTCCGTAAACCAGGAGATTACGGTCGTTTTCACGTATCGTATTTCATCGTTGTAGTGATTGCCGCCAAAATGATATCTGAAATATCGGTAAAGATGAAAATCGCTCAGCGCAAGGTCTGGGTTGTAGGGAGGGGTAGTCCAAAACTTCCCGACCAAAAGAGTCCCATAAAGCTGGGATATGAGCTACGGAGAGAGTCATTGTCATCATAGAAAAGCAAAATTCCCTGTCAGCATGGCAAGGAATTTCGCTACTTCACAAATCGCAACGTCACAAATGTGCCAGTGAATGTATGCAGCAAACAGAGTTTTTGCGGACTGAAAACTCATCACTGACCGTATTTCGTGCGTGGGAGGTAATTTGTTAAATTTGAGCATTTTTAAGACACAGAATTGAACCTACGCTTTACCTACACAGCTACAACTGAGGACAGTTGTCCCAAAGGAATAACGGGACACGACACAAGCGCTCGTTGCGACGCTCGCGTTACCTAATAGTAAACACAACAAAACGGCCCTTAATTAAAAAAGCAACCCTCGTACAAGTCTTATTCTTGCATATCTTAGACATACCTTAGTCTACACTGTGCGCTAAAATATAATACTCATACCAGACAAGTCAAGTGAGAAATAGCGTTTTAAAGTCTTATGTCACGTATTCAATTTGAAAGTCGTTGTTCCTGTAGAATCTCATATAATCAAGTTTGAACATCAGATTTAAAAATTCTGACTCCCTGAATGCCGATAATTTTCACAGGATCTTTTGTCAGAGTATGTCACCCAATCAAAGATCTGCATGTTGCTTAGCCTTTAATACGAATGAATACGCCACAACCATAGCTCAATTTAAATAGTTAATGGTTACATTTAATCATTGTCAAATCTTTCACTACTAACAAATTATAGATAAGTTGAATTTTCCTATATAGTGTCACAGACCATGTAGAATGCATTAGATGACGCATTACGCGATGGTAATGCGTCTTCAAAATAATGCACAATTACTTGTTCTAATTTTTTAGTTTTTCAAGACAAAACATCACCCAACACAGATAAAGACTGATTTGTCTAAGATTGCGTAGATACATCTTACTTCGGGGTCTGGAGATGCTTGTTTGGTCAATCGTGTTTTTTATATGTATGAAGTAAGTTGCAGCAAATCAAACCATCGTCAAACATAAGCAATAAATTAGTGGTCCTAAACTAAGTTATCACACAATACCGTACATTGATACATTGATTACTCTGTCATTAGAATCACATAGCATATTTCTTTAATTTAATTGCCATTATTCTGGTTAGATATTTGAACTTGTATCTTTGGAATTGGAAATAGCTTGCACATTGCAATTATTTTTTCAGGTTGAATAGTTTAACAGAGGCAGAAGATGACAGGTAAATAAAGTTAAATTTAAATATTTGTGAGCGCATATGTACCTCGAGTATATTTGTTTAAAATCTTGTAAAAACTGAAGTAAAAAAGATAATATATCGCTCATGGGCTGCAATAATGGCACAACTCAAAAAACATGCGTTTTGGACTAAGAACAGGTGTAAATATGAAAATGCACATTCTTTTCAGCAGCAATGCTAGCACAACTCGTAATTTAACTTAAAGGTAATCTTCGTTTAACCAAACGAAAGCATTTCTTATGCATTTTCCTTAGGAATGAAAACTTAAACCCACTTATCTCAAAACATGATTTTTTGAGTTGTGCCGCTATTGCAGCCCATGTGCGATATGTTGTAAATTAATATTTAAGTGAAAGGAAACAAATGACAGCAATTTTAAGGTTGGAAGGAGTAAATGAAGGATTAGAGTCATCGAAAACAAGCTAATTTATCTTGTGAGAGTGGAATTCGCTCACGTTGCATTAAGAACAGCTTCTAGGCTTTTTCCTCATGTAAATGTTCATCAGATAATTTTAATATTCGTTTTTGCTCGTTATAAGATTAATTACGCTCAGTCAAAGTTAGAAAAAGTTTTTGACTTTTGTCATTTAAACAATAATTTTCGACCCTCAATGCACCCTGTACAGTGTACAGTGCGCAAAAAAAGAAGCAAACCACCTTGAATAACTTAGTGTTCGGATCGTCATGTTCTAAGACTCAATCATAATGAATTGAGGGAGTGACCTCAAATATGCTGATTAATTAGACTAGACGATATTTAAAAAATAAGACATTTTTAAATTTCTATTTCACAGGAACTATTGAACTGATTTTGCTCAAGTTTTGTACTTTACCATGCTAAACTATATTTTTTAAAATGGTGTAAAAAATTATGATTTTACAATTCAAATTTTTCAAATAACATTAAAGAAAGTAATAAAAAATAATAAATATTTACTGAAAGTTATATTTTGCACGAAATTATCTTTAGATCAGCTAATTTTATAATTATGATTATAATCATAATTTATAATTATGAAATTTTCAATTGGTTCTATAAATTTTCGAGATATAACGAAATACGCGAAAAATAAAATTTATATTAAGAGGTTCATACTTTGGGACGCTCTCCTGACCATACTATAAAGACCATATATCCCAGGTTACTCTCAATATATTGGGGGTTAAAAATCTGAATCCGTCGAAGGAAAGGCATGTTTTTTGTCATGGATAGTACGTTTTTGTGTCTGATTTCGTAACTTAAAATTATCGCATGCAGATATTAATTAGCCAATTAATAGCTACCACTAAGAATATTTTACGTCAGCACTGTGGTCGGTGTAAACTGGGTGCGGGATTCGTAGCGACCAGCCATCACTAGGACTCGAACTCAGCTCACCTCATTGGAAAACGAGCGCTCTATCCCCTGCGCCACCACGACTCTAATTAGCGTATTTATAGTCACCCCTTCGAAGCTTTAAGGTTGAGTCCTAAAACGTGAAAATCCGATCATTAGATTAAAATTCCTTCTTTTTCTGCACACTCTACATCTTTTTCTACAATGTGAGCGTGTTTTAATTATTCCTCGTTTTCTTGCATCAAGCTTTTAATTGTGAGAGACGTATTAAACAGTTATCGCTCTCAAATGTGTCACTGCAAAAGGTGATCCTCATCACAAATTGATTGCGAATTGACACTAATTCATACCTACTCAAATTAGTGACAGTCAAAGAGATGACATACGATCGACTTTCTGACAGATGCCGTTCCCAGAACTTGATTTCTATTAGAATCTTTGACATTTACTTAACAACCGTGACTTGCATCTGTCAGTGACGATAACTAGAAGAAAAAAATTTTGAATTGAGAAGTATTTAAAAGTTTTACCAGTTTTACCATAATAAAGACATTTTAGTTTAATTTTCGGGAGCTTACTTCCGGTTTCGGTTTCATCAGCTTACGAAAAAACAATTATAACTTTATTTCTTAAAATTAGAGTTCAAAAATTTAAAGAATTTTGAAAGCTAGTGAACTAAAGTTCAAATATGGTTAATAAAAGTTGTCCATTTTAACTCAGTTGGATGCATTAAATATCAAAGATTATTTTCCTTACAGATGTTGTCTATCCCTATCAAAAATCGAGATAATAATTCTTCGCAAACGTAATTCTATGTTTCTACGTAATTCTATCAAGTTTTAATTTTAAAAATTAGTGTCAAACATTTGTTGTTTAGCAATTGCTAAGCATTAAGTACCTAAGCTGAATGTAAGTTTTTGTTGATGTTATTATTTAGAGCAGGGAAATGAAATTTCAATAAGATGTGGGTTCATACTTAACTTAGTTCTACTTAACTTAAACTTATCCCATAGACCAATCGAACCCATTAATAGATGAGATTTATTTGAATTATTACGATTGATAAGAAATTGATAAATAAAAAATCTGTTTAAAATAAAAATGGGATTGTTTTATCATGTTTTTCTTAGTTTGGTAACTGAACAAACATTTTCCTAAATCTTTCCAGAATTATTGAAGTCAGTATTTTATATGCTCTATTGTTCCATCTCCAAATGTGAAGAAATGCAACCCTCTCCACCCCCTCCACCATCTGAAGACTCGAACTTCAAAATTATTCTTGAACTGGTACTAGATAAAATGAATAATTTTCCTTGGAATGTACCCGAGATGATGGGTAAAGTGCTCTAATTTTTTATATGTAACCTTATTTTAAATATTTATTAATGCAAACTGTTAGCTTATTGATTCAGAGAAAAGAAGAAAAAAATAGAAATTTTTCTCACAGCTATAAGTCAATTTATTCATCGAAAACTAATGCATCAATCTTATTAAAATTTTGTTCACTTCTTCAAGGGAACATGGACTAAATATTAAATGAATTTTTACAAAGCAGAATATGGTTCTAATTTTACCAAAATCCGTAATTTTTTTCACTACAACAATTTAAATTTTATTTTTTTTAAAAACACAATGTTTTAATTATAAGCTAGTCATTTATATTTATTTTATTCATCAGTTTCAGATCTCAAATCACTTATAGTTTGTATGCATAAAAGCAGTATTAAAACTTCAATAAACAAGTAAGCTTACTCACCAATGCTCTATTCAAATTCTTATATCAGGTTAAAAACGACAAAGATTAATCTTCACGTTGTTTACCATCGGCCATCTAGTTGCACAAACGTAAAATACTATATCCTGGTCAATATTAACACAATTTAATTCCGAATTTCACTTTGGTATAGTTTATTTTGTAACTATATGCATTTATACACTCATACTCACTATTTATTTTCACTATTTTCAATAAAAATCCAATTTTTTACGGAAGCACAACAAAAACGCGTCATTCGTCTTCGACGGCCTGTTGCCGTCACACGCAGACTGCAAAAAGATCACATTCATCAAAGATCATGAGATTGAGCACACAAGACACATATCACTAATGATAATATTACAGCATGAAATTCTTCTAAGAAATCGCAAGCTCCATAGTGATCCGATTAAACGCTATTGATTTCAGTTATTTGCAAATGACGAATTAAATTTAGAATCATGTAGGAAAAAAACAAAGCCAAGAAGTCTAATAGTCTGGGTCCCGCAGTGGACTGATCGTAAGGACACGGTTCCCAGTAGAACACCGAAGGCAAGCATCACTGGCAGCTGTCAGTAAGCGGGTGGGTGACCAAATTGATCAGCCTGCATAGGGTGTGCAGTATCGGTCCTCGTTAAACTGTTTTACCGTAAAGTGCTCGACTTCATACGCAGGTCGTCGGGGCTCCAAAGCAGGGGAGCCATCCCCTCAGAAGAGGATCAAAATTGAGACGGCATGTCTTCGGATTATCCAAAGGGATGTTTCCCAGACAGTCGCCAATAGCCCAGTGTACAGCTCTAGTGTGACGGAAATAATGTACCTACATACCTCCAAACAGTCTGGCACGTTATAAATGCTAGCAAGTCCCTCCCTGGCAGAGCGGTATCGAGCCAAACGCTGGATTAAGCGTGAAGGTGGCGGGTTCGAATCCCGCCGTAACTCTAAATGTATTCTTTGTGATATCCCTCAACTTGACAAAGGTTTATAAGACTTAATTGAGCACACAAGCCTGCAAATGTATGTTGTACTAATAAATGAAAATGAAATACTAGAGATACTCAAGATTTTTCAATATGTCAATAACTAGAATATTTTCAAAAATTCTAGAAACTTGAAATTAATTTAAGATTTTAAAAAAAATATTTGTTTTATTTTCGAAAAAATGAAATATAATATAATCGTGCTGATGTTTTGTTGATATGCTCAAGTCAGTAAAGAATAAACATAAGATTTATAAAAGTAAATAAGTGAAAGATGATTTATTTCAATTAGAAGTAGCCTGATCTCTCTATACACCAAGATTTTACCTTTCCTTTTTTCAGAAAATATTTATTAGAGTTAATATTAAATAACTTTTTTTACTTTTTTTTAGCTTTTTCTGGATACTATATCAAGAACTTTTGCTGCAAGTTGTTACTTGGAAGACCCTGCGCAACGCCGCCAATTCCTGATGAAATCCCCAATTCTGATCCAAAGAGTGATACGACATTTTACTTTTATTATTTGCAAGTAATAAAGAATATCAATAGTACTACTGGCACTGCCGAATATTAAATTTACTTTAGAATTAATTTTTATAAGCTATTAAATTATCTGTTTTTGCATGTACAAGTTGCATTTGGTTCCACTTTAGTATCATGCAGCAATGTTAATGGTGAAGAGCTATATTAAAAACTAGCTTTTTCATAATCTTTATGTACTATAAAGACCATAAAAATCTGCACAAAAAGTATTATAAGAAATTAGTCTGTAAATTTTCTATTAAAAATTACTGTCCCTTAAAACTACGGAAAATTACTGTAAAATTGTATCACAGTCTGTAAGAAGAAGAGATTTTAATAACCACTAACAAATACGAAAAACTTAAGCACTTAAATTATTGCAGACCATATCTTAAGTTCTGAAATAAGGCACAAAAACATACTTTCTCTGAATAAAGATTGCATTTTTTGACAACTTTGAAATCTAGGATCTCAAAAAGAAATTACTGTTCCTTAGAACTACAGAAAATTTCGGTAAAATTGCATCTCAGTCTGTTAAAAGAATAATTTTTTCAGTAAACAGATTTTGATAACGAATAACAAACACGAAAAACTTAAATATCAAAGTAACAACAAATAGAACATTTTGGTAATATATTTTATCTTTTCCCGCGAAGACGAATTTCTCCTTTCTCTTGTTAGGGCTATATCTTAATGATTCGAAGACCTAACCTTAAATATGCCAATTAATTAGTGCAGACAATATTTTAAGTTACGAAATAAGGCACAAAAGCATACTTTCTCGGAATAAACATTGCATTTTTTTTTGACAACTTTGAACTCTAGGCTCTCAAAATATAGGGAATGGATGCAATCCAGAAAATTGTATCCCAATTATTTAGATTGGAGAGTGGTAGAAAGTTTAAATGTTAAGTTTAATGATTTTACTTTTTAAGTTAATCGAAAAGTTCTTACATGTATTTGTCAAACTCGTTTATCCAAAAATAAATCTATGCAAAAGATATTTTATTAATTTTCTTCTTATTTTTTTTTTGTTATTTTACTTAATAATAGTCGAAAATTTTTTGAATAGTAAGTTATACAAATTTCAACATTATTTAAGAGAATGTAATTTTAAATGGTAAAATACTTCTTGAATTCGGTTGAATACTTCTTGAAAAACCAAATTTAAAGCTTAAGATTTTAATAAAATTTAATAACTCAGAAACTATTCTTCGATTTCATTCAAATTTGATATTTTTGATTTTAAAATTACATTCTTTAAAATGATGTAAAAATTCGTGTACCTAGACTTCAAAATTCTTTTCAAGTGTTATTAAGTACTATTAAGAAGTGTAGTTTATTATTAATTAAAATACAGCTATATAAATTTTTATACATAATTATATTTATTAATTTTTATCCACAATTTTTTATATAATTATATGAAGTATTGTATAAAATTTTAAATCATACTTATTTTTAAAGCAAAGCATGTTTATTTTTAGTAACACACAGATATTTAGTTGCATGAAACTTACTAAATTTCAGGTTACAATGTTTATTGGATCAGTTCTAATTTTGGTTGCTGTTCTTAGCAAGGTTGGTTATTTAAATATTTTGATATTTAAAGTGGATTTTATATGCTCGACACACAAAATTTCTAGTGATTTGAATTCTTCTTAATAATGATTTTTATTGAGTTAGACTTGTCGATAGGTCTATATTGAAGAAATTGAACTGACATGTATACTGAATATGCATACACTACCAATTGTTGATGCCATATTTAAAAATGTAATCCCTAGAAAAATGCACATAATTTTAATATTACATAGTAATGTCCTTAATTATCACTAATATTTAAATTTATGAAACAGCAATTTAAGCAATTCCACTCCTTCTAGAGTTTAATAAAAGAAATGTCGAAATTGTTATAAGCTGTTCACTTTTAAAACATTTACTAGAGATCATACTTACTGTAACTTAATACTAATTTTCGATACCGGTAAAAAATTACTCTTTCTTTTCTCAAGCGATATTTTTATAAAACTGTTACCCAGTGCAACACTAAGCCAATGCGAAGTATAGGTATGTAGTGAGTATAGTGGGTGTGATGGCGCTTCCCATTCTTGTGCGTCTTTACATGGTTTCGAGTTTTGGTATCATATAAATGATCTAACCTGAAATGGATTGCTTATGCAAACTCACTCGTATTAAATTCGTTCGTGCTTAAATATTAAGGGATGATCTGTCAAGAGTTTTGCAGGGTTTTACCTGAAAGAAATTTTTATTCGATATTATGTCTGCTTGATGTTTTGCTCAGTGAAATTTTATGGATACACTTAATAATAATTTCTTTAATAAATCGTACTACTTCATGTTGTTCGGTTCTGAGCGAATCTTCATTAGCTCGACTTTACATTCACTTTAAATACTCGCGTATAAAATGGTTAATCAGTTGCATACAGATCGAGGTGCACTTCTCTTACCCTTCTTTATTGTCCTGAATACCGATGACGTTGTTGTATTTAGGACTCTATAACATATTTACATAACTAATAATTTTAACTTAGCTTTTCGTATCTTTTAGATAGCAATTGCAAGAAGGCCACGAACTAGATCCAGACTCACATCAACAAAACCTAAGGTGGACCATGAAGAAAACACTGAAGAATTATCACCGGCATCTCGTTAAATTCTCTTTCTCGTTTACAGCAGCTTTATAGCACAATTCTATTAGATTTTAAACAATAAAATTTCAAATAAATTTTTTTTTATTATGTTTAGTTACTAATTTAAATTAGTTACTAATTCAAAAGCCGACCGGCCTAGGGAACTGTCCTTGCATCAGAAAGGTCCTGGGTTCGAATCCCGAGCAAGGCCTGGATGCTTCTTTCTCTCTCTGTGTGTTCTATGTCCTTTCTCCTTTGTGTGTGAATGTGACTTGCCCTATAAACGGGTTGTGGTTGTGTGAATGGAGTGGCAGAAATCGAATTCCTGGCCATAGATGGCGCCACTGAAAAACAGGAACAATCGCACCCCCACTTCCTGAACAGGCATACGACAAAAAAAAACTAATTTAAATGTAATTTTTATTTATAATTTTCGATACTTTAAAATGAGTTTAATTATAATATCATGCATTTGTTTTTAAAAGACTAACAGAACTCAGAACTGATCAGCAGCACCAAAAATTGATTGGAGAGCTGAAGGTAGTGAGTTCAATTCTGGCAGCCGACAAAACAACAGGCCTGTATACGCAGAAAGGTGAACGCTAAATCTGCCGTGGCTGAAAGTATTCACGTTTGTGAAGATGTTGATGTTTGGAGAGAAAAGGGCACCGGCTCAGGAGCTGTCTACTTTGTCTGACCAGGATCAAAATTGTGTGGCATTCCTTCGATGGCCATTAAAAGATAGAACCCTGGAATGGGGCTAGGTGCTTGGTCCTGGTTGGATGATGATGATGCAGACAACTTTAATTATCATACCATGTAAATTCGGTGCAAACTTAACCCCTTCCTTCTTGCTCCCGTGAAAATGACGGGCTGGAGTGTTCGGTAGTAACGTGCCAGTAAGAATAAAACTAATTCATTTCTTTTGCCCGAAAAACTTTATATTTCTCATTTTACACACCAGATGGCAGTACCAGGATATTTTTAAGGTAATTGTAGATAGTTTATTTTAAACTAAACGACAGCACTAATCAAACACGTAATACAAATACAAAAGCCAAAAAATAGGCACTTTTATGACCGTTTTATTGAGAATTAACCGATCGTTAAGGGGTTAATACGGTGCCGTGTTGAGCTACACTATCAGGCAAATTATACCCTTTCAAGTTTAATGACACTCTTCTATGGTTCAAATGGAGCGGATGTATTTTTGAACTCAGTACCTTATTATTGTAGAAAGTTTGCACAATATTATGATTCCAGATACCGATATTAGAATTTGACGTTAAACGTATTTTTCAGGCAGCAAACATGAGCACATTAATTCTTCTTATAGATGTCAATTTTGAAAGATTGATTGTTTTCCTGTTATTGTAGGTAATATTTAAATTTTCCAACGTCTGGATTTTTGAACAGGAAAAAGTATCTTGAAAATTCCTAGACAATGTGATTAAAATGAAGAAAATTTTTTTTAGGTGCTTTGCCTATTATTAAACAGTTTACATATACTTATGCAGATGTGATTGTTTCCGTTCTTGGAGTTGAAAAACCATAATAGAAACATTAAAAAACAATTGAAATTTTTGAACATTGAATATAGTTGAATTGAATTTTAAACATTGAATATAGTTGAAAACCCATTAAAAAGCATTTTGACGCATATCATAGAAAACGATGCAGTATATTTTTTCGACGTTGAAAATGTCATTAAATTTTCATGTTAAATGTTTATTTTCTTTTTTAAGCATTTCACGTGCTTTATAATAAAGCAGAGAACGTATTGAATGAACCAGATATATATTTCAGAAAATAGCAATTTATTGGTCAATACATACACTTTGTTCTTTCTTTAATATGCTCTGCCTTCTATTTCAAAATCAATTTCACACATTTTGCATAAATCTTAGAAGACTTTTACAGTTTTCGATAACTTTTTTATCTCTACACCATCCTTGAATCAATAAAAAAGGCTTATTTTTTATTCTACAATTTAATTATTGCGATTCTTTGTTTGCTCTATTATGGGATAAAGATCAGAAGAATTTCCTAACTATTTTAAAACAGCTTTTTTTTTTGAAGAAAAATACCTTTATTTTGTTTCTTTTATATTAGAATAATGGCAAGGAGGTGTCACATTTTTAAATAAATTTTATCTTTAAATGAAAACCACTTGCAAAACACGGGATTCATTCCTTTTAAAATAAATTTTGTTCTGGTGGCTGCTTATCATTCCTCGAAAAGGAATGAAAGGTCTCACGACATTGCCAAAAAATTTTATCCAATTCATTAGACAATTAAAAACCATTATGTTAGATATAATTAATGTACTTTTTGTTGTACTTAAAAGCACAATGAAAATTTTTTAACTTTTAATTTAAGATAATCAGTATCACTACTTCTATAAGTTTCAAAAAGAAATGTTTTATGTCCAATATGTATCTACGTACATAAAGATGAACTCATAATTGTTTGTAACTTAACAAAATAGTAAATGTAAAATAAATCAAAGCGATGCGTTAATAAATATTTTATTAATAGCTATGTATGAATAATTTTTTTAAAAATTATAGTATGTTAATATTCTAGGTGAAAAAAGTAGACTCCAAAAACAATGCCTAAAAGATTGCTCATTTTGGTATGAAACAGTTTAAAATGCATTTAAAAAAAGATAACTGATCTACTTTTAATGTTTATTATTTTCAGGTCCTATTTCATCGGGGATTCAGAGTAGTTCAGAATATAAGATATTACTCAAATATTTTAAAAATCTCGAGTTAACACATTGAAATATTAGATTCATGGCAGTGATTTTTTTTAAATTGACATTCTAGCGAATTTACTAGCCAGCTAGGGAAAATCGCCATTTAATTTCATTAATTTAATCAAATGAACTAGCTCAACTTTCAACTCAGCTTTTATTAGATAAGCTCACGACGTACCAATATGGAATATATAGATACTGAATTAAATTTAAATGAGTCCTTAATAACAATTCAATAAATAATGAATATAAGTATCGAATCATCGAAAATAACACCGGATATTGCCCCAAACATTGAACAAAAAATTAAACAAATTGAAAAATTGAACAGTTTCACACTAATCGCGAAAATGAAGCTCACGACATTTTAGCTCTCTCAGCTAGATTTTGGAAAATATCCGTTAAGCACTTGCACAGAGATCGCAATAATCCGAGACATTGAAGCCAACTCTAATTGTGAACCCAACCAATTTCTTTAAATAAAAGCTTGACATTGCATGAATTGTAAACATTTTCTAGAATAGAAGACTGACAAAGCAACAATAAAACAAAACAAAAAAATACATCCATTATAAATGAAGCAACGTAACATAATCTCTCATATAAATATGGTGCAATTGTAAAGAACTCTCTTCACCGGTTTCGTTTTAAGTTCGTAAATTCAATACAAAGTAGTTGAAAAAAACTTTTTTTTAAATCCATTGCTTTCATATAACTTTTTCTCTAACACTGGTTTCAGAGTTTTACTATATTTTAAACGAAAGTTTTTTGGTTGCTGGTGAAAACTCTTCGTTTTGAAGCAATAAAGGCTCCGCCATTTCTTGAGCTATTTCAAACAATAAACGGAACTGATCCTGAAATAATAATGAAAAAGTATAAATATATTAAATAATTTTTAATATGCTTAAAGGAGTTGGTATTTTGCAATCACCGCTCTTAATATACAGGGTGCTTTATGGCGCATATTTTAAGAATCCTTGTTAAAAATAAAATTATAAAAAGTATGCACATTAAGGGTTGCGAATTAATAAAGTTGAGTAAAAACAAAAACGCTGTAAAAATCTGTCAATATACATCGGAGGTATGCGGGACTGAAATCATTAAAACCTGTTTGATTGCCAGAAAAACCCATTGAAGAGTTGAAAACATAACTAGAATTCTCTCGAAGTCTCTTCAGTAATTAAAACAGGTTTTAATGCTTTTATTTTTTCCTCGCATAAATGATAACTTACAATTCTGTTATAACTAGTTTTTCCACTTGATATTTGACAAGGATTCTTAAACTTCATATTAATGGCGGTTATTACAGAAAATTTCGATTCTTGTTAAAATTCAAAACCATACACATAAGAAATAACAAACTAATATTTAAGTGAAAAAATTAGTATATTATAATAAGATTCTGACCAATCATTGTCAAGATTATTCATAATAAAGATTGTATTCAAATAGTTTATCGGACAAAGAAGATGAAACGCGTTCACGTTTTTTTTCTTCCTTCCGGTAACCTCGGTTAAGGGTCACCAGTCGAAAAAACTGAATTTTATTATTTTTAGTCCATCTTTTCTCTGGTTAACTTTATAAATATTTCGTCAAATGTTGATAACCTCTCATAATTATTAGATTGAGACTCCTAATTAATGGGATTTTAAAACTTCATTTTTTACAAGGATACTAAAACTATATGTAAAGGGTAGTAATTGTCGAACATTTTTAACACAAACATATTAATTAGGTAATTGAAGAGCAAAATGGAAGACCACTTACTGCGACAATAAGATGAATTTTTAAAAAAGAGTTAAAAACGGTATAAAACATGAGAAAACTGTTTACATAACTTTTTTTAAGAAAATGGTAGGCCTGGAGCAACGTAATAAATTATAAGTCAAGTTTGCAAATTGTTAAAAAAAATTATGATGATGATTTCGAGGGAAGCCAGCTTGGTTTCCATGTTAAAAATAGTATATTTCTGCGTATTGTGCTACCATCTAACGGAAATTTAGGAAAATGTAAAGTACCTATCTAGAAACAATATCGAGGAACTTTTTAGTATATAAATGCCCCTTTTGAAAAATTATAGCTTATAACTACTGTCTCAAACTCAACATACATACACAAGGAAAGTACTGATATTTTGTGATACGTTTCCAGTATTTATACCACAGTGAACTATCTTAATAGATCTTGATTTATACTATCGATATCAAGCTAAACGAGACGAAATAAATGAAAAACTTAAAGATGTGCTTACTGAATTAGGTATGAATTCTGATCTATTCGTTCTTATGCTTCTCACAACATGAAAGGCGTCAAGAGCTCCTTCATTTTTAATTTGTTCACAAACAAAGATAGATGCTATAAATAATCCGCTCCTTGTGGCTCCATCCCTGCAAACAAATCACTCTTATTATGCATATGCATGGATTGCATCAGTTGTAAGGAAGACGTTCTTAAATTGAGAAGCTTTATTAATTCAATCTCAGGTAGGTATGAGTATTATTTGTCGCTCATTAGTTTGTATTAGAGAACGGTTAATACTTTTGAAAGCAAGATAAAGCTAATAAATTTATTTTTGACTACCAGTTATAATTTCTATATACAGTTCTATGAGAAACAGAAAACCTGCATTTTAAACAAACTCGCTGAAAAGCATAAGTAATACTTTTTAAGAGACCTCCATATTTAGAAAAATTTAGATCGTACAATATTTCGAAACCAAATATAATCAAAGCTATGTAGAACAAGACCGAAATTTTTCAATGGATAAGTTTTACACCGTCCGAAAATACGGTTTAATGTTAAACCCTAATGTCGTGTAAATTTGCCTTAACCTTAATAAAACTAAACTGAATTGATTTTCCATTCAAGTTTAACCACAGTATGAAGTAAATAAGTTTGAAAGGGCTTAATTTACATGATACGATTAATATTACGTTAAGAAGGCATATGAGCGTCTTTAGAAATATGCAATCATCATTTTTCTTTTACTTAGCTGGGGAGATAAATATAGGTTTTTGGCTTTTTCGAGGCTAAGAAAAATAAAAAAGCCATAGTTTAAGTGCCTTAAGCTTAAAGCAATGCGGTGATTTTAAACTATGTATACATAATCTTGCCGTGAAGAATTATCTAGGTTTTAAAACGGACAAATAACTTAAATATTTTAAAAGTTATCAAACTTTTTTAAAAATCGCCAATTTAGCGGCATTTTCCCACCTAGATGAAAACTATCTAAATTATTACCATTTTTGCAATTTTTCATGAGCCGAGATAATGCAATTTTGGAGTAAATTTTTAAATACTAAAATATTAGACTACAAAGGCTTTTCATTTTCTCAAAACTGTGGCTTTTCTCCATATTGACATTTTGCACCATTTTCAGAACTACACAGAGGACGCTTCTTAAAGATAGAATAAACATGACCTAACAGTCATGAGTACCTGTTGCGAACTCACAGCAGGTATGAAAATAGAATATTATTCATTAAAAAAAACATATTTTAATGCGATTAAAGAGCTTTCGAAAAACAGCCTTAATGTGGAACTTCAGCCTATTCAGATCAAATGGAATAAGCACACGTGTTTGTTCATTTCGAAGAGATTCCAACCAATGTTTTGTTTGAGAAATTCCCATGTTTTACAAAGAAACATATCGAATTATTCCATAAATTTCAAGCGATTTTTTTAAAAACTTATAAAAAGTAAGAAAAATTTCTTGTAGCAGTTATTTAAAAAACTAAATGGGGAAGCTAAGTGAAAATATTTGGTTTACTCACATGCAATGAACAGTAATGGGTCCCTCGAGGGCTCTTTTATACCAAACATTGACTGTCTCAATCATATTCAACACAGATTTAGGTTTCACTTCAGAGGTCCATCCATTGTATTGAAGTTGAATCACTTTCAAAGGCTCGTCTTTTACCTACGGTAATACAAATAATTTACACTGACTGTGCATAAATTTCCAGCGCAAACATAGAAATAATAAATTATTTTAGTAATATGTTCGTTTTTACATTGATTGCGTATGGAATTTAACACCACTAATAAAATTATAAATGAAATAAATCATATATTCTATTCTATATAACTCAGTGTTTCGATATAATCATCAAAATGATGAATGGAAACTGAAATTTATTCAGTTTTATATTGATTGTTTTTCAGCATAGCCATCAAATTGATGAATAAAGATTGTAATTGGTTCAGTTTTACATTGATTTTATGTAGAATTTCAGCATAACAATAATCAATTATCAATATCAAAATGATGAATAAATACCTATTTATTCATCATTTTGATATTGATATGGATTTTATGTGGGTAAAGCATAGAATTTCTACATTACCATAGAAATAATGAATGAAATTCGTAATTTATTCAGTTTTACATTGACTTCGTATTGAATTTGAACATAATCATCGAGATGAATGATATTTAAAATTTTTCAAATTAAACAAATAAGAAAGAGAAAACAACATAAAAAAGCAAAAAAGGTAAAAACCAAATGACATAAAGAAGGAAACCTTGAAATCAAAAATTGTTCTTTTACCTTTCGCAAATTTGTCACCTTCATGACGCGTATGACGAAATCACCTTGCTCTTCAAACGCCATGAGTTCGATGTAGAAGTCACCACATTTGCATTCCCCGAGTTCTGGCCAATATATACCAACACTCTAAAAAAATTAAATTTTTTTCAAAAAAAGAAATTGCATAATAGGCTTATGTACGGTGTTCATAATCACCTCCTTTAATACATGTTTTTGTAATATTTTCAAAAACTGAAAAAACTTGGAAATATATCTAATTAATGCCTTTCAACGTCTGTTTTCTTCAGAAATCAGTCTTTTTTTAATGCTTCCAAACAATTCTTCTTCACTAGTGATTCGTTTTATTTTGACAGCGTTTCTGTTTTTTCTTTATTTAAATATTAATTTTAGACTCTGAAAATGCATGCGTTTTATTATTTATTTCTGAAAAATAAAAGCATACATTTCAAGAGTGTTGTGTTTTTTCAAGAAATGCGTGCTTAAGAAACTGAACACAGCTCAAAGTGAGTGTTTAAAAAATGGACACAGCTCAAAAGCCATGTTTAAGAAAACAAACGCAGTAATTTATGAAGTGGGGCATATCACTTAACTCAATTTTTCAGACTTCTTGAACAGAAGCTGTAATTGCGGTTTGGAGAATAACGAGGAAAATAAAAACTTCGAAATTGATTTATAATTAAATATGGTATTCTCATATAAAAATATTTTTCCTACTGATAAATCAACGAACTTGTAAGTCAGTTCAGAAGATACGAGCACTAACTTAAGATCGATTACTTTAGGAGTTCCAAGTTAATTCAGGACCAATCAGTTAAGGAGTTACGAGTTAGTAAAAGAACGATTATTTTTGAAATTACGAGATCCAAATTAGCTTAAAAGCTATTAATTATCAATCTGTAAGATCCAAGTTAACTCAGTACCGATAAGTTTAGGAGTTCTAAGATACAAGTTAACTGCTTAGTGTAGTAACTACGAGCTAATAAAAACATCAAATTTCCAAACGAATACAATTTAAAAAGATAACGCTTGAATTTTATTGCAAACTTTTAATCTAAACGTTAACATAAATAGGAGAAAATAAATATTTTATCGAAGCTTCATAAATAGCTATAAATTTTGTGTAAATTTAAATTCTCAATCATGAAACAATATTTTTACAAAGACTTACTTTCAAAATGAAATTTTAAAGGAAACCTATAATTTAAAGACCGATTTCATAACATTCTTACCATCTCGTCGCTTTCGTCACATCCGTTAAGCATGAGTATGAGGGTTGACCTGTTTTGATATATGAGACGATAGAAATCCTCAACAGTGTGAGCCAGAGGCATTTGTGTCACTAAAAACTCCTTCTGTTTCCTGTAACCCTAATATATAAATTAATAATATTAAAATTAAAAATATTAAAATTAAATCTGTCAACAATCTCCATTTTGTAAGAAAAATGTCACTCATATGCGAATCGAACAAAGCACTATTCATTCCCAGAGAAATTATAAAAAGCATCATTTTATTATATTTTATAAACCAGAGTTGAACAGCCGACCGAATTTTAAATTTACGATTATCAATGTTTAACTACGTAGCCTTGTAATTTTGAACCGAATCCAGAAGGCAACGGAACTCCTGGGTCAAGCATTCGGACAAACTACTCTTCATGGAGGACTTCTTGATGGAAGTAACACGCATTTTTTACATGGAGAGGAAATCCACGAAAACTTCCCAGGGTTAGTCGGATAGCAAATGGATTCTAACCTTTAACCCGTCTACGACTGATGATGTTTTTCGTAAGCACTGTACAGTGCCAGCCGGGAGCAGAATTCGTATCACTCAGCTACCACTAAGAGCAGCAAACAAGTAGCAACTTTTATTGGGCTTGAACAATATGTGACTAGTCTTATGAGCACTGACACATCCTGTAGCATCTTGATAGGCATGCAAAATCACCTGACTTGCACCCCATAGAAAATCTAGAGCACAGACTCGAACATGGGTAAAATGCTGAAATCAACATCGCAATGTGTTGGATTTGCACAAACAAATTCTTAACGAGTAGTTTAAATTGAATCGCAAAGGCGATTATTTCGATTATTTCTGAATATATTCAAAATATAACTTACATCGACGAAAACAGCATTTATGTAGTCTCCATATTCTTCATCTTCTTCATCGTCTACTTCAAGAACCACCCGAGAAGAATCACCTAAAATAAAATAAAAAATTGTTTTATGATTTGAATTTATTACAATAAAATTTCTAAGTGAATTTTACTCTTTTCTTTATTGTACAGAAATTTGGCGTAGTAGGAGCTCAGTTTATAAATGTAATTTATTTATTTACATTTATGTAACGAAACTTATTTATTTACATCTTCATATGCAGAAATATTTCTATTAGATTGGTGAAAAGGTTTTTTTTTTACAAAAAATTGCTTTTTAAAAAAATTACTGTTTTCATCGTCTTAGTCACCGTCAAATGACTCTTCGGAGCTGGATCCCCTTTAAAAATCCACTATTTCAACTGCTTCATTGTTTTCGTAGCGAAATAGTGTATGCATGTCCCTTCCACTGTCATGTCGAAGCAGAAAATAAGTTGAGATTGTGATTAAAAAACTCCAAACCAGACTTAGAAACAAACGCATCATTGCGTTATATTCTCCACTTAAACATGGCACAGATTTTGCCACATTTCCGACTTCTTCCCCTACCATTTCTTAGATTGTGTATTACCACTATTTCGATTGTACCTTTATTTCTGGAGTGCATTAGTGTGCCCGTGTCTCATCCACTGTCATGACGTAGAAACTTGATGAGATTGCGGAAAGAAAAACGCCAAACCTGCTTTGCATTTATTATTCAGTACTCGTGGAACACATTTTATCAAATTTTTCCGTTCAAAATTAAAAACACTGTACCTTACACTATGCGTGTGGCTTTAAATCATAATCATTTATCCAATTAGTTTAAAATCATTTACCCAATTATAAACAGTCACAAGAACAAGAGCATACAGGATGTACCATGCATAAACTTCATCTAACTAGACTTAGGTCTACATTTTTGCTGAATTTTTAAATGGAAGTGTTTATTTACTTAGCGAAAATCATTTCCTCCCTTTTTTCTAATTAAACTTAAGTTTATTTTTTCAATCGACCATGACGATACTGGTGGAATTTCATCAACTATTTAATGTGGAATAGCGCTTTCTAAAGACAAAAATTTTTCGATTCTATGAACATAATTTTTAGATTTACTAAGAACTTATAAAGTCTCGTATAATTCTGATTTTTAAAAATTTTTAAAGGAAAAAGTCAAAAGAAAATGGCTGCTGAACTTTGATGGAATATTATTACAATAAAAAATTTTTTGGCTCAAAATTTTTTAAATCGTAGAAATGTCTGCTAATTAGAAAATTGTTGCTGAACTTTAATGGAATTTTATAACAGAAAAGAGTCATTGACATATCTGAAATCGATTGTGACATATCTGAATCGATTAAAGTGATTGAAATATCTTAAATCGTATGTGACAGCAGGATTTGGTTCTTTGGTGTAGAGAAAAAAAGAGACATTTTTAATTCTCCTTTTCTTTAATAATATTTCAATTATTCGGAAATTAAAATTACAATTTGTATTGTTAATCAAATCTTGCAAAGGAGTTTTTACTTCTCGCTTTTTTCCCATTGTAAATCAGAGTATGAATTTCAATTTAATTACCAGACATTGTGAAAGACTAGCAAGAAATAAAAGCTATGCATTATGCAACTAATAATTTAAAAAAAAATAGGCATACAACTTAAATAAAGTGCAAAGCTTCGGGGGCAAAGTTATGATAAGCCATATTTTCGAACTATGCAAGAACGCAGTTTTTAAGGAACCATTTTTGGTGAAAAACACTACAATTTCTATTGTAGTTTAAATGATGCATTTCTGTTTCGCTATCTAGTGAAAATTCCAGAAACTCATAAAGTACCTATCTGGAAAGAGTTCGGTGAAAAAATGTCACTTTTGGTAAAAAGTGTGGCTTATCATATTGCCCCAAAATTTTCAACTTTATTCAAGCGTTCAAATGAACTTACTTGGCACGGTTAGAGGGTCTCTGTTTTTAAAGACGTTACTTTCTGACAACGCGATTGAGCATCGGCTGACATCCACTTTCTTCTGCGTCCGGTTCAGCTTCTGTTTAAGGTTTACAAACATTGTGATCAAATAAATCAATAAAAAAATTAATTAAAGTCATTAAAATCTAAGTCAATATTTCATAATAATTTAAAATTCATTTATAAATCTAATGTAGTTTTTAACGCTTAAGTTTGATCTGTTGTTGTTACTATCCCAGCTGGGATAGCGGAGCTATACCAGATCCATGAGGCCGTGAGGAATCGAGGAAAAGGAGAGGTCTCTCAAGAACCTCTTCCATGGTGAAATCCAGGCAATCAAGTAGATGGTGAGGACTAGTTTTGATGGAGTTGCACTTTTTACAAGTTAGAAAAAGTTTAATTCGTCCACTGAAAGTGAGGCTCTTAGTATGCCCACTGACAAATCTACAGGTAGGGGTTTGGTCGGCACGTGTACCCTGAAAGTCAAGGGCTCCTCCAGGACGCTTGCGGGGATAACAATTGCGATCCGGTGGAACAAGCCAAGCTTTATTAACTTTAGATTTGCGGATAGAAAATAATTCAGAGTAAGTGAGGGTCGTGTTTGGAGAGGCTAGGAGAGAAGTACCTTCTTTTGCCAACTGATCAGCACGTTCGTTGCCAAAAAGACCCACGTGTAAGTTTGGTCTAAGTGAGTAATGCAAATCGTAATCTATTTTCATAAGAATTAAATACTTTATATTCGTATATTTACTAAGAAAGTGTTATGTTCTCTTAATTATCGTCATCGAGAGATGGTAAATTCAATTTATAAAATATTTAAAACTGTGTTTACTATACTAAACTCTCGTAATATCAGACCTCCGATTCTTTCAAATAGGGCACAATTCACAATTCAAAGGTGCTATGAATTATAACTGAATCTTAAAAGACAACATTTATGATTGACTAAATTTTAAAAAGTTTTATTTAAAACAAGCCCGTTCTTCATACCGGGGGAAAAAAAAGTAAATAATTAACAAATCAGTATTGATCAACGATAGGAAATCATGCACACAATGAATACAGATGCAATAAATTAAATGAAAACAAGTCCAATTTTTTCCCTTGGTTATTTCATGCTTTTTCTCTGGCTTTGTGCAATTGTATTAAGTAAAATATGTTATAGAAGTTCTTCCAATCAAAATAAATATTACTATCCACCTGATTAAAAACTTCATCTGCTTCAAAAATACATAAAAAAGAAACTTTCTTCATTTTTGCATTTTTCGTCAGCAACTTTACGTTTCATATTTTAGATCACTTTTGTTTCTTCTCATTCATGTCTGTGCAGTCTTGAAAATGAGCGCCTATTTTTGATGCGCTTGAAACATGTTTTTTTTCCTTTCCTTTTCACGAATTTTCGAAGCGAATGAAGGTTTTAATCAGGTAATAACTAACCGCTTCTCTTGGAATTAATTATTTATATTCAGCATCATTTGGTATATAATGTTGCTGCTCGGGATCAGTTCTTTAAAGTCATTCAACAATTTTTTTCGCTAATTATTCATTTCGGTGGTCCGTAAGAAACCTATTTGCTAAGTACCTCCTTGCACAGTATCTTGGTACCAATATTAATAAATGTATTACTTACTATAAATGCCAATAAANTTGTTACATTTGTAACAGATTTATTGTAAATATACTTACATTATACTGCTTTAAAATTAAAGCTCGTCGATCCAATGTGCACATATAATTCAACTCCTTTAAATACAAACTGATATTTTGTAGAGGAATTGATGTATCTTCATATTGAATGGCTTCGATCAACGCTTCGTATATGAAAGCATACTGTTCCTGTAAAAATGTGTGACATTTTAGTTAACTACGTCAATTAAAATCTATTTTCAAGATTCTGAATTAGAAAACACTGATAATTCAAATTTTAAATGTTTGTTATCCTTAAGAAAGCAAAATTAGCAGAATAATCTTCACTCAAAATATACAACATATCCAAAACTTATTCAAATACGGAAAGCGATATTCGATTTCCTGTGTTCCTCGTAGGAAACCAGATAGTTGGGTCTCCAACTAAATTAAACTTCAAAATAATTTAAAATGGTATAATAAAACAATGGTGTAATAAAACAATGGTATAATAAAACGCTATTCGCAATAACAATATGCTGCAGACTACGAACAAAAATTGCAGAGTCTGCTTTTTTTTGTGTGTTGTACAAAGATTAAAATTGGAATGATCTGCCATGCAATAGAAAACATTGTTTTATACATTTTTCAGTCAGTAGCGCCATCTGCTGACTAACTTTGAAATTACGTGAAAGTAAATGTCTGACTTTTCCAGTAGAATGCACGAAACAGTACATTTCTATTCGTTTTTCTTAGATTGATTTTCTAATAATCAGAGATTTTCGAGTCACTCATTGTTTTCAGTATTACCCTAATAACACAATTGTGAATATTGCAAATTATTTCTAAGAAAAAAAGTTATCGACTTTGGTTTAAAATTGAAATGGTAGTTAAAAGGAGAGATTGATCACTATATTTAAGTTAATTTCAGAATTCAACTTAGTACAGTACCAGGGTTTGAACAAGGTGTACTCGTTGGTGCCTCGCATTGTTAACGAATCGGAAGACGTCTACTCTTCGATCTTCAGCGGCTTGTTGACTCAAAGCATCTATTGCAACGTATGAACCTGATCTTCCAGCACCAGCACTGAAACATACATAATTTTATATAGCCCAATAATAAGGTGTACCGTAATGACCATTTATAATATGCATTTTTAAAATCTTCTCATGTTAAGTGAGAAAAGTAAACAGATCTGGGATCAGAAATTAATATTTAAAAGAGAAAAATGAAAAACGCTATCGAAAACTATCGAAACTGTACTGAAAACATCCAAAACCTGCTGAAAATGGATGGATAGATAAGAAAGTACTATAGACCTGCAATGTACAACCATAGGTCCACTCATAACAGGGTGATCATCACGGACTTTTTTCATGAACTTTATGAAACTATTGATATTCACTGGAACATTTCTATCAGGCCAGCCCGTATACTGATACTGGATAACTCTGTGAGTTCGTATTTCCTGAAACAGAATAGATGAAATTATATTTTGAAATAAACAAAGAAAATCTAAACAAATTTTTAAAAAAACTATCTTGACCGTTTTGCAGGATATAATTATAACTTTTTTTAAAACTTTTATTCAATATAATAATCAGTTTTTGTTGCTTTTTATGTATTCACTAAGTATAGAGTGTGCCAGGTAGTAGTAGCACAGAGTACCAACGAGTTTTGAATAGAGTATAGAGTACCAAAGAATAGAGCTATAGAGTATATCAGGTTACGAGGCTTTACTGTAAGGTACCTGATATACTCTTTTTAATGTGATTTTTAATTACTGTTTCGCATAAATGTGGTTGAATTTCGTTGATACGTCACTTAATATCACCCCTCAAAGTAAAGTTCAGTTTGGTTTTCTTTGTACAAAATTAATACTACAACACCACCCCAATAACAGTCCAACAGCATAAAATCGCATGATCTGAGAAACATATTGTGATCATCAAAACGGGTAATCTGGTGACCTGGAAACGAAACAATAATGCTCAATATATTGCTGAACAATGAAAATGCGCCCTTCTTTCGTGCAACTATTGAGTTTTTTAGAACCTTGTACTATCAGTTGCTTTTTTTTTTTTTTTTTTTTTTTTTTTTTTTTTTTTTTTTTTTTTTTTTTTTNTTTTTGCATTTTTTTTCATTTTACAAATCACTCAAACTTAAAGTCTTGAAGGAATTTCGGGACACCCTTTTACCCTTTCAGTGCAGTGGGATAAAAACTGCCCCACTTATTTTTGACAATAATATAGAACAATAACATTTCAAAAGTTTGTATCTCTTAAACAATACGGTTTTGATTAACCATAATTCATTTTGAAACGTAAAGAAAAAGCAAACCACCATTGTTGATATGCACCACAATTCTACTGGCTCACATTTTTAATACTTTTCTTTTTGCCCCGCAATGTTTTTTGTTTTATTATATTGCATAACCAGCATTTAAAAGCCAACCCGATTCTGAGTTCACGACTGTCAATGTTCAACTCCATTGCCTTGTAATTTTGAACTCCACTCAGAAGACAAAGGAACTCCTTAATCAAGCATTGGGACAAACTAGTCTTCGTGGAGGTCTCTTGGTGGAACTTAAAAACATTTGCATTACATCAGAAGAAAACTAAGAAAACCTTCCATGGTTAGCCAGACGTTAAGAGGATTCTTACCCATGATCCGCCTACCCCTGAAACGAATTACGTGATACATTTTCTTTTTCAATTTCGCTTCCAATAATTTTGCAATTACAACAGAGCCCGATATTTTATTTCAAAGAAAAATTCAAATTGAAAAATAAAAAGTATTCGAAAATTTTAAAATACAAATAGCTTACATCAATTTTTCTGATGAGCATCGTTCGTATCATTAAATCAGATGTTTCTTCATGGTGAATTAAAAGAATTTGAAAATCACCTTTGTCCATCGAATCCTCTGTCCAATACTTAGCACATTTTACCTGGAATTTTTCAAATTTATTGTGTTTATTATTAAAATATTTTAAATAGCTAATTTAACAAAAGAAATTTCATGAAAATAAATATATATACACAAATATATTTTTACATTTGTAATAGATAAGTAAGCAATTTAGTGCCGATAGCATGCATACATATTGGTTCTATACGGGTAGCATATGTGATGAACGTTTACAATTTCTAACTGTAACTGTTAACATCTTAAATGTATAACAGCATGAAAATAAAATTTGCAAACAACCCTTAATAGGTGTTTTAATTAAAACGAAACCTTTCTAAATATTTTAATACAATAATAATGTCTGATCCCATGCGTGATTTGCTAAGAGAATTTCCGAACATTATACTGAAATTCCACAATGTGAGCAAAATATAATAAATCGCATGATTTTTTCAATCACACAAGACAATACCTTTCCATTTTCTACCAAATCTGTAATCATAATAATGACTGGAACACTTTCTTGCCAAATCATTCGCCAGAAATCTAGTACGGTGTTTTCTAAAGGACCTTTAAAAATAAATCAATCATCAAATAATTTATTTTGGTAAAATACACGCAATAAATCATTATTTTTCAAAAAAATAACTTGTTGCAATTTAAGTGAATAAAAAAATATTAAAGAATGCTTTTATAGTTTTCGAAATACTTGATATGGATTAAATATTACCCTGTGTCACAATATATTCTTTCGGTCTTCTGAATCCCTGAAAATATTAAAAAAAATCTTTAAAACACATTTTGAGCTTGTTACAATGTATTATTAGTCATTTGTTCAGTTATTTGTAATAGATAAGTAAGCGAAGTATCATTTCAATTATAAAGTTTAGAAATATATAAGATCTACCAGAAAATTCTGCCTGGTTTAAATTAAAAGAAAATAATGCGTGTTTATAATAATTCATTTGTTGTTATCTGTTGTGACTATCTTAAAGTTTCTTGCTATCTACGAAGTTGTGTTGTTGTGGCTTATCCTTCAATGCTTGACGAAGTCAGACAAGGTCCATCAGACCGCTGACCCTAAGAATATTAAACCCTAAAAATATTATTTGCTTTAATTATATATTTCGATCGTACAGTTTCTAACTTAGTAAATATCTAAATGCATTAAATATGCAAAAAAAAATTATTTTAGTTTTAAATTTTATAAAAAAAAATAGTAATAATAATCATGCATGCTTGTATATCTATAATAAATAATATATTTCTGGTCCGAAATGGTGTTTTGCTTTAGTGAATTTTCTACGATCTACAGTGCTGTCAAAAATATTATTTTCAATATATGAGAGTTTTTAACTTCCTAAACTCATTTCAGATATATTTATCTGATAAAAAATATCGATATAACTTGCAAAATATTCATTTGATATCAATGCCCCGGCAGGTCTTTTTTTTTCAAAATTCTTGAAGATGTGTAAATCACATGGAGCTATGTCTGATCTGAAAGCTTGATTGTTCAGTACTTCCTATTCAAATTTTATTGCTTTGAATGTGTGCAATCTAGCACTATCAGTACAAAAAGATATTTCGACAAAAAAGTTTACCAAGACATTTGATTTAATTTTTTCTTCTAAACATTTGACAAAGCCTTTTGCAATCAGTTCCTCCATAATGAAAAATTTTATAAAAAAATAATTAATAGATCGACAGCTGTTCTTTTATCATTACTTACACGACATGCATTGTCATCTGACGAGTAAAAAGTGCAATAATCATTTTCGTTACACTAACAATCTCATTTATTGACTTGACGTAATAAACATAACGTACAGACATACTTCTCAAAATCTAGATAAGAAAGCTCAATCTATTAAAACTTAAATGATGTCTGGTTTTAGGACAGAATTAACCGGTAAATCTAATAATTAAATTTTCCCTTATTTTTTTTTAAGCAATAGAGACGAAAATTAAAAATAATTGGTAGTTACTGATGCGTTTGTTTCACGTTTTGCAATATCAAGTTTCACAAAAAAATATACTTACATCAATATAACTAGCATTTATATAGTCATCGTCATTTTTATTTGTTTCCGACTGCAGCACAACCCTGTATCGATCATCTGAAAGAAAAGAAAAATGTAGTATAACAATGTTGTAGATAACGTTTTTTTTCTTCTAAAAGTTAATTTTAACTGTTCTATTAGGCATAAAAAATTAGTTATCTTAATAATCTTTTACTTCTCCTCCATCCTCCTCAATCAATAATTATTTGAAAACCAACCAGAGAAAAGAAAAACAAAGTTTATGTACCACGAGATTTTGACCGCGAGATATTGACCACGAGATATTGACTACGAGAAAATTCGGCCACGAGAGAGACAGCTTATAGCGAGACCTTGTAGGACGATTTCTTCTAATCGACTTGAAGACGATATGTAAGTTCCTTCATCGATTTTAGAATGCACTAGTTAAATTGGCGTACTAACTCATTCCATGGATTTTCGAAACTTTATTCTCCAGTCAATCCCTTCAGAGAATCCTGTTGTCATTGTACCTATCCATGGTGGACCTAGTAATGCGGAATTTAGCATAGCCGTAATAGATCTCAATGGTCAAACCCGAAAACCTACCACAATACACTTTGCCATTCAAAATCATATTATATATGTTGTGAATGAGCTTTCTATAAATATCGAACACCAGTCGCAGTCCGTACCAGGACAGACACAAGACCAATAATTTAACCTCCACCGATAAGCAGGATCCAAGTACTTATTGGTAGACAGTGCAATTTTGCTTTTGGGAGTAAATAAGTTACATGTACGCCTGATATCAGGTAAGTATTAGAAAATGAGCTATTTTCTGTCATTTTCATTTGAAAGTCATTGATTATAAATTGGAGGACGAAATTCAAAGTAGTTGATCTAATATTTCGGAATCAAGCAAAACTGATGAAAATAGTGAAAAGCACAGCATGAGAAAAGAAAAAAAATGTTAATAAAAAATAATTTTTTTAATAAAAATGAAACTGTATGCATAAAAATATTATTTAAATGTCTGAAAATTCATTACATATTATGTGGATCACTAATTATAACATGAAACAATTTATTGTAAGGTCCGGTGGCGAAAACAATTGCAAGCTTTTGAAATTAGATATGACAAGCTCAGAATAACATTTGATTTATAAACTGAAATATATTAGAAAATTGCAACCAAATATCATATCAATAACAGAAAACCAGTCTTCTACTCTCAGAAATTTCAATAACTCCCGATAAGTCAATATTATTTTAAATTACTACTAGTCCAAAGTCCACTTTGGACTATTGGATGGAATGATAATACGTTTAGAATATTTGTGTTATAATCGAATACTTAAACGGGTCTTATTTTCTGACACTTTAATGATTTCCTCTCGTTATAAACATACTGAATGTGAACTCTAGTTAACTTACATGGCAAAATATTTCCGTATCTGTTTTTCTTGAGATTTCCACTTTTTCTTGCAGTTGTCCATGGCGATGTCTGCCCTTCGACCAATTTCTTATAAAGAGAACAAATCAAATTTTATTTTTGAGCTATACAAGTGCTTTCGATTTAGATGTAACTTTATTACACAAAAATTTACTTGAAATTCTTCTGCCAAGTGGTTGGTATTTCTTGCAGCTGTGAGATAGTCTTCAAGTGTCTCAATGCGCATTCCACGCGCAATTTTACTGTCACTCTTACAACGTTTTAAAGACGCATCTGAAAAATTGCAGTTATTTGGGCATTAACACTCACAAAAGTCTCTATAGGTCTCATTACAGTTACGTATTTACAAGAAAAAACTTATTACGTCTAATTATAGTTATTTATAGTTTAAATAGTTTTTTACGACTTATTACAGCTAAAATATTTAATATATCTTCTCTAAGTTATTACAGTTAAATTTTATTGAGTTTTATAATAGTTCAATATTTATGGTTAACTGTCTTATTACGCCTAATTATAATTAAGTTTCGTTAAAAGATTTATTTTGACTTATTATAGCTAGGTATTTACAGTTAAAGTTTTATTAATATTCATTAAAATTAAATATTTACGGTTAGAAGTTTCATTATGTCTAATTATAATTGAGTATTTATGGTTAAAATCTAAGAACGTCTTAGAATAGTTATTTATTTACTGTTAAGAATCTTAAGTACTTAAATTAGAGATATAAGAATAACCGATAAGTTACTAAACTCATTAAAGTTTTAAGTTCAACTTAAACTTATTTTAAAAAACTTGTATTGAGAAATATTTCAAATGTATTAAATTCCAAATAGAAGCTTTCCAATGTGTTCAAGTCGATCAGTCCTTTAAAAATGAAATTAAAAACATTTATTTCGCTAAGAAAATTGGTTAAAGATTTAAATAACTTAAGTGACATTCTTTAAAAATCACAATACAATTAATTACCATTTAAAAATATTAAGTCTCTTAAAAAATTTGCAAAAATCTGAAAATCAATGATTTTAGTTTAATTGTTAAATCCTACTTCTTTAATTCATGGTGTCTAATAACTACTGTGTATTAGTTCTGCAAAATGCTTAACTTATTATAATGCATTATTCTTCATTATAAGTATTTCAATTTTATACATAAAACAGGAACGGGCTTTACTTTTTTCCTTGAGGGGAAATGTCCGGAAACCATCCGCAACAAAATGTCCATCAAAAGTTGGACTTGAATCCGGTGATTTGTACATTACAGACCATGTCATTGATCCCGAAAGGCCTGAATCTTTCGTTGAAAATGACGTCGTAGATTTCTTTCGTTTCCTGTAATAACAATGATGCAAGTAATGTTTTTAATTATTATTCCTAAACCTTAGCTTTATCGCTTAAAATGCGCGCATGCCCAGTTATCATGTTTAGGAACTGTATCATGGTAGAAGCCATTTTATATTATACTGGACAACATTACTGGAATATGACTGAGCAAAATATTTGTGGATCATAATAAAGAGAGATAAAAGTACAGATGATTGATGGTGACACTCACAATGGTGTAGAGAGAGCGAGCGCGGCAGGATGATTTTTATACCAATAATGCAACCACGTGACTGGTAAATGATTCGAGGGAGAAATTTTCCACCTTCTGTTTCAACTCGTAACTTCAAGAGAAAGAATTTTAACGAAGAAAATCTTAAAATATGATTTTTTTTACAGTGGTGCATTCGGATGTTAATGGAACTTAATTAAAATATGACCTTATACAATTCATAAGCAAGTAATTTTATCTTATTCTGGAATAACAATTGCATCATTTACTTAATAAGTGAGCTTTATGCGCAAGTTTCGTTAACTTAAAACATTCATTAATCCCAATTATTGCATTTTATTCTATCCAAAATCTAAATTTGTACTTTTAAAACTACGGTATATGCGAATACAAACATGTAAGAAAACAACCACAAAGTAATGATTATATAGAATTATTTACTATTAATACATCTTTTTAACAAACTACGTTTGTTGAAACCAGGTTGATCTTTTATTCTTGCTTTATCCGTAACCAATACACTTGATAATAAAGAGAACTCACCGAATTTATCAAGATTCAGAAGTTTTCATGAAATCCAGAATTTGAAAGTGTCCTCAAATTAACGTCATTTCGGCTTTCTAGTATTCAAATTTAGATTAGTTTAATTTTAACACATTGAGTAGCAAGAAGATGGTTCTGTTAATCTCTTCAAGAATCGGATAATTTTATAATGTAATTATTAGAATCATTAGCATTACTAGAATGGCTTTTAAGTTTTTTTTAGCGATCACACTTCTTATTCCCTCTCTCTAGACGCTCTATACTATAGTGTACTGTATACAGCGCGCAGTATTATAGAAACACTGTAATGTGTTTCTGTAATGTCTGATTCGCCTGTCTGTCTGATTCGAGAAACACTGTAATGTGTTTCTCGAATCACACCGGCAGCAATAACAGATATCCATAATCATCATGTAATGATTTGAGCGCATTTAAAATAAAACAACAATATTTCATTACGAATATTTCATATAGGATTTACCATGCTTTTGGTAGATAATTTTGAAAGCATAATATAACTTAAAACGTAAAAATGTTCTTAAAATGATAAAAATATGTGTTTTTATAATGTACTAAGAACAAATTACCTTCTGAAGCACGCAGCTACAACAGTTATAAAAGTGACGGCAGTTAGAAACACCAGTCCAGCAATAATGATCAAGACAACCATAAAAAGATCAAGACCACCGATTTTAGTTCTCTTATGCTCGACTAGGACAGACGTCGTTTCTGTTGTAAAAATACAGATTTATATGATATAAGTTTCACAGTTCAAAAAAAATTATATTTCTAGTTGAGCAAGAAAGCATAACTATAATTTAAAATTAACCTGTATACTTACCAGCAGTCTCATTTCTTGGTTCTGAAATTACTGATTTTAGTTCCTAGAAAGAAGATGAAAAAATATTAATTATAATAACTAGCTTTTAATTCTATATTCTTTAGAAATTATTCTGCTAAAGATGTATTTCTAAATTAAATTCCGAAGTCAATTTTTTAAAACAAATAATTGAAGTTAAATATTGTTACTTTAACTAAAATAAGTTTTTTTTTAAATACTCACTTTGTCCTTCGCAACAAGAGTTCGAATTCTAATTTTGTATTCATGTCCTGGATTCAGGTGGACATTGTTGTAGCCTCCCCAGTTCTTCTTATCCCCGACAACAAATGTCTGTTCCCCCGATTGAGAGACATTGTTGGGATCCAGCTCAGCAGCTATGTAATATGGTAGTCCTTTTTTAACCACGGCAGTTTCATAACCAGTTAGTTGATTTTCATCGATTGGATCGTCGTTTCTTGAGTCTTCAACAATCACTTGGTATTTGCTGTACAAAGACATATCTATGAATTATTTTTTTTTTGAAAAATAAGGCAGTTTTTACTATATCAATGGTAGGCGGTAATGGTTCATAAAATATATCATATAATTTTGCGCAATATTTTTTAAATTATTCGAAATATTTAATGTTATATTAAAAAAAGGTTTCAATTATTAATTCACTTAATGCAAGTTTTAGCACAGAAGAAAGATTAGTTGCTTTTCAAGACAAACGTGATTTGATTACATGAAATCTGAGTCAGAACACTGTCTAACAATTTAATGTTAGGAAATATGTTAGGAAATATATTTCCAGAAACTACCTTTGAATGTTTGAACCAAAAATATGCTTGGGTAATAGAAAAGTACTAAGTAATGTATGTTTGTTTGCTTTACCAGTATAAAGTATTTTGCAACTTTGGTTGTTCTTTACATACCAACCATCTGCGCTTTCTTGGAAAATTCCTCGATTGGTAGCAAATCTTACGTTTGAGTATATGACGTTTTGTTTAGTAAATTTAATTTTAAATTATTTTCCTAAACACTACATGTGAATGATTCGAAAGTTCTAATAAAAAGCCCCTTTGTTCCATTTCTCTCATGATGAGGCTTCTGAAATGAGGGCAAAACGAGCCGAAATTCAGAAAGCTTTAGTTTTTAATTGTTCACCACTCAACAAAAAATTTTACAAAAAGCGTAGTAGCCATGTACATATATGATTTAGAGTTTACAAAAATCTAGTTTTTTGTGTGTTTCATTAAAATTTATGGAATACTTCCACATTAATAAAAAGCACTTTTTTAATAGTAAAGTACCATTAAATTATAGTGCACTCTTTAAGAGGAATTAAATTCACTTGTACTTTTGAGACACACTCGATTTGAAGACACAAGATTTGAATCTGAGTGTTTTTCAACGACATATTTTTAACATTAGCATTAGAAAGAATGAAATAATAAAATTGTTTTCATTTGCTGCATGAATAAAATGCATAATAGATTACAAAATAAATGTGTCACTTACTATACAGAAGAGCTTCCAGTGGTTGAAAATATTATTGGTATGGTTTCATTGGTTGCCTCTATAGGGAGCAACTTAAGAGATGGTGATACATGGTCCCCTGGTAAAGACATATTCTTATATTGTACATACTTTTGTTTTTAAATCATAAACTTTAATTCACAACACGTTTAAAGTCTTGTTCTTATAATAGCAAAACAGATCTTTTCAGTGCTTTATGAGCCAGTTATACTTAAAATATGTGTCTAAAAATTTCTGGATTAATGAACTGAATTTTCTTAGTTTATTGCTTAATAAACAAATAAATAATGAAATCACAAGCAGGTATGTAGGTATTTTATTTACGTCGCACTAAAGCTGCACAATAGGCTATATGCGACAGTCTGGGAAACATCCCTCAGAATGATCTACGACATGCCATCACAATTTTGATCCTCTGCAGAGAGGATGGCGCTTCCGTTTTGGTAGTCCAACAACCTGCACTCGAAGTCGAGCACTTTACGGTAGAACAATTTAACGAGGACCGATTCCGAACATCCTCAGTCCATACGCGAGCGGATCGAATGACCACAGACAGTGATGCTTGACTTCGGTGTTCTACTGGGAACCGTGTCTTTACGATCAGTCCACTGCGGGACGAAATCACAAACAGAGGAATAAAAGTTTAATTGAAATTTTAAATGTGTGATCATTTCTTAGTGTAATTTATCATTTTTTTTACTTATTTGAAAAACAATGAATAATAAAACTTTTATGGATGAACTGGTAAAATTTTTTGAATAAGTTACTTCAGTTTTTTTTTACCTAATATCACTGTCCAGCAAAGAAAGGAAGCGGGAGGCCCGTATCCAGCAGCCGTTTTAGCAAATACTGAGACTGAATATTGAGTACTAGGATGGAGATCTTCTAAATATGCCTGATGAGTGTCCTCGCTCACTTCAATTTCCAATTTCTCAAATGGAGTGGAGTTATAAACAGGATCCAATGATGAAACGGGTTGGTATCCGACCTACAAACATATGAAAGCTTCTTTAATCTCTCTTAAGTGAAATTAACATCCATGTAGATTATTTAAAAATTGTTAATTTCTAATGAAGCTTAAGAAACTCAAAAAATACTTATTGGAAAAGACATGTAAAAAGAAAGGAAACCTTTTCTTTAAAAGAGATGAGTTGCAAAACAAAATGAATATTTACGAAATAATGGCTATTTGTGGAACAAGCTCATACAATATAATCTTGCACTTCTGATATTTAATGTGGTTATTTAAATTGGGGGGAAATCATAATTAAAGTATAAAGAATCATTGACTAAAATAGTTCATATTTTCTAAAAAATGAAGAAATGTGCATTAATGAGGAAGTTCAAATTAAATAGATTTCGAATTCTATCTGGCTTTTATTTCAATCTTCGGAACTTAATTCAAGCATTTTTGTAAGTTTTGGATGCGAAAAAATAAACCTTCAGAAAAGGCCATCTCTTTGTAGCGACCTCTTCTATTTACGACCACTATTGGGAGGCACGAAATTTTTTACACAGACTTTGTTTTGAAGAAAACCTTTGGGAGAGACAATAAAAATCTCCCCCAGTGACCGGGGAAACATCCGTACCAAATGCGGAAATACTCAAAGAAGGAAACACGAAAAAATATCAAAACAATTAGTAGATTGAAATGTGTTCAAAATATTTGAGAGCTCTTTTTGACTATCTCTAAAAGGGATCGAAAATCTCATGTTGCAGTCAGACTGCACTAAAGTCAAGGCTAGCGATGATTTATTTTTCAAGTTGGAATTTAAATTAAAAAAATAAAATTATTTTAGAAAAAACTAAGCATCTCAAGCAAACCTTTTCTTATTTTTTAAAGCAAACTAATTTTCATGATATAAAATTAAATGCAAACTTAAACAAAACATAATTGCAGGGCTCGAAAAACCACCCGTCCGCCCGTCCTCGGAGGTCAAAAATTCTCTGCGGACAACAAATTTCTCGAATCCGACGTCCGCGCGGACGGCCATTTTCCCGTTAATATTCGTGAGACATTTTCAATTTTTGTTATCTTACAAGAGTCTAGCGCCTCACTTCTAAAATGACCCTCTAATCTCGAAATACAGCAACATACTGCGCTCTTTGGAATTGATGCTTTCTCTGCCTTGGAGTACTGCAGTGGTTGAAAGAGGCTTTTCAGCAATGAGCTTACAAAAAAACACCTTACGTACTGGTCTCTTAAACAAGAAGCGTTAAACGCAATTATGAACATCCACCTAAATGGAAAACCCGTTTCATATTTCTGTGCAGAAACCTCTGTAAATCATTGACTTGATTGTGGAACTGTCTAACGTCATATTTGTTTCATTTAAAAAACGAAGTACCCTCGGATAAACTGACATTCCAGATAACTTGACCTTTGTCTTTTAAATTATTTCATAAAAGAAATACTAGGTTTTACTATTAGTAACCTAGTATTTGTAATCCTAGTAACTACTAATTCATTGTGCAATCTATATAAATGTTTGTAACAAATAAGAGAAATCTATATTTTTATTTATTTAGAAGCTGCGGGTTAGTTTCAAAGGAGGACGGGTACATTGTTGGACAAGCCGTCCTCGGGGACGGGTAAAATTTCTGACTTTCTTCGAGCCCTGCATAATTGTTTATTTATATGAAATAGTCCTATCATTTATAATTGGTAAACTTGTTTTTGCACATAACTTTATTAGTAGAGATCATTTTTATTGAGGCTAAATTTTATTCATCAATCCAGTTTTCATGTCGCTAACACAAGTGGCTTTTAAGCCCCAAGAAAAAGACAGTGAGAAAAATTAAAATCGTTTGGGAAAAATCATGTGCCTTCTATAACATTCTGAAGTTAATGGAGGTAACCCCGAAGAACGACCTACCTCCGTTAGAAACCATTTTACTGTGGAGAGTGGTCGCTTCCGAGAGGTTTCACTAGATTTATTAAGAGTCCGAAATCTGATTACATTTATGTAAGATACATAGCGAAGTTTCTCACCTTGTAACCTGTGATGACTCCATTTTTTAAGACAGGCTCTAACCATGATACGTTTAAACTCGTCTGCTGACTTTCAATTATCATGATTTCTGATGGTTCCTCTGGAGCTATTAAGGACAATAATTAATTAATAATAACGTACACAAAGTTAAAACCATTACTACTATACTGGAGTCATGAACCACAACAATGTTCGATTTCGAGACAAATTTCATACTGTAATTATAATTTACATTGTGATCAATTCATGAAAAAAAAAATTAAATCCTACCCGGTGTTTTTGAGATTGTTTTAAGTTTGACAGATGTAAAAAATACACCTGAGGTAGAAAATGAGTATCTGTTTTGTGTCAAAAATAACCTCAGTAATAAAACTAACTCAATTTCAACCTCATTTGCATCTCATAGAATTATTCTCATATATAACTCAGCAATACTTTTAGTTGAGATTAGGTTATATTATTCACACCTCAAATATACTTATTCGCTTGAAGTGAAGAAAAAATAACCTGTACACCTCAAAAATAATCTCCCTAAGCTGGTTTAAACCTTAAATCAGCCTTGACGCCTCAAAAAAAATTCAAAAACACATTAAAAGTTTGAAAGGACAGTTTCAGTTCAAATTCGCTTTCTTTAACTACAAAACCAACCATGATGGCACAGTGATTAAGTGATTCGCCATTGTAAACCTCATCAAACCAGGAGAATCAGGATCCTATCCTCTTTGGTGGCTTGAAGTCCACCCAGCTACTAAGCAATGGGTGACAACTTGAGTGGCACCCAATGCCTTATCTGCCACATTTTTGCAATCATGCCGTCAATCTTTTAACTCTATAAGCCCCTTCTCTGCTGACGTTCTGGCTGTTGTGAGAGTGCTTTACTCTTTTAGCTACAAATTTCTCTAACCTAAAAAATTATTTGCTTCATTATTGACTGAATAAACAGCGGCAATTTTTCTAAATTCAAAGAAAGGACTGTTTCAAAGTTGTGTGTATTCCAGTAAATGCAATATTAATATGCTATTACTAGTATTAGTCCAGAAAACATCCCGAAAATAAATGGGAAGGCAAGACTCCTCGTTCAAGTTTTGATAGCTTTGAAAGAAGACTAAGTATCATTAGAATCATTTGTATTACGTTTATAAAACGTCTGACGAATCAGAAGCTTATTCAACTTTTGTTGGAAATCGACTGTAATTCTCAATAATAACAATAAAATTGCACCACCAAGTAATAAAAAAAAATTTATAATTTTTTTCAAAAACATTAAGCATTTTCTTGATTATCCGTGAGTGCATTATCCGATTTATGGTTTATTCGTTGTGTTTCAAACTCACCTATGATAATCAATTATGAATACCCTAGTAAATGCCAGTTTTAATTAAAGCCACATAATTTTCTCACGGAGTATTCCTTCTTGAGATGATCTGAGAGAGCTAGTTTTTATGATGCTATAACAGAAAAATTATGATCCCTATGTTTTGTCGGTGTGATATTTTTTTCCAATTATCAGTCAGTCTTATTTTAATTTTCTATCATATTTTTATTAGTATATGAATGACAAAGTAAATAGAAATTCAATACATAAGAAACAAAAAAAAATGACCAGTTTCGATCATTTTCGGAGATAATTTGAACATTTTTAATTATGTTTTCCACATCAGCATGCCACCACAGAAAGTCAGGAATTTATTGTAAATCCGAAAAATAAAATGAAGTAAAACATAATAACCTCCATCTAAAGTTTTTTCGACAACACTTCTAACTTTCCCCCAACCAGCGGTCGTACTACCTTGTACCTAAAAAAGAAATATTAATAAAAAATAAATTATAATATTTCACACTGTCAAATAATTACTGTAAGAAATCCTTTAAATTTTTCCCTTTGCCCTTCAGATAATGTAATTCATGCCCTTCAGAATTGACAGAAAGAGAAAGAAGTGCTTCTCCAACTCCAAGTTTATACGTACTAAAGATACTACTTGAACACATGATAACATTTACCTGATCTTGGGCAGCTAGAGTCAGAAAGATTCCCTATATATATAATATTGTGGGCCAAGAAGAGAGAATTGCATGGTCACATATTATTTGCTTCATTATTGACAATAATCATGGACTTTAAGGGGTTGAATAACTCCTGATTATGCAAGAAAATTAGATTAATGATTTTTATCGTTGAAGTAAACAACACAGGTATGCATACAAGTTTTAGGAGAAAATCCTATTCGATAGTCCAGACATTTACGGTATTGAGGATGAGAATGAAAACAACTAAGCAATTCTAGAGCAGTAGTAGAAATTTATTCAAGTCGCTCTAAAGATGCACAATGGGCTACTGGTGACGGCCTAAAGATGATTTGAAGACATGCCATCACAATTTTGATCCTTTAAAGAGGGAACGCTCTCTCGCTTGCGCGGGAAGTCGCGCACTTTACTTCATAACAGTTAAACCAGAACCGTGAGCGCACACTCTCGGTCGCATCACAGCTAATCAAAGTGTTCACCTACCCACCTACTAACTGCTGTCAGTGATGTTTGACTTCGGTGTTTTACTGGAAATCGTGAAGCAGTCGTAGAATATAAATAAATTTATAAAGCAATGTTTACAGCAATACTGAATTCCGATCAAGGTAAGAAGGACGCAATTAATCATACTAAATAGTGCAATGTTAACAACTTCACAACATAATTTTTTAATTGATGATTTTCTCCGCTAGGGATGAAAAGAATTAAAACAGCAAATAAATTATTAATATATTTAATCAAACAAAATTCTTACATTTATTACAAATGCTAATAAAGGAAAAAGGCACGCAAACAGTTCGGTCATGGGTTACAATAGTGGCACAACTCAAAAAACACGCGTATTGAACTAAGAATAAGTGCGAATATGAAAATACACATTCTTTTCAACGCAATACTAGCACAACTCGTAATTTAAATTTAAGGTAATCTTCGTTTAAGCAAACTAAAGCATTTCTTATGCCTTTACCTTAGGAATGAAAACTTTCTTTTTTATTTTCAATGGCAGGGAATACAAACAATAACACAGAGGAGCAAAGTCATCTTCCTAAAAGCCCTCTCGCACGCCAATATCCTGCGGTCTCCGAGTCAAGTCCGTAGAGCCTCCTACAGCAATGGAGCTGCTCTCTACTCATTGGTGCTCCAGAACCACACAGTCGACACTGAGGGTGGTCATAAATACCTATACGATGCAGATGTTCTCCAAGACAATCATGACCTGTTAGGAGTCTAAAGGTGGCTACTGCATCTCGGCGTGGCTTATCTGGCACTGCCTTAATATCTGTCTCACTCCAGTTCTTATTCCTTTTGCTTTCCAGTAGGTCAGCAGAGGCATTCACTTTCATTATGTTTTTTATATGTAGTTTTATGGAATATTATGACAATCCAGAGCAACTTGGTTGAAGGACTTGTGTTCCCTTGCGAGCAAGAAAGTCAGATTGCTCGTTACCATAGATGTTACAATGGCTGGGAATCCATTGGATGACTACTCTTTTGTTTTTTAGTGTCAAAAGTCTGATAAGTCTCCGACACTGAAGCACATCATCAGAAAAAGTATGAAAAAAAACTTTAAACCTTATCCTAAAACATGATTTTTTGAGTTGTGCCGCCATTGCAGCCCATGAGCGAGTTGTAGATGTAAACAACTTTATGCCAGAATGCTTAAGCACTTGAAGGAATCGAACAAATTTACCAAAGAAGACTTACATGGATGACGTATTCGGTTGAGGGTGTGAGACGGTGTATAACGAGCTGTTGTAGTGTTGGAGATGTTCCCTCTTCATTAAATGCCTTGTGAATTATCTCTGATTCCAACTGATCTGTTACTTTGTTGTAAACTCGAATTTTATACAAAGAGATCACTCCATTGGGGTGATGAGGAGATTCCCATTGAATTCCAAGGGAGTCATTGGATGCTTCAAAAATACCCAAAGATCTCGGTTCATCAGGAACTATTACAGGAACAAGATTCATAAGAAATCAATAATGAGTGACTAGAATTTGAGTTCAGAACATGTATATGAAAAAGATTCTTTATGGTAAAGAATATTGATACTCTATTAATTTGTATTTAGTTAATGAATTTTACGGGATAATTTTGTTTTTGAGCAATCACCAGATATATTTGAATATTTTTTTGTCGTATTACTTCTGTAATACGTAATTGAACGTCACCATCAACAAAAAAAGTTTCTTCTCTGTTATCGACATAGTTATGTTACGCTTGCATATGCGTGTATTTATTAATTACATATTTTTATTTTATGTTGTTGAATTTTCAGCTCTCTTAAAATATTCGTTTAAAACACGTTGTCTGCCAAGAAGCCTTTAATTAAAATTCAGAACTTTGTTCATTGCATATATTTGTTATATATAGTTGAATTTGCAGCTCGCTCAAACTATTCATTTTTTTCGCACTGTCAGTTCAATCAAGATTTTAAACTATTACTGTAATATTTCTGTTATATGTAATTGAATTTGCAGGTACTCAAAACTATAAAACGGGAAAAAAATTTAAAAATTTAAATTTCAGAAAGTTAAATTTCAGAATTGGAATGCAATTATTTTAATCTATTATTTTGTAGTAATAGAATTTTTTTTGCATCTAAAAATTTTCAATAAAAAAATTTTCTGGTATAATTAATTTTTTATTAATTTTAAGGTAGAATACTCAGTGTTCAATATTAACGACATAATATTATTTAAAAAGTAGAGACTTGATAAATTATGAGTTCTAAATTCACATAATAAAAAGGCTTTTCATAACAAGCAACAAATACCAACATCGAAATAAGTTATTCTAAAATAATGATACTTACTGCCCTCGTCCGTTTTGTGAAAAATTATGTCAGATAGAACTCCTCTACCGACTGCAGTGGCTCCACCCACCATAAATCCATAAGCTGTGAAGGGTTTTAAATCTTTTATTTTCACCGAAAGAGCTGAAATTAAACAAAACAATGAAAATAGTTTTTTTTAAAGCTCTATACTGGGTGTCCCGTAAATGTTGCAACAAACGTCCAGGGGAAGTAGGCCACATCATAAGAATTACCGAGAAAACCATGATTGGAAATGTCGTCTTACGCTGATAGAGGGCTTTCCTAATATGGACATGTTGTTCGTGTGCCTTTGAACTTGCCCTTTTATTTTTCTAAAATATTTTAATTTCATATCAATTTTATATTAATATTATATTTTATAACCGCCGTTGAACAGCCGATCCAATTTTTGGGGTTCAACTCCGTAGCCTTGTACCTTTGAACCCAATCCAGAAGACATAGGAACGCCTGGATCAAGTATTGGGAGAAATTTGCCTTCGTAGAGCACTTTTTGATAGAACTAACTTGCATTTGCGTTACATGGAGAAGAAAACCACGAAAACCTTCCACGATTAGCCTGACGTCAAGGGGAATCTAACCCATGATCTGTCTAATACTGAGGATATTTTGCGTCTGGTTGGTGCAAGCCAGATGTAAAATTCGTATCGAACAGTCATCGCTGGGATTCGAACCGGGTTCACCTCATTGGAACGCAAACGCTTTATTCCCTGAGCCATCACGGTTTTACATATTACCATTATATTTTATATCTGTCGTTGAACAGCCGACCCAATTTTGGGTTTACAACTACTAATGTTCAACTCCGTAGCCTTGTAATTTTGAACTAATCCGGAAGACAAGGAAACTCTGGATCAGTACCCCCAGAGGTATTGATTTGTTATAGGAACATGGAGGACTCTGCGACTCGACAGATTTAACGTGCATCAGTCACCATTTACTACACGGGGAGTCTTCGGCCGGCGGGGATCGAACCCAAGAACTCTTGGACATGGGCCCAGTGCCCTACCAACCAGGCTGTCCCGGCCTTATATATTACCATTAGTTAGTCTCGAGAGTTCCATTAAAATAGGTTCAGAAATGCTATTTCATTGCAATTTAATGATCAGGCAAATTTGTTCAGTTAGTCACTGAATCATTAAATTAGGATAAAACAGCTAATATTACACCTATTTGAAACCATTTGTTTACAATAACTAATAGAAAGCAGAAAATTAATATAATTTAGATAAATAAAAGTACCTGATGTTCAGTGGTACATGATATAACAATTCATAAAGAAAGCGCCCTTAGCGGCAGACAATAACAATTCCGGTCATGGTTTCCTAGGTAATTCTTAATCCTTATGATCCGCAACATTTACCGGACACCCTGTATATATTCCATCTGTTAGTTAACAAGTATTAACAGCACATAATTTTTTAAGAGAAGTTTTCAAGGATCGAGCATATCATGCTTAAAATATTTTAGCGGCAATTTAAAGCAAAAATCCTCTCATTCCACTGGATGTTTTCTATGGTTGAAATTGGTGTAATTTAAACGGACTTCAATAAACTTTATTCGCTATTAGTAAGTGTATTTAACAAAGTAGCCAAGACTAAATAAACAAAAAAATACTTTGCAATACAAAATGGTGCCCAACCTATTATTGAAAAAAATCAAAGTTACTAATGAAAATGAAAACAATAATTTTTTCTGTAACTACTTTAAAGGTTTTTATTCATTTTCTGCGATATTAGGATGATTAATTACTTTATCCCAGAGATTTAATGTATTTCAATGTTCCGTCTTTAACTTCACCATAAGCAGCTCTAAATCTGAATCCCCCCCCAAATGTGGACATGCCATGTCCACCATAACATGTCAATCATATAAGATAATAAACATGTCAATCATACAAGCTATGATTTTTTACGATTTGATTATTAGAATTTAACAAGGTTCAACTCAAAGGAAACATAGCATAACTAGGGCTAAGAAATCTTTTAAGCCACAGTTAATTTTCTGGAAGAAAAAAATACATTCTTGTAATATGAAACCCTTATTAGACATATTTTGGTCTATGGCTTTTAGACATGAACATTGTCAAGATCTAATGAATTCCATTTGGGTACATTTGAGCAAAAGATTTTAAGCGTTCTAAGAGGGGTGAAAAAAAATAATTGTTGGTGAAGCCGGTACAGGACAGAAACTTATAAGTGCTTTAAGGATCCATACATTATAAAGTTTATCAAGATCAACAGAATAAACTGAGCTACTCAAGTTTTCAGAATGAATGATTTAATCTTTGAGAAATAGTTTGGCAAAGACACAGGAACAGAGAAGAGAACGGCCCAAACTGCGATAAATCGATGATGTTAACAGAGATTTTGGAATTGTCACCAAAGAGCTGCTTGTAAATCTCTTTAAAGGAAAATCCTAAACCACCCTGAGCTGTTGTGCTATTGATGATGAGCTACGTACCCCCCTCCCCCTTATAAAGAATGCAGCCAATTTTGGGGATTTTGTGTTTTAAAAATGATTTAATTTTCGTAGGAGTGTAGGACATCTCTCATAACTCGATTCAAATCTCCGCTGTTTTGATTATATAACGATATCTTCCGTCCCGTTTAGAAAGGAAGTGTGGTACATCTGAACACTTTATTAAGATTACAACAAAATTGTGTGATATTGAGATTAAACATTGAACTAATTTACGTAGGAGTATAAAATATCTAGCTTTAATTTATTTAGATGTGTCGCGGACTTGATTCTCCAATACAATTATTTCTTCCACACCCTCTTCTATATAACTAATTCAACTGAACATCTTATTAACATTTCTACGAAATTCGGAGACGTTTTTACTTAACATTGAAGCAATTTTCGCAGGTCTGTAGTACACCTTTTGAGAAATGTAGATGTAAATTTGATTAATTCAAAATCTCCCCACTAGAGAGCTGATAATCAATCTACATTGAACCACCAAGCAGTAAGCATTGGCTTGAATTAATCGTCTTCTAATGCATAACTTTATAATCTGAAGGGTTCCACCCTAATAATATGGAACTCGTTGTTTTGTTTAAATAAATATTTGTTTTCTTGTTTTCGATAATGATTGCCCTCCCCTTCTTGTTTAACACCTACCTTCGATTGAATCAAATATCCAGTGGGTTTGATTGTCCAAAGATCTTTTCCGCACTCTCGTACCAGAAACAGTGTTGATGACATCTTCGTTCTTAACGAGTGCATACTCATAGTACAAAATCTCTCCATTGGCTTCTTCACAGGGAATTTCATCCCATGCGAACTCCACAGATGTATTACTTGAAGAAACTAAACGCACATTGCGTGGGGATTCACTAGGAACTGAAAAAAAATAGGATAAGAAAATGAATCAGATATTTATAACTGTGCTATGAAAATTCTGATACATAAACAAAATTAATAAAAGTGAAAAGTTGTTGGATGAGTCACAAAGACATGAAATTTAGACGACAGACACTTCAGTCTTTAACCCTTTATTTCATCGGCGTTGCATATCTGCAACAAACACAAAGAGTATATGTATTTTCACAAGAGAGTTTTGAAGGACGGTCTCGGCAATCATTTCAATTCCGTTACATTGCTCATGACTTAAATTTTTCAACTTTTTTCGACTCCGTAGCGATACTGAGGTGATTTTTAGAATTGAAGTTCAATTTGTTGCTTAAAAAGTTGACCACAAATTTGCAAAACTTTTTAATTGAATTGAATTGATTAAGTTGATATTTTTGAATATTTTAATCGTTATATAATTTTTGCCAATGTTGCAGGAATGCAAACAATCAACATTTTGTCATTTTACATTATGTTTTAGAAATGTAATAATCATTTTTTTGAAATTATTTTTGATTTTATACTGTAAAGTGTTTTTATAAATTTTCCTAAAGTTAAATTTGTGCATTCTAATGTATTAGCAATTTTTTTCCAAATTGGAGTTGTTGAGATAAAAGGATTTAAATCTATCAAAATTTGTAGACCAGTCAAAATATCAAAAATTTTAGACCAGCATATTTTTAATGAACTATTAGTTTTCAGAAAAGTTCAATCTTTAGTTATCAGGTTCCGATCAAATTTTAGCTTACGAAAGTGACGAACCATCGATAATTTTGTTCCCTATTGTTAAAATTAAAAAAAGAAAGGTACGCGTTTTTTTTTTCGTTCTTTTTTTCAAATTTACTTAATATTTTTTATCCAGTAAAAAGGAACTTCATACTTCTTTGTACATACTACTTCATACTGCTTTGAAATATACAGAAAAGAATTTACCAGATTCAGCTGTATTAGCCACAACTGAAATCGCTTCTCCCTCACCAGCTGATGTCCTTGCTTGAACAGATACATTATAAGTAGAAAATGGATACAAATTCTGAAGAGTGAGCTGAAAAATTACGACAGAATTAAAACAAATTGAAAAGAAAGATTAAGTTGGTTCTGTACAACACACATGAATTCAACTATTAAATAATGAAAAAAATTCTATGATAGTTTAAGTTTTCATGATACATGGAAGGTTATGCATTAAGGGATTGCATTTAAAAAAATTATTATTTATCAAATATATTTCCCTAGCGATAGATGGCTCTAGAGACAAATGGCTCTAATTGTCTGCCAGTAGTTGTCTGGATGACTAATGTCAGTTTGAAGATGCGCCAATGGCATTGATGGTAAGATATCTAGAAGAATTGTCTGGTTTGAGCCAGACAATTTTAAACGGTAGTTCGTTTCCTATGGACAAAGAAATACCAGGAATGTTTACAATGAGAGTGTCATCCTCGCTTGCATGCTAATGTCCGGCCGCATAAAGTTGCCAAAACTCAGGCATTGTCGCCAAACATAAAGTAGGAAGTCCTTAAGCTACCCCCCCCCCCCCAAAAAAAAANCCCCCCCCCCCCAAAAAAAAAAGCCCAGACTTTTTTCTGGTACCCAAATTTCTCCACGAAGGCTAGTTTGCTATTATACTTGATCCACGAATTCCTTTGTCTTCTGAGTTGGGTTCAAAAGTACAAAGCTTCGGAGTTGAGCATCGTAAAAACAAAAATAGTCAGCTGTTCAACACCGGTTATAAAATAAATTAATTAAAAAACTTGTCCCAGGTATTTTTAAGTTTTTATTTCCTGCCTCTATTCTATTTCTTCTTATTTCTCAGAAGTTTTGGAACCCTGATTCCAACATTCTGGTTAAACATAATTAGAAATTAAATACGAATCCTTGAGAATAATTATCGAAGTAAGTTTAAAATGTTACATAATGAATGGCCTGAGCTTATATAAGTTTAGCAACAATTAAATTAATTCTTGGCCATAGATGGCGCCACTGGAAAACAAGAACAATCGCACACCCTCTGCCCAAACAGGCATACGTCAACAACAATTAAATGAAAGATAAAAGAGAGGTAATGTATGTACTTCTGTGTCATTTGAGTGGACTTTTCTTGTCTGCAACCCGTCATGTTCACCAACTGTACCACACTGGCCTTTGTCCACTAAGATTGAAATTACAGTGTATCCTCTAATAGTTCCGCTCTCCTCAGACGCAGCATCCCAAGATACTAGTAATAGGTCGGGTTTATCCACCACAGCTTGACATTCCAAATTGGAAGCTGGACCAGGAACTAACAAAATGAAAATCTGATTCATAAACCTTATTTATCAAATCAAATAATTAAAGACCAGAATAACTAGCTTATCAATACAGGATGCTTTATAATCAATTTCCTTAATTTATATTTGTGATTTTTTTTTGCGAAAAATGAAGAAAAAAATGCCCATTAAGAATTGCAAATTAGTATTAAACAAGTTTAAAAAAAGACCTTTGTCATCACCTAATTATAAACTCTTATTTTTTATATATATATTTTTTCTTTTTTAGATATTTATGCTTGACAAATAATAAAATTTTTATTTAATATATACAGGGGTTGGACAAAATAATAGAAACACTTCTATACCAATACATTTTTTATATTTCTCAAGAAATACTTAAAGGATCATTTTATAACTTCAAAAATGTTTAAACCGTAGTTTTTAGAGGATTGAGGGGCCGACAATAATTTACAAACAGAAAATAGTGTTTGTGGACTCCAAATGCTAAAAAATGTAGCGATAAATTTATAACTTGAAACAATTATTTTGGCTATTATATGCAATATTTGCACAAAATTTCGTAATCCTAGCTTAAATATTTATGGAGATATGAATATTTTTATTTAAAAAAAAAACTAATTTTGTTTTCTACGTTTTTTTTTTTTTTTGCTATAACTTAAAAAATATTTAATAACAAAATTTTTAGAGGAATTTAAAAAATTTAAAATTAGTTACAAAATCATTGCTTTAAAATTTGAGAAAAATTCGTTTAAAATTGAGCAAGATATGAGTAATTAAAAGTTCTTTTCTAGTAATTCTAGTTTTTTTAATACTGCGCATGCGCGAGATTTTCTTAATTTTGAAGAGAATCATATGTGGCAACTAATAATAAATGTTAGATTTGAATGTCTTAAAAAATTCAAAAAGTTTTAAGCAATTTTCTAAGTAGTTTTTGTACTTTTTAAGAGAAACTCAAAATGATAAGGAGTGTCCCAAAAAAATAAGAGTGTTTACATTATTTTGTCCTCAAATTTTGTTGTTTTTCAAAGCCAGAAAAAAGAAAGTTTCAACCGATTCTGTTACGTAACGAACTCAACTTGTTTTAGGTATCAGTGAATAACAAGCAAGCTTTACAACTGGTGTTTGTTTTGATTCGGTAGAGAAAGTTAAAGAAAACATTTACTTTTTGGCTGCAAGCCTGATGAGGATTAATAGTAAACTTTACAGCGTCTCAAAATTAAAAAGTCACGTGTTGTCCGTTGATCTGTTCATTTAATTTCAACATTCTTCCATGCATTCGATCAGATTATTTATATAATTTAATTGAACTTCAGTATAAAAGAATGAGAAATTTTAACTTTGATAATAGGGCATTTCTTTTACACGCAGGAACAAAATATCAGCTGTAATAAGATCAATTGCCCACTGATAACATCTTGTATTGATCGCACCGCCAATTTCCTAAAACTAATAAGTGGTGGTAAGCATTAATCCATTTGGCCATTGCATATTAGTAATCTTTTTCTGTATCTCTATTTAAATTAAATGCTAATTAATATAATAAAAAATACTTTTCAACGAAGTATTGTTGTCACAAAGTTTGGTTTAGAATCCTTTTAGCATTACAGACAGAACATTTAGGTGCAATAAACACAAAGCAAAATATTTCTTATCATCAGTGATAAAATAATACAATAAAGTGGCTAAAATTGCTTACTTGTCTCTAACGTTTTCCTGATGATGTCAGCAAAATATTTGAGGCAAAATATTGTTTGTCAATAGAAATAAAATGCAATACAATAAAGTGACAAAAATTGCTTACTTGTTTCTGGCGTTTTAATGGCAAGGTCGGTAATATATTTTGAGGCAAAATATTGTTGGTCAACAGAAATAAAATGCAATACAATAAAGTGACAAAAATTGCTTACTTGTTTCTAACGTTTTTATGATCAGCTCAGCAAAATATTTTGATTTGGCGAGTTTCGTAACTGGATAAAGTCTAAATACATAGTTGGTGTTTGGTGTAAGGTCATCTACAGAAATGCGGACTGGGATACCATCAGTGTTAATGCTTGTCTTAATCATCTCAGCTGCTTCAGGGTAGTAAACCAGTTGATAAGACTCCAAGGGACAGCGTAGTTCGGTAACTGGTGGGTTCTGCAAATAAATTGCGAGAGTACATAATTAATAATTGCAAATATGTAATAGAAAAATCTTCAGAATTGCAAGTAATGTTAATTTTTATCCAGCGCAAAAATTTAAAAAAAAAATTATGTATGAATTTAAATAATTGCACTTCAAGAAGAAGATCAAGGACACCACACATGTGATCCTTGACGTCAGCTGATAGTTTTTAAGCAAAATGTCGTGTTAAAGTTGAGATAAGTTTCTCCACATAAGTTAGAAAGTTAATTAACGTGAAGTAAATTAAATACAACGTCGTATCGCACATTGAATTTGTTAAAATATAGTTCTTCCTAAGTCTTTTACTTAACTTGGATTTATTATTTGTTTATATATTTCATTGTAACCGTGATATATTTTTGCTTTGTGTGCCTGGCAACTTCGATGCATAATGACTTTGTTTGAGTTCTGCACGGTTTCCTGCCTGTCTGTGTGTTAAGTACGAAATATATGATTAAAGAATTAAAATGTTTGTGAAAGAATATAGAATGTGTCACTTAAGAAAATTGATACTTGGAGGGCTTGGTTCACTCGAAGTAGAATGGAAAGAACTGTTGCTAATTTAAATAAATGCTTGGTAATGTACCTGGCAACTTCAATGCATAATCATTTTTTTCCTACGTATCTTTGCGTTAAATAAGAAGTATATAGTGAAAGAATTAAAATCTTTGTGAAAGAATATTTAATGTGTCACTTAAGAGAATTGATACTTAACGGCTTACTCGAAATAAAATGGAAAGAACAGTTGCTAACGTAAACAAATGCCTGTCAACAACCAATCAGGATCGAGATACCCGCGCTACGTCGCTTTCAGGCATCTTATTAAAGAGGTTTTTAAACAAAAATATTTGTTTTTAATATTAACAAATTTTATCGTTTATTAGGTTGGACAAATCATATACATAATGGACAACATAACTAAATCATTGTTTTATGTCAATGTCCCGTACCATTCGAAAAGCATTGAATTTCTAAATAAAAATACAAAAGCAGCCAATGTAGAATGACAAGCAATAAGCATTTTTCAAAATTTGAAGCATATAATTATATTAACAGGCATATAATCAAACTACGCTGAAAAGAAAGATTTTCAATGAAATCACTCGCTTTTTAAGTAACATTTTTTTTAAAAAATCAAAAATCTTTGAGCGGAATATTTTTTTACGAATTAAATAACAAAGAAATTTATCAAATTTTATCAGAAAATAGAAGTACAGAACATTACAACAACGAAAATGTTGTGGGGAAAAAATAACTTACTCGCCAAGTCAAAACAACAGATGTTTGAGTTATTTTTTCCGGTAAAAATTCTTGAGGTATACCATCTGGTAGAGCGACTATGCAAAAAAAGAATATTTGGTCTTAATTACAGAAAAATTTACAAAATTTACAGATAAATTTATTAAAATTGTTTAGTTACTTTATTAAAATATAAACTATAGTACAAAAATTACTTTTGAGGGAAGAAACATTATTAATTTTAAGTTTAAGCAAGCTTAAAACTTAAATAATATTTAATTAACATAAAACTTACACACACTATGTATTACTTCAACTTGATTACATAAACAATTTTTTTTTTACTCTCTACAATTTGTTTTTTCACCAAAAATTGTAAAAAATTACTACAGTTTAGTAACTCTATAGTTTAAAAAATAATTTACTGTAAATCTTAATAAACTTAGGAAAAAAATAGAACATAAATTAAAATCTTATCAGTTGTTTGCGAATAATACTGGTACAGACATATTTAGAAAACTTTTCTAATTTCTAAGGTATCATATAAGTTCCGTAGTCGTAAAAGCATCATATTAGTCCTCCAAGTGTTCTGTAATAACTTAGTACATACCGTTAGAATTTTTGTTAAAAATGAAGCCTAAATTATGCACATTATTCATCACATTGATAATAAATGCGGGTTTCAAATCATCAAAACCAGTTTGATTTTTTTTTGTCGTATCCCTGTTTAGGCAGTGGGGGTGCGATTGTTCCTGTTTTTCAGTGGCGCCATCTGTGGCCAGGAATTTGACTTCTGCCACACCATTTACCCAACCACAACCCGTTTATATGGCGGATCACATTCACGCACAAAGGAGAAAGGACACAGAACACAAAGAGAGAGAAAGAAACATCCATGCCTTGCCCAGGATTCGAACCCAGGATCTTTCTGATGGAAGGACAGTTCCCTGCCCCCTACACAAGCCGGTCGGCACCACCAGTTTGATCGCTGAATGAAATAATTTTCTTACGCCTTCTTGCCATTTCTTTCGGCTATAAAGCAAGTTTTGATCTTTTTAATCAAATTTTTCTTAAAAGTAATTTGTCAGAATTTAATAATTCCGTTTTCCCCACTTAAATATTCATTTGCTCCGTCTTATATGGGCATAATTTAGACTTTTAACAAGAACTGAACAAGGACTAAAACCTTTATACGGTGATATGGTGTTATTTTACACCATGTATATAAAAAATACTCCACTCATTTTAAAATAAATCTTGATATTAAATCAACCACAATTAATAAAATAGTTAAGTAACAGAATAAGTTCAAATACAACAAAAAGAAAAAAAAAGTCTAAATTTCTTCTTTTACATAAGCAATGAAAACACTCGTAAATACGCATAAGAAAAAATTATTTGCAATTTTAGTTTTTTTTTTAAAAACTTTTCATAAATAAAAATTACCGCCACAGTCTGTTTTAATTTTCAAAGCAGGTCCAGGTTCTCCTTCCCCACCTTTACCAAATCGTCTGCATTTAACAGCAATATCATACTCTGAATTGGGTATCAAGTTGACAACTTTGGAAAAGTCATCTGTCATCCAGGTACCAAGAGTATTCCAGGCTGGTGATTCCGATTTTTTAAAAACTACCTAAACAGATATAACTAATAAATAAAACAAAAATGCACGAAGTTATGATAGTTCAAAAGGTATGTGAAAGATGGTAAGTGTTTTGTTTGATATGTAACATAAGTTAACTGAAGACATGTCTTAACACTATTTAACAACTACATACGATACATTTTAATCAATTATAATTAGTATAAGGAGTAAAATCTTTAACAATGCTTATTTTGTGTAATCTTTTTGTAGAGACCGAGATTTTTGTATACGTCTTATTTATTACACAATCTCAATAGACAAAACAATAAAATCAAGTACTTAATTTTCAAGAATATATATTGGTGAAAATTCTGTTGTCAACAAAATAATATAAAAACAACAAACGGAAAAAAAATAATGAACTATAAATTGTTTGCAGGCTTTGAACTATTTGATTTTTACACATTTTAGTAACTGAAGAAAAGATATTTAGACTGCTCCATGGAACTTTATACAAAACAAGCATTCAACTTTATCTCCAGATAAGGCGCTGTAAACAAGGTGTTCCCTAACGACCACCCTTTACATCTAGTTTGTTTAAAACTTGTCGAAAATGAAGTAATAACATTTACTATACACTTTAGGGATCACTTAGGTTAAGACTATATTATCCCATTATGTCACAGCTTTGAATAATTGCAACAAACACACAAAGCATATGTAATTTCAGAAGAGAGCTTTGAAAGATGACTTCGGCAACTATTGAAATCCTGTAACATTACTCTTAACGCATATACAACTCAATTCGCATATTCAATTTCAAATACTCAACTTTTTTCTACTGCATGGTTATACTGAGGTAATTTTTAAAATTGAATTTCAATGTATTGATTACAAAGTTGCACATATTCGTTTCAGGAATATCACTCAATTTAAAATCTTTGAATTGAATTGAAATTTTTGAATTTTCAAATCTTTACTTTATTCTTCACAGTGTTGCAGAAAGTGCAACAATCAATGTTGATTTGCATAACATAGTAGAAATGCAGCAAACCATTTTTTCCAATAAATTTTAATTTCATAATGTAAATTTTTTTAAATTATATTAAGCGAAGAATATTTATTTTTAAGCAAAGAAAAAAAAACTTAAACTTGAAGGAGTTTTCAATTATTTCTTGTTATCTCTTCCTTTTTTTTCTCCGGCAAGTGAAGTTTTAAAGTTGAAGAAGTTTTTCAAACCCTCCTTTTCCCAGTATTGAATCGTTAGATTTTCACAGCATTATTGTTTATTACCGTTACTTAAAGAACAATTTGAAACTCAAATGCGCAAACTCATTTTTTACCAGGATTCTATAAATATGTAATCAGAGTGGTCTTTAAGGGATACTCTGCATACTTCTTAATTGATTTCAGTAACAAAAACCGTGCTGTAACACACGAAAAACATAATTGCATACGACTAACTAATAGCAACCTTCAAGTCTATACATTTTTAATTGATCCCAATTAACAAATCTAGAATTAAAAAATAAAAAAGAAATCTATCTATCAGTCAGCGACGAAATCAAACATTGTACCCCAGATGCTGTGCATATATGTTCAAATAGCTCATGAAGGGACCCTTCCATGAAATAATTTGCCACATAAAAGGATTTCTTTCTGTGAATAGAAAACAATATAATTCTAAAAATTACCCTATTACGGATCTTGGGTTAGAGTCCCCTTGCCGTCAGGCTAACCGTGGGAGGTTCTCGTGGTCTTACACTCCATGTAACGCAAGTGCGGGTTAGCTATATCAAAAGAGTCCTCCACGAAAGCAAATTTCTCCCAATACTCGATCCAGGAGTTCCCTTATCTTCTGGATTAGGTTCAAAATTACAAGGCTACGGAGTTGAACTTTAGTAGTCGTAAACCCATAAAATTGGGTCGGCTTTTCAACGACGGTTATAAAATATAAAATAAAAAACACTCACTAAATATTCTATGCTATCTGTAGGGCTTCCACCTTCGTCAACAGAGTATTGCCATTCAGCCCATTTTATAGAGGCTGTTGTGTTGTCCTTCGATACAAGTATTGGTTCGCTACCAAGCCTTGGTGGATCTGAAAGGAAATTGTGATAAAAATGAAATATACTCTTTAGAGGACACAACAGAACTATGATCTTTACACACGAATGTATGCAAATGCTTGATTATCAATCACGTATTTATTGAAACGTAAAAAGTATTTGATTCAACATTCATCATCGTTTCATGCTGAATCACGCCAATGAAAATGGAAAGTAACATAAAAATATTGCACAGATATTCAACATTCATCATCATTTCATGCTGAATCACGCCAATGAAAATGGGAAGGAATATAAGAATATTGCACAAATATTAGACATTCCCCATAATATCTTGTTGAACGTTAATGTTCGTTCAATCCCATTTACCGGTTTAAGTGAAAAATACAGATATTTAACGTATACTTTAAACATTCACCGAAGCGACTGCGCAAATGTCAACGTTCACTAGCGTCGGTTCACGTTAATCGTAGTAAACTACTTTATAAAAAGCAACTGCAGTAAAGAAGTAAAACCTTTAAAATATTTTTTTAAATGCTATGTGAAAGTATTTAGTAAAAAATGAGTCATGCATCTATATAGACTTGCTTGAAAAAAACAATCTACAATTGTTTAACACGCTAATATTTGTACAGTTACTTTAATTATTTTGTTTGAGATTCCTTAAATAGTGCAATGAGAAATTCCATAAGAAAGTTAGTAGAAAATTTCAAACTGTATACACTTAAAAACATAGAGCAATTCTTAAGACAAGCAAAAGTAAAGTATTTCCGCCACAACTCATTGTAGGTATAGAGGTTAGGGCTCCAAAATCTCTTCGCTAATGGCATAAAGGGGGCAATAGAGTCGACATTGCGCACCGACCACCTTAACTTTCTAGACAACTGCCCCCAGGATCAAACCCCAATTCTTTCTTATGATAGCTTTAAAGTATACAAATCTCACTTAAAAAAGTCACCAATTCTTATAAAGTTTGCTAAAATAACTTTTGGTATCATTTAAAATTATTCCAATTTTTAGCAAATTTCACAAGTTTAAAAAATTTTAAAAATTAAAAACTGGATGCTTCAAACGTAACCCGATTGGGTTACGCTTTGATTATAATTTTTATTTAATTATTGGGTTATAATTTTTATTCAACTGTATAAAATTTATTAAAACTATTAAACTCATTTTTAACTGAGTTGGATGCATCTTCTCCCAAAATATTGCACTCGTAAATGATGGAATTGTGCTATAGTAGTTATTTTAAAATTCTAAAACAAACTGTATCATAATTGGAAGTATAAACGTATAACATTATTATTTACTATTAATTACTATTATTTCCTAATCTATTCGTTTGAAATTCTTCTAAACTCACCAATAACAGTAAGAATCATTTTCTTCATATCAAAACCATGATCGTTACGAGCTTTGCACAGGAACTCAAAATCTCCGGAAACCTCTGGTTTTAATTTTATCACTGCTTGCAACTGATTTTGTTCTAAAACTCGCACACTCACTTTCACATCCGGGAATTCACTGTAGAATAAAAATTCTGTACGTAAGATTTGAAAGTACACTTTAAAAAAATATGAATAGAAACAAATTTTATTTTGAAAGCAAGGAACTAGAAAAAACATGCACTAACAATGCATGCATAGTATATTTAAAAATGCATTTAGAACTTATAATGTTTATATTTTATGGAAAAAAATAATCTGGGATAATTAGTTAACTGATTGATTATGTTTGTAAACTAGTTAATACGATGGAAAAACCTTTAAAATAAAAGTTTTTACTTCATTTCAAATCAACTTAGAACCTTAACCCTTTACAAGGTCGTAGGAAGTATACTTCCCACAAATTCATTAACCTTTAAATGTCAACGGGAAGCTATTTTCCTACATACGATTTGTGCGTCTATCTGTTGATAATTTCAGTAAACAGAAAGAAATATATAGTTTGTCTACGGTACGAACTCCCCCCCCCCGCCACAAAGTCTGACGCCGTCTGCTGCTATGGAAACAAGAATAGCGCGTTTCAGGGAAGGTAGCTTCTCTTCACTCTAGGGCAGGGATGGCGAACCAATGGCACGCGTGCCATTTATGGCACCCGACACAATATTTCCGGCACGTCACCGATCACATTTGTTAATACACAAATGGTATTACACTATGAAGCATATGTAACAATTAAATTAAAATTCACAAAAAACATACAAAATAATAAACTATAATTAATAAAAAATTAACAAATAATGCTAAATAAAACAATTAATAACCATAAAAAACAAGCTAACAATAAATCAATAGCAAAAAAATTAACAGTCCTGCTTAAACTAACATCTTACAACCTAATATAAGTTATTTGTCATCTAATCTGCAACAACAGAAGTCACACTGATGTTACTTTAAGTTGAATTACGCGTATAACTGAGACATTGCAAAAAAAATAAAAAATTTCAATGTAAATAAAGAGTTTTGTGTTGGTAGTATTTAGTATTATTATTTTCCCAATAATCACGAAGTTAAAATTATTTGACGGCACGTCTATGACCTCATCAAACAATTTTTTAGGAAAAATGGCACGTTAGTGTACAAAGGTTCGCCACCCCTGCTCTAGGGCTAACACAATTGACAGAAGAATTCCTTTTCCCTTGCCAGCCCAATGTCCTAAACAATGGCCCCACACTCCTACTTGAAATAGTTATACCTCGTTACCATAGTCACCAACCTGGGTCCAGACGAATGGGTAGGGGAGTTCTTACTTTAGACCAACTTGTAGTACCTTATTTACGTCGCACTGGAGCTGCACAATGGGCTATTGAGGACGGCCTGGGAAAAATCCCTGAGGAGGATCCGAGGACATGCCATCACAATTTTGATCCTCCGCAGAAGAAATGTCGCTAGGAAACTGGACTACAAGAGCGTGAAGTTGGGCACTTTAAGGCAAAACAATTTAGCGAGGACCGATGCCGTGCAACCTCTGTCCCTACGCAGGCTTATCAAAATAGTCAATAACCAGCCCCTGACAGCAGTCAGTGGTGCTTGACTTTGATGCTCTACTGAAAACCGTGTCTTCACGCCACAGTCTACTATGAAATACCCAAGACGAGAGTTGATAACATTAATGTACTAAGAGTAAAGGTAAGCGTGGGACCAAAAAGAAGTCCGACAATACTGCAGATATTTCCTCCTGCGCGTTATGCGTTCGTTCATTTTATCATTTCTCATCGAGTTTGTTTGTATTTATAAATGCAGACTTTTTTAACTCGATTATTTAGAAGCACAAAATTTCAAGATTAGAGCTAATTGTTTACAGTAGGTTAAATTTTGAAAAATCCCTACCCACCTTCCCATTAAAAAAATTGGTCTCAATCAAACTAATTTTAGGTATTAAGTTAAATAAATTCCTTGTTATCAGTCTATCGCAATCCGAAAAATATTTTATCATAAGAGTGGCCCTATAAAGAGTTAAATATGCAAAACAACAAAAAAAGCATTTAATGTTTTTCACAATGCGTTTGAAAATTTAAATTTTTGTTCATTAGAAAATATTTACATGAATTTAAAATTTTTAAATATATAATTATTCATAAGAGTTTAATAAGTATCAAAACATTTAAAAACACTATCAAAATCTAGCGAATATTTATCGAGATCAAAAGTAAACCAGAGCAAATGAGGAATTAAAAATCGTCAAAAAAAAATTTTTATGAGTAAAGAGTTACTATTCAGATTCATCTGACTAATAAATTACTAATCAATTATATATAATTTACATTTTTGTTTAGGTTGACCTCGATAATTATTCGTCATAGCTTGATTTTGCTTTTTAACATTTTACACTTTGGTTTGTGACCCCTACTAGTGTTAAAGTTCTCAAAAATTTATTTGTCATAAAATAATTCTTATAAAATTATTATCATTAAGTCACGGAAATCCTTTCATGACATAGAATGAATTTTAAAATAACCGGTAAAAATCTTCCTTGTAAAGTTTTCTAAACACTTACTTGCACGTTATGTTCATTTGAGGTTCAGGCACAGCATCAGCTGTACAAGAAATGAAAACTTGATGGCCTGAATTAACTTCCTCCCCGTTAGCAGCTACAATTTGTGGCACACCTCAAAAGTAAAAAAATAATTTAAATAAACAACTTAAATAATTAATAACAATTTGAGTTATCAAAAAATATAACTTTACTTATTCTCGCAGCAAATTTAAGCTTTTAGAACTGTTTTAAGAACAAAATGTAATGTTCTGCTGTTATAAAAAAAGGATTTTGCCCTATTTTAAATTTACACAGTTGTTTGCTTAAATTTAAAATAAGTGCTGCATAAATGAAATCGTATTGAATTAGAACTACCTTATATCAAAACTTTAATTTAAGTAACAAGTCCTCCCTGTCCTATCAAATACTAAAATGGTCACATAAACAGAGAGATGTTAATGAGACACTTTTAAAAATATTGAATTCACGTTTTTATTTAAATATTTAACCAAAGAACATGAAGTCCTAGAACGTGAAGATCCGATTATTAGATCAAAAGATATTCAGAGTGGTCCTTTTTACGCACTGTACAATGGAACGTGACTGTAGCTCAGGTCTCCCAGCTACTAATTATTTACCTCGTGTACTTAGAAAACAATGCAGCTTCCAATGAATTGTAATGTAAGTAATGAATGTAAATAATTTAGAAAGTTACAAACACAAATCAGGCAACAACAAAAAATAATTTCTAAAGATATGTATGTAATCACACTTCATGGGGGGAGGGGGTCACTGTCTGCTAACATACTGGAGCCTTTCTATCGTCTGTGGTAATACCAAAAATTGACTGTGCCCCATAATATATAAACTAAATAAGAAAAAGTAATCAAACATTCAAATATTGAAATGAAATTAATGATATGATTTTATTCTTGCTTTCATTAGTAACGAATTGGATTGTTTTATTGCAAAATGCTCAAGAAAATTTAATCGGCCTGTGGAGGAATTTAGTAAAGGGAAATTGTGTGTTTTATATAACTTTAAATCAAAATTTTTGAACAATAATATAAAATACCGGGGTTTTTACTTGAATTCTAATATTATTAAATCTATTAAGGAATTGAAATATAATTTTATTATTTGTGTTGTTGACAAAGCATCTAATAATTTTTGCTTTATATACAAAAACATGCCTGTGGAGGAATTTAGTAAAGGGAAATTTTGTGTTTTATATAATTTTAAATCAAAATTTTTGAACAATAATATAAAATAACAGGGTTTTTACTTGAATTCTAATATTATTAAATCTATTAAGGAATTGAAATATAATTTTATTATTTGTGTTGTTGACAAAGCATCTAATAATTTTTGCTTTATATACAAAAACATTTTTAGGCATTTAATGAACAAAGAATAAGAAAACAATAATACTTTGTCAAAATTAGTAGTTATAAAAAAGAAATTAACAATCCAATTTTCGCTTTTTCCAAGAAAATAGGTTTAAAAATCAATAGCATTAATTATCCTTATTTATTTCCGGCAATTGAATTCCACAAAAAAACCGGTTAAATTTAGATTTGTTACTTGCAGTTCTGAATGTTATAATTCTATTTTTGGAAGAAAATTTTTTTTATATCTTTGAACATCATTTTAAATAAAATTATTTCTAATGATAAACATTTTATTGTAAATAACAACCAAGACGTTATTAAATATTTAAATTACAACAAAATTAATAGTATTTTTACATGTTATTTTTAAAATTTATTTACGAGTACACCGCACAACAATTTAACGAATAATTGCTTATATATTGTTTGTTAAGGAGATTAGATTAATTTATGTAATGTAAATATTTTTGAAAATTATCTATTTAATGGTATATGTTATAGACAAATGAAAGGTATCTCAATGGGAAATTGTTTCTCAAGTAAATTAGCCAATATTTTTTTTCACATTTTTATGAACATAAATTTTTGCAACATAATTTATTAATTGGGTTTAGATTTATGGATGATTTAATTATTTTTAATTTTAATGATTTTGATTTAATTAAAGATATTTATCCTAAAGAACTTGATTTAGTAAAGACTAATTCAGATGATAAAAGCGCTATTTTTTTTAATCTTAATATTAAACTTAATAACAAAAAAAAAATTTATTGGATTTTACGATAAAAGAAGAGATTTTAAGTTTAACACATTTTAATTCCAATTTGTACTATAAAAAAATTTCAAAATAATTTGATTGGTCAAATTATTTGGTTTAAATTTATTTGCAATAATAAAACAGTTTTTCTTATAGATATTGGCAATTTCAAAATTACCTTATCGAATAATAATTTTCCTTTTAGTTATTGTAATTATAATTTTTTAATTCAATGCACTTTAAAGACGTTCAACTAATTCGGCCGATATTGAAGCCCTCATAAACAGGCGTGAATAGAAAGTGAAATTTAGGGTTTTTTGTTCCTGAGGAATATTGATAGCAGCATTTTATTAGAATTTTTAATTGTTGAATGTTTTTGTTTTATTTTTCAAGCTTTTCGAAAGGGATCAGCAGTATAAGTATTCCTAAAAAAAAATTTAAGATTTGGCAATTTATATTTTATTTAATTTTGTTTCGATTATTCTAATTGTAACTTAATCTTTATTAGTTTTTTTATATGTGAGCCTTTCATTATTAGTTCTTTCCCTGTGTACTTTTGACTTGTGTATGTGTATCATTAATTTTTCATTGTATTTTCACTTTAATATTTGAAATTTTGATTGTTTTTTCTAATTTGGTTTTTCCGTTATAGGCCTCGGGGCACAGTCAGTTTTCGGTATTACCGCTGACGACGAAAAGGCTCCTGTATGTTAGCAGATAGTATTTCCCCCGATGAAGTGCTGTTTTTGCTAACATACGTATCATTTAGAAATTCTTCTTTTAGAAACAAGAATTCTAACATTTAGAAATTCCTCTTTTTTTGCTTGATTTGTGTTTCTAACTTTCCAAATTGTTTAAATAAGACAGATTTGGTTTTTGCTGCCTTTAGTACTTTTCCATTTTGACTTATTATTATTTTAAATGTTATTTTCTTCATTTTTCTTTATACTAATTTGGCCTAAATCAGTTCCATTCTTTGATTAAATATTGAATGTAAAATATAAGAAATGAATTTAGTTATTATTTCGAAAAAAATATTATTTTCTAATTAATTTTATCCGACGTAAATTATTTTTAACTATGAAAAGTAAACAAATTCAGCAATAAAAGCGTTAGGGAATTATTTAATTGAAGATGATGTAAACAGGCTCTCGTAACCTTGGTAATGGTTGGTTAGTTGCCATGTTATGGACATAAAAAATAAATTAATTAGATACTACATGGGCCGAATGTCGTATGCACTGCTTCAGCTATATCAAGGCAAATGTCCGAATAAATTATTTTCTTGTGGATAGCCACTAATCTGTTGTAAGATGACCAAAATGGCAGGACAGAAGAAAAGAGGTTCAGGTGACAGTTCTGAGTCAGGGCAACAGTTTCTGCAATGCAGGTACTTTTTCGTTCTATTTATTTAAATTTTCATTCCTCTCAAGCTCTAGCAACCGCTTTTTATGAGATTCCAAAGCTGCCCTTCAAGCAGTTCAAAAAGGAGACTCGGGATTAGTGCTGAACATACACAGCACACTGCACAAAATCAGCAGCTTAAATAAAAAATGCATCACGCTATGGGAGCCACCACACGTTGGAATTGATGAAAATGAGACTACAGATGCCTTAGTAAAAGAGGCGAAAAAGCTCAACCTTGGTAATATTAATGTTAAATGATTAGCTTTATCAAGAGTATTCGTATAACGCATGTAACAAACCTTGGCCGGTACCAATTGTTTTCCTTATTTTAACAATTTTAAAATATGCATATTTTTATGATTGATGCATTACATCTTACTTTCGTTACACGTTGTTCCACGCCATCTTCCTTCGCAGGTGCATGTTCCATCCATACGACTGCATTGAGCGCCATTAAAACAAGTGCATGTGTTAGCACAATTCACACCATACTTATTTTGTGGACACACTAGAATAAAAGAAAAAGTAAATATTTCTTGCTGATAAATGTATGAATTTGTTCCTTTTCACTTTACAGTTTTATTTTTTAAATTCTGACCAGAAAAAAACTGCTTTCTGACAAACATTTACATTACAAGTTTAATGAGTAAAATTATCAATGCGTTGAACATGAGAGTTTACTATTTAATTATTATATTCAATAAACTTCCATATTTAGGTAACCATTTAATATTTACATAATTAAAAATGAAAAAAATATATACAATGCTGCGATAATTTATACTTCTAAAAATGTAGTTCTAGGTTATAATGTAGCTCTAGGTTGTTCTTACGCGTTTGACAATCCTTTCCCATAAATCCAGCTTCACAGTCTCCTTCACAAGCACCGGTTATTTTGTCACAGGGTTTGGTCGAATTAGGATAACAGTGACAAGTAGATGCACAATTTGATCCAAAGCGACCCAACGTACATTCTGAAAACAACAACAAAAATTTTAAATCAAAATATTTCTTATCAATAACATATGCCAACATCTTAAAAAGCTTCAGTTAAAATATGGTAAGCATTAAAATAAAAATAAAAATCTGAATCATTGTAATTCTTTTAACAAAATTATATATTGCGTGTCCAAAATCCAGGAAAACATTATTTAGTTACAATAAATGCTCGAAACAGAACCCGTCAACATTACGGGATATTACATGCTACACGTGCTTGATAGAGTGTCGAAGAAGTAAATGTCGAACAATTCCGAAGATGACAGGCGTTTCAAGCACGATTGCTGATTCAAGGAATAGTAGAGCAATGAGGTCTTCAACTGAATGAACTGGGTACTCGTAAATGATGGCCTTTCTGAGTTCTTATGTTATATTCTAAAAAATCTGACGATCAGGCTCAACACCATCCAAACCATTTTTCTTAAAAACTGTTATCTAGCGATTACTTTGAAATACTCAACTAAACACGCCATCAGCCACATTTGAAGTCGATCATACATTCCTGTTCAAAAACTGCATGTTGTATTAAACTGCGGCAGATGATAATACATCAGTGTTTGTCTAAGACTGTAACCGAGTATAATTTGCACAGCGGTTGTAAAAAGTAATATGGCTTCATTGGATAAGTAAGATCTAACTAAAATATCATGCTAAACATTTCGAAACACATTGAGCTATAATATTGGCCACATTTGTAGCAATCTTTATATGGAGCTAAGTTGAACCATGTTACTTTACTTCTGAAATTTGATTGCACGACACTATAGAACAATTAAAAATTCACATTTTGATATGGTTAAAACGAATTTGAGCCATCTTCGGTTAGAAGAATTCAGAAGTGGGTCAAGGTAGTGATAATAGGGTTTACGATTTATCTGAAAGATGATGTTTTGTTTGCTTTAAATTCTGTCCCGTGATCTTCTTCTGTAAGACCCCAGAAGTTTCACGGTATTTCTTTCGTTTTCTTTCATACTTTTACTGATGATCAACAATTTTAGTTTTTCCATTTACAAAATGCTGTTAAAAAAAACTAAAAATACAAGATTCTTTTTTAACACGAAAAAACAATAAGAGGGGACGCTTCTTGATAATTTTGAGAATTACCCATTGTTATCCTGTTATCTAATTCCACGGATAGTCAAGTGTTTAGAGTAATTAAATTATAGACTAGAAAAAAAAGATTAAATTCAAAACATTTCTTACCTGTCTGACAGGTGAAACCAGCCCATCCTGCTTCGCATCCGGAGTAACAAAATCCTTCCTTATCACAATTATGGTGTCCTCCTTCGCAGTGACAAGTAAACTCACATTTATCGCCAAATCTTCCACTCTTGCAACCTACAAATTGCGTAAAATAATAATTTCTTATAGTTTTTTTTTTCGTTCCTAATGCAGCGTGAATGAACATAGTTCTTTCTCATAAAAAGAAAAAGAGATACACAAACAAGAACGAATAACAAGCAAAAAAGTAAAAATAAATAAAACTGAACTGTAAAAGAAAGGGAAAAAAATTAACTGAACATAAGTTTTTTATGGACCCAATATCGGAAGTAAATACATTATTTCTTCTTGGTCGTCATTCGAAAAGCAGTGACCACCTGTTACCTGGGATAATTCCAGAAGATCAAGAATAGTTTCACTCCATAGTTTTCCCCCTGATCTTTCTTTTAACTTCGATGTATGTAAATCTCTAGTAACCAAATTGATACCTAAAGCAACAGATCTATAGCTAACGATTGGCACTTGAAGCTATAGACAGTAAACTCTTTTTTTTTTCGCTAATTTATCAGCGATGTCATATCTTAGAATCGCGCAGTGGGACGGAACTCACTTTAAGAGAACTGCTTTGAGATTTATGTGAAGGTTCCATAGAAAAGACTAGTAAAGTTTTACTGGGACAGAAACAAATGATTGGCCACGGTTAGCGATAACCAGGATCGCTGCTTGAGAATTGGAGAAAACGAAAACCTGATCGAAAAGAGTGACTGAGCATTTAAATGATGCTAAGAGACTGCTATTGCTTCAACCTCTCCATCAAATGGAGATTTCGTAGGTAGCTCGCAGAGATTGTTTGTATGAAAAATTTTCTGAATTAATGCCTGTTCCTACTCAAAAATTGGCATCTAATTTTCTTATATATAGTGATTTAAGTGTTTATAGTTTCAGCTGTAGTAGAATAAATTGTATGGTTAGTAAAATTTTACGTAAATAAAAACTCAAAACTCTACAGCAATTATAGATACAATATTGCGTGACCTTTTAGCAGAGCAATTTTTAACTTCGCTTAAAGAAACTTTTTGTTTAGATACCCATAAGTATTTAAAACAAATTTAAAGTAATATTTATTTCGAGCAATATTTATTTAATACCTGCCAATTAAATTTCTCTAGAAATTCAACTCCTTAGGGAGCATTCGAAGAAGAAATGTTAAATTTATTTCTGTGCTTTCTAAAAAAAGAATTACTTCTTTTTGTTAATTCCGAATTTGATCCAATTAGATGTTTTGAATAATTTTTCAAAGGAAAACATAGCATACAAAAGACAAATTTTTTATGAAAGTTGACTCAATTTCATAAATAATTTGATAAATGAGGTTTTTTTTGTGCTTACTTTCTGTGCCTATCGCTCCAGCTACTAGCGTGTTGCAAATTCCAAATTTACTTCCGGTTAAAGTTTTAATTAATTTGAAACAACAGTCAATTCAGATAACACTTATTAAATAAACAAATTGAATCATACAAAACAAAGCAACCAATTTCATCTTATAAGGCAACGCAATTCTATAAACATTATAAATGAATATCTCTTAACATTATAAGTGAATATTTTTCACGTTTTTTTATTTTAAATTTTTGTGTTTAACAATCATAATAACGAAAGTAATAAACAATATTACATGACATTAATTTATTATAATTAAATGCTATAAGTTGTATTTATTATTTCCAAATTTGAATAACGTGAATGCAAAAATATTTTTTGCTTCTTCAACTTTGACGGGCATTGCTTATTAAGTTCAGCCACAATCCACTAGTCTATAGTTATATAGCAGAAGTGTGCTTATACCTCCACAAGTTGGTCCTCCCCATCCATCCTGACAACCGGATGGACAAATTCCTGTGATGATGTGACAATGTTCATTTCCAGCACAGTGACATTGCTTTTCACAACTGGGTCCATAACTGCCTTTGTCACAAAACACCATTGTCGTCGTCTCTACGCTGTTGTTGGCATTAGGATCTGAAAATGAAAGTCGACTTGGTGACACTTAAAATGATATTAAATTGCCATGCTTTTTTCTCGAAAAACTACAAAATACTGTTCTTTGAGAGAATTAACGAAAGAATCATAAAAAAAATATTCGAAGACATCTATTGAGTTAAAAGATCTAATCAGGATATATAAAAAGGTATCTAATCAGTGCTTCGTATATGAAATAGTAAATAAACTAACATTACATTAAATTTCATAACTGCCTTATATTCACAATAATAATATGAAAAAGCCTAATTTTCACAATTAAAAACTACCTAGTAAAATTATCAAACATAGTTTATGCATATCATACATTTATACCCCGGGTTTCCCAAATAGAACTGACGAGTTGGAAAATTAATCGAATAAAAACACTAGGAGATATAATTAAACGATTTGCTGCTCTCTGTTTTAGAATCCAGTTAGTTATTCTAATCCAGTTTCTTAAAAAAAGTACAATTTTTACCAACAGATAAAACTGCTGTCTTGTAAAACTATAAAACAATGTTTTCAATGTAAGCAAATGTATGTCAGACCATTCCGACTAAGGAATCTGATAACTTGGTACTCGAACTGCATCCCTTTGTTGCTTCAAATGGTGGACAGTTTGAAATTTCTGCTTTATATTGTCCAATTAGCAGCGCCATATGTTGGTGAAATTTTTTAACTAATTTTAAAATTTGATGAGAATAAATTCTCTGGTTTTCTACGCAGATCTCATCAAATTTTAAGTTTTTTTTTTAATCTGCTTCCACTATATTTTAATTGATTTTTCTAATCAGTGACCATTTTTAGGACTTCCGGAAACAGCTTATATAGAACATAAGCACTACATGATGTTTAAACAAACTTTAAATGTATTAGAGAGTTAGCCAAACTCAGTTAAGTTTTCTTTTTTTTTTCAGATTAATGATTTGTTTAAATTAGTTTGGTCCTCCTCTGCTATATACATGTTGTTGTTGTTGTTTCCAATCCTTCACAATATGGCCTCAGCTATATCAAATCCATGAGTTCAAACGCTCTGGCAAAGTCACACACCGAAATTTGAAGAAAATACCATATACATAAATCGGTGTAGTATTTTGCTGGTATTAACATAAAAATATGTAAAACTAAAATTAAATTTTATGGAAGAAATACGTATAAATAATATTTTTTATCGTGCTAATTACCTTCTATTTGGCATGAATTTCCCCTCCAGCCTCGAGCGCAACCTCCATCACAGGCACCTGTTATTCTGTTGCAGCTGCTTACTCCGTAAGCACAGTGACACGGTTGCTTACAATCAGCTCCATACCACCCTGGTTCGCAATCTGAAATTAAATTTTAATTAATGGTTTTATTTTTAACTTTAAACTAAACTGCTGTTTGTAGAAAATGCAACACCATGAAAGAATCATCAGAATCAAATGAAATTTAATGCAGAAACGACTTGTACTGATACAAATAAATGATGAAATTTTCAAAACAAAAGAAACAAATTAAGCGTCCGAAATCAGTATTTGGTGCAGCCACCACGCGCTGCAATAAGTGCTGCTATACGACGTGGCATGGAGTCAAACAGATGTTGAATATCTGCTTGAGGAAGAGAATTCCATATCGCTTGTATGCGCAACCAAAGTTCGTCTTTGGAAACTGCAGGACGCGGATCACGAGTGAGACGCCGACCAACCATATCCCACACGTGCTCAATAGGCGACATATCCGGCGAATAAGCAGGCCAAGGAAGAAGTTGCATGCGTTGTGCTGAACAGAAGTCTCTAACAGTCCGCGCAACATGTGGGCGTGCATTATCCTGCTGAAAGATAGCTCCAGGGATGCCTTGAAGGAAAGGAACGACTTCGGGCTGTAGCACTTCACGGACGTATCTGTTGCTATTGAGATTACCCTCAATTCGTATCAAATTGGATCGTCCATGATACGAAATCGCACCCCAGACCATAACTCCGGGTGTTCGACCACTATGTCGTTCAATAATACACTCAGGAAGGCAGCGTTGACCGGCATAACGTCTAACACGAACACGGCCATCATGGGTCCACAAATTGAAGCGTGATTCATCTGAAAAGACAACTTGGTGCCAATCAGCTCGCCAGTCTCTGTGCTCAAGAGCCCACTGCCGACGCAGCCGTCGATGATCCGCCGTGAGGGGAATCCTGTATAATGGCACCCTTGCACGCAATCCACGGCGCAGCAGACGACGACGAATTGACGAAGCCGACAATTGTACACCTGTAGCAGTAGACCAATGTGCTGCCAGCTGCCTGGAGGAAGCTGTGCGATCATTCACCGCCATGCGGAGCAGGTGTCGATCATCGCGCTCTGACGTCACCTTCTGTCGTCCAGTGCCTGTTTTTCGAGTTGTTCGGTGCTCGTCGGTCCACTGCTTCCAAACTCGCATCACTGTGGAACTGTTCCGCTGCATACGAGCTGCTATTGCGCGATAGGAAAATCCTCCTTCTCGAAGGCCGATTATCCTCCCTCGTTCAAACTCCGTAAGTTGCTTGAATTTCTTATTCTTCCGTCGTGGAGGCATACTCAGGTCTCACTAAACGTTTGCCACTAACAAATAATCATAGACTATTTTCAACGTCCCGCTACAGCACTTTATTTATACGCTTTCAGCATCAATTCAGAGGGCGCTGCGCGCGCCACGCACGCGCGATGGCTCTGAAACTTTATTAATTTGCATAATATCCTATATCCATTATTAAAATAATATTTCATTTGATTCTGATGATTCCTTCATGGTGTTGCATTTTCTACAAACAGCAGTTTATATTCCGTATTTGTTTCCAATTCAAACTGAATTTTTAATGGTGTCATTGCAATTATGTGTAATTATTTTAATGGTGTAATTGCAATTCTAATTTTGTATTACATTCTATATTTTCTTCTACTTTTTTTTAATATTCATGACTCAGTTTTAAAAAATTAGAAGAACATTTTAAAAAATTAAATTAATTTTAAGACTTTTTCTGCATCAAGGTTCAATAGTTTTATTTTCGAAAAAGTCAACTTTATCGTCATTAATCTCACATAATAGAACATTAATCTCACATAATACACATTAATCTCACATGATAGAAACTAAATCCAAAACCCACATTTTTGTCTATCTTAGTGCTTGGGAACTTATAAAATATTACACAGACTATCGGCTAAATACACCCAGTTTTTCATTTTTTTATCTTAGAACCTGAATTTTTTTTCTTTGGACATGTTCATTGTTTCGATTTATGTTCTATCTAACGCATTATAATATATTTAATCACTAATTTGGAGGGAAAAAATTATGCAGTCTCAAAATGGGAATGGTGTGCTTTTTATACAGCAATTAGTTTTTCGTGAAGCTAAATAAAAAGTAAGATTGAAAAAAAAGACTTCATTTGCAATCTATAATAAATGAGTAAATAAATGCCCAAGGTAATTAAGTGAAATAACTTAACGTTTACTAATACCGTGAACTAAGTTTAATGCTTTTTCGTACTAGGGATGCGATAAAGAGTTGAGGTTTATTCGATCTGCTTTCAATGTTCCGGTTCCTATAAGGAAACATTGCGCAGTATTGTGCAAAATTACTTAAAAGAAGGTAGAAATCTCCATTTTTTACCGGCAAAATAGGTAAGTATAATTTTCTTATATTGCTCATTTATTTCGTTCAGTCATTCCAATTAAGAAAAAAAATATGATCATTTATTAATTTCTTAATTTAAAATAGTATCTTTAAAATTTATAGACAGGCACGAAGTCATACCGAACATAAACAAACTAATTATTTCATTTAGTTATTTAAATTTACAACATTAACTTAGTCTTAGGGATAGTTCGTAAAACGCAGCAACTTATTCAAAGGCAACCATCAAAATGGCGCTAAGGATGAGGTCCGACAACATTTTCATCCTATTTTTTAATCCCATAGCACAATTCACTCATAGAAACTTAAATAAATGATAACTTACGTTCCATGCATTTTGATCCTTTAAATCCTGGAGCGCATGAACATCCGTAAGGATCCGGCTTACAGAAAAGATGCAAGGCACACAATTCATCGGTATTCGTGTTGTTTTGAGGTGGGGAACAGAATTTAGAGCAATCTTTACCAAAATGATTACCACCACAAGCTGTAAGAAGCAAGAAAAACGTTAAATACTCTTAAACATGGTGAATTAAATAGGAAGAAGTGAATTGATGATACCTCGAGAAGAAGTGAAGTGATTATACCTTACTATGTGATTTAAATCAGATTTAATTGGATACCTGTAAGCGACGTACAGCATGCGTGTCGAACCTGATTGGCATCAGAATCGACAAACGTCTTGATTTACCAAAAATAACGTCACTTGCAGGCATCCAATGGGATAAATGAAAGTAGCGCAATGTGGGTATCTCGATCCTGATTGATTGTTGTAACGTTGCATTTACGTTACGTTACGTTCTTTCCATTTTATTTCGAGAAAGCCAATCCAGTCAAGTATTAATTATCTTAACTGACACGTTTTATATTCCTTCACAAAGATTTTAATTCTGTCACTATATATTTCTCACTTTATTGACAGGCACGAAGCAATGCAGAACATAAACTAATTAATTATGCATTAAAGTTTCCAGGTGCACAAAACAAAAATATATCGCTGTTACAATAAAATTTACAAACAAATGATAAATCTAAGTTAAGTTTAAAAAAAAGCAAACGGAAAGGAATTATATTTCAATAAATTTGATTGTGCGATACGAGACTGTATATAATTGACTTCACGTTAGTTAACTTATGTAGAGAAACGTATCTCAACTTAAACACGCCATTTTCTAATTAATAATCAGCTGGAGCTAACGTCATAGGTCATATGTGTGGGTATATGCAATCTTCTTCTTGAAGTGACCAATTGCAAAATAATGTGTACCGCAAATAATTATGCGTTCGAATTTGGGAATTAAAGACATATGTTTAAAAAAAAAAAACAATTTAAAAATTTAAATTACTCATTGATTACAACATTATTTGATTTTATAAGATTTAATACCCTGACTATAAATAATAACATTGTTGTCAATTACTTTCATTCTACTAATGGCTTTTAACAATTTAGTATGTACTGCTCAGAGTATATATATACTAGAATATGGTTTCGTCAAAAACGAAGGAAGTTTCGTGAAATTTGGATATTCATTTTTTACAGTGTACATTTAACCTTAAAAGCCTTATTAATAGTTTTAAGACCTACTATCATAAAATAATAAAAACAGTAACTTATTTCTTTTCACACCTCTTTTTTAAAAGCTCTCAACTTTGCAAACAGTAATCGTGATAAAATGAGAATACGAGTAAATCTTAAAAAAAAAAAAATTTCGTTCATTCGTTTAGATTTTTCAAAAGTGATTGCATTTCAAAGCTATAATTAACAAGTAACCGATCACAAATTATATGTCTTTAGCTAATTAGAAATTAAAGCTCTTTAAAAACAGCGCTGCCAATTTGCAATACGCCAATCTAACTGGAAAAGTCTTCAGTCTTTTCCAATCAATCTAACACTTTCACGGTTTATTGCAATATGTCCAGATACTGATAGACTCATAAAAATATAAAACTTACAGTTCAGTTATTTTGATTCGTTTCAAACAATTTGCAATAATGCCGCATTCATTTTGCTTAAATAGCAAAAATAACATTCATTGTTCAATCGGTGAGATTCACTATACCTATTCAAATAATTCAAGGCCTATTGCAACACGTCTAAGCAAATTAGAATGAAAAATCTTCGTGTAATTATCAAATTTAGGTTGATTGTAATAAGTCTAAAAATATCGTTCTCGTTTTATAAATAGTCTGGTGTATTGCAAAATGACAGCAGCACTTGCAAAGAGCCAAATTTTTCTATTACCCTACGACAAATGCATTAGTCGAAAAACATTGAGTAATACAGCGTTAGAAAAACTCTCGCGATTTAGCATAAAATTAAAACTTCATTTTAAATTTAAAGCATTCCAACTGTTGCTTCACTTAAATTTTAAAAATTAATCCTAAACAATTAAATAACATATTCTTAGAAAATAATAAACTAGAGGAGGTAAGCAGTTTTACGTATCTTGGAAGTATAATAAACAACAAAAAAGGAATTGATGAAGATATACAAAATGGATTAAATAAAGCCCAAAGCAGTTACGCTATTCTCAATAAATTCTGCAAAAACAAAAACATAACAAATTCAAAAAAAATAGAAATTTTCAATACTAATGTTAAATATGTCCTTCTATATGGATCTGAGACAATACACTGCAATAAAAATAACATGGAAAAACTTCAAGCACTTAATAACAACTGTTTAAGAAGAAACTTGAGCATCAAATGGTTCCATAAAATTTGTAATGTATAAATCCTTAGAAAAGGAAAACAGAAACCGATTGATCCGGAAATTAAAAAATGGAAATTTATTGGTCATATTCTATGTAAACCTGAAAAATATAAAGCAAAACAAGTGTTTGATTGGAACACTTAGGGCAGTAGAAAAAGAAGAAGAGCTAAAAATACTTTTCGCAAGACGATTGTAAGCGAAATGAATACAATAAGAAAGAGCGACAAAATATCTAGCCACAAATAGAGTGAGATGAAAAGCTGTGATAAAAGCCCTATGCTCCAATTCGGAGTGAAAAGGAATATGTATGTAAGTATAACTGTTGCTTTGAATGTTTCTTGATGGAAGTCAGGATCTTTGGCTTTCCACTAGAGTTATAAGTCGCTCTCCAACCGATAGTTCTATTAAAAATTCGCAAATAATAAATATGCTTTCGTTTTGTGAAGATCTAAGTGCCATCCAGCAAACTGATTTATGTTTTTCTTTAAACCTTCACAGAAGGCAAAATAAAAGGTACTTAAAAGAAAAGTGAATGAAATATGTCTTCCTTACCGATTTCGCAATTTTCCCCAGCAAAACCAGCAGGGCAAACACACACTCCCCACTTATCTTGACAAATACCACCATTGTAGCAAGGAGGGCATTCCTTATCGCAATCATCACCGTAGAAGTTTTCCGGACACTCTGAAAAGCAACAAACAATACATCAATACACTGCCTAAGCAATCTAAAAATTTCACTGTCAATGAATTAACTGAAACAGCAATTGATTAACAGTGAATCAAACAATTAATTTATTGCTACATCTAAATTAGATTATTGGAACTAACTTAAGAATTTTTCTAAAATCGTTTGAGTTCTATAAAGCGGAGCACTACTATTACAATAAAATAAATGGGGGGGGAAATGAGTTGTTATAATAACACTAAAAAATAAATGTTTTTGTTTTCTGTTGCATGAAATTTTTTGACAGATCTTAGGTTCTTTTGTATTGCTGATCTCTAATCTGTAATATGCTTCTCTCTCCAAGCAACGGTTTTTTTTTCAAAGACACTTTTAGTTTATTTTTTTCGAAATGTATAAGTTTAAGAACAATATATGTAACAAGAGGGTGTACAAGTGTTTCGACAAACTTCCAGGGCAGTTAGAACACCTCATCAGGATTAAAATTATATCTGAACCCATGCCCGGAAATGTCCTCACATGCCGTTAGGAACGCTTCCCTGTTATGAACTGTTTCCTTAAGTGCTTATGAATAGGTCATAAAAGGGAAGCACCCCTAGCCATGTACGATGACATTTCCAGGCATGACTTCTTATGCCCTTTTAATCCTGATGATGTGTCTTAACTGCCCTGGAAATATGTCGAGACATTTCCGCCACCCTCTGTTATATATAACGCTTTTAAACTTGTACATTTCGACAAAAAAATGACTAAAAATGTCATTTTTAAAAATAAAATCTGTAAATTTAGGAGTAAAACTAGTTTTAGACTTGAAATTCCCGACCTAAAATTAAGCAAGATCACGCATTTGTATAAATGCAACAAAAAATTTGCTCCCCTGTATAATCAAATGTATTGGATAGTTTTCTTAATATTTCTAAAAAGTACAATTGACTTAGAGAATAAAGATTCATCTACCCACAATCAGATTTCCAAGAGAGTATGTTGAAACCTGTTCAAATTGATAGAATTTTTTTTTAATTTATAGAAATTGAATTATATGTAATGTTCAGGAACCAAATAAGTATAAATCCGATGCATTATCGTACGAATTTACAATATTTTTGAGTTTAATCAATTCCGCAAAAAAACTGATTTTAAATAAACTTTTCTAATTTCAAACAATTTGACATAAAGATATTTTTGAAATGAATATATATTTCAACTTTACAAAACTATGATTACAATATACAAAATGTTGACTTTGTAAAACCATAACTATGTACTGTTATCCACTTAAACATTTTAGCGATAGTAACATTTTAGCACTACGTTTACGTTAGTAAAATGTACTATAAATAATACTTCTATTACTAATTTTTATTAATCAATACATAAGCTATTGTAACAATTATAATTTAAATTTAATAATTCACTTACTTCTCACTATTAGCCTCATTAGAGCATGAACTCCTTCATTTCGTCTGCCATCATAGTAACATTCGTAGACACCCGCATTCGAAACTTGAACATTCTTCAATTCTACTTTCGTCAACCCTGCCCAATCCGGTAACTCTTTACCATTGTGCCTCCACTTAGTAGGCAGCTCAAGACTCTTGGTAACATTTACTTCGAAAGTCACGTCATCACCGGAATTAGCTACGTTGTATGGCGAAAGAGCATCCAACTCAACTGGAATTAGCATTGAAATTCAGAGAAATGTGAAAAGAAAGTGTATACGTCAGCGAATTAAATCATATATTACGTATACATATCACATACACACGCATATTCACAAAATATGTTTCTATTCTTCAATTAATGTTACTTGACAAAACGTAATGAGACAGTAATAAGAGAAAAAGGACTAATTTAATAATGTAATTTATTTTCCAAATAGCAATTCTACGCAAATAAACATGCAGCACACCTTGTAAAGTTTACATCTTTAGTTTGCCAATTGTTCTCATGTTATATTTGAGTAGATAGCACAAAATCAAAATCGAAATAACTAAATAACATTTGATCTTATTGGATATTCGCGTACTCTGTAATTTTAATGGCTCGAGGGCCTGATCTTCTTATGTGCTAATACAAGTGAGCGTAGTACAGGAGCTATTTTAAATTTCGTCGTCGGACACAAAAACGAATTTCACCTGAAATAGTGGATACTTAAAGACCTTTAACTTTCATAAAACTTATTTATCGTTGAAGCACATTATGACTCATTCGAGAATAGCAGGTTAAAACTTATTTATCGTAAAATAATTATGATAAAGTGCAAAATTCCGTACTGTTTCCTATTTAATCGTCAAGCGCATCTGTTTTATTTCTTTTCTTTTTTTTCAAATTTTATAAAAGGAATGCATATAAGAACGTTATTCTTACCTATTTTTAAAATTAGTTTTGAAAATTTTTTAAAATAATTTTGTCTTTCTTTTTAACAAAATAAAGAAAATATTATAATGCAACGTTTTGTTTTTAATAATATTTAAAATTAGCAGATGCATCACTAAGTGGTTGCACTATTTAGCGGTGATGAAAAGATTTTTGATAACAAAAAATGAATACTGCATAACATTTTGGTGTATTGTTGGCCCCCTTTTTTGGTGCTGAGCTAAACTAAATACATATTGCGATTATCGTGCAAAAAATAAACAAAATTGTCAAAATAACGATTGTTTTAAAAAAAATAGTGCAAATATATTACTAAAAATGTGCTTGTTTTTTAAACGAAATATTTTTGCAATGTAGCCATTTAAATGATTCTGATGCGCATGAAAATATGTGTTACCAGTAGAAAAACAATCAAAACTATGACTGTTAATAACAGTTATAGTTTTATAATGAAAAACTAAAATAGTGAAAAAGTTAAAAAAATTTTATCAACATAGACCGTAAAAAATTTTAGTCTACCTCAAATACCAAAAATGGTAGCGACTATCCACATAAACTTTTTGCAGTGTACAGAGTCTATTCACTAATCCCCTTTTTTTCAATTTACATTTTTAGAATCCTTGCTGAAAAAACGAACCCTTCTTCAAAAAAACTTCACGTTGGAAGCCTCAAATTAATATTAAAAAAAGGAAAAAGCAACGCTATCAAAATGTGTCAAATCATTATAAATGAAGGATAAAAAAAACTTCAAAACCAGTTTGTTTGCCAGTGGAAACCTAGAAATGTCTCTAATAATCACCTTTGAGCCGTTGCGGCTCGGGTGATAGAGCGTCCACCTTCCGTTGAAGCGAACCGGGTTCGAATCCTAGTGATGGCTGGTCGATTTGAATTCCGCACCTGGCTCGCACCGACCACAGTGTTTTAAAAAAAATATCCTCTGTAGTAGATATAACATAGGTTAGAGTCCCCTTGCTGTCAGGCTAACCGTGACAGATTTTCATGACTTATGTTAGTTCCATCAAAAAGTCCTCCACGAAGGCAAATTTGTCCCAATACTTGATCTAAGAGTTCCCTTGTCTTCTGGATTAGGTTCAAAATGACAAGGCTACGAAGTTAAACATTAATCCTAAACCCAAAATTGGGTCGGCTCTTCAACGATGGTTATAAAATAAAATATTAATCACCTTTAGTTCCTCTGCTTTCTGTGGCAATCAAATAAGTTTTGATGGTACCTTTCTCGCTTTTTTCAGAAGTGAATTTGTTACATTTCGATAACGTTTTAGTTATTTTTCTCGCTTAAATATTAATTTTCGAACCTCAACGTGCATGCTATTTTGACAAGGATTCTAAATATATTATCATGAATTGTAAATATAGAACACTCTGTATAGTAACTTAACTCTTTAACATTTTCATATTCTATATATTTCTTTCTAATACTGTATTAAAAATTAATAGTTATTAGTAAAATAATAAAAAATATTTCAATAAAAAGCAGCTATAATGCATTTTGTAATCATAAGCAAAAAAATCCTTTCAATCCTTGAATGGACAATGTATTTGTTACATAAAACACAATTTTCATTGTACTGATTTATTTTGCGTTACAAAAAAAGACGTGTAAGAAACTGCTTGATTAACTGTTTTCTACTAAGTTAAAAGTTATTATATATCCTGTTTTTAAGTTTTAAGTTATTATATATCCTGTATGCATCTTTATATATGACTTGAAATGAAAATATCTCATTCTCACCTAGATTTGAAGGTGGCAATTTCAAGGTGACGATGTTCGTCTCCACGCTCGCTTTCAATGCTTGTTTGCATTGATATACCCCAAATCTAGCAAGTTTGTCATCACCAGGCATAAACAGAATACGAGCAAACACTGGTTTTGCTTGCAAAAATTGTTGAGATGATTTCGGAAGTTTGTTTCCCTAGAAATTAAAACAGTTGTATAGTTCAAAAATAATGTTTATTTGAGCCTACGTAGACATGTCTAAGCTGACGTCACTTCACATACTATTGCCCACTGGCAATACATCAATGATCAATTAGTTACAGATGGACCAATAGGATTCGATCGGAATGCGAATACTAATAGTCCAATAAGAATAGAGCAAACAACTAGTTGCCATTCACAACCCCAAACTTATGAAAATTGATTGATTTATTCCACTCAATGATATAGATCAGCCTCTGGCTTGGATATCTCTATACATTTTTTTTTTTTAATCAGGCTTTTCTAAACTCGCTTCCGTATGTGACAGTGGTATCTTGCAAACGAGATATATTTATTAAAAATCTCAATTTTAAAACGCTACGTAGTTCATATAAAATGTACTACATGTATTAAATGAGTTATTAAATGAGATTATTAAATGAGTTATGTCTTGCCACATATATTAAATTATTTGTTTAACAAATCTAGTTATTTTTTAATGAGAAAAACGTTTTTGAATTAACTTTGGAGTAGGAAAAATATTTTTTTATTTGTAACTTTCGTTTTAACTATTACTTTTCACCACAACTTCTGCTCTTCTGATAGGGTTAAATTTTTAAAAAAAAGCCTAATAAGGAAATAATTTGAGAAAGTTAGAAACAGGGGTTTTAAGAACTGGGGGTGGGTTCAATACCTAAATCGAAACACCGCACAATATAACTGTTACTCCTCGCTCTTGATTTTTTTTATTCATTTGTTGCAACAAGAATCTTTCATGTAAGCAGATCATTTTCTTTTTGTTTATTAATTGGTGAAAAAATCGAATTATAATCTTCATTAGATGATAGTACGGCTAAAGAACAAAGACATGAAAAAGGTTTTTAAAAAGCAATACTGTTTTATACTGATTTTATAAATCCGTATACTTTTAAAACTTTCTTTCATTCTATATCTTGAAGATAAAGAATAACTTTATCCCACCTATCTAAAAATATTATATTAAATAATTATTATCAGATTAACCGGAAACATGAATTTTTCCTAATTCCTGATTCTAGTAAAAATATTATTTTCTGCAGATAAAATTTAAAGTAATTTAGATGTTGAGTTTTCTATCAAGAAAAATAATTAAAATTATTTCAACTGAATAGTTTCATAATCCGAACTTGTCTTGATTTGTTTATCATATTGAGTAATTGATTCTATAAATGACTAACTTCCGGAAGATAAAAAGCCACATTAAGTCACAGACGATAAGACTTAATCAAACACATTAAGACGTGATTTGGCAAACAAATCTTTCTATACAAATCGATTGTAGGCCTTAAAATTTGAAAGCAAGTTTTAACGTATTTCTTACAGGAAACGTAAATGCATTGTTTTTCTACCCTTTTACGATAAAGGGCAACATCTTTTAAAATTCATTGAACTGTTCATTATTATTTCAAACAAGTTGCTGCAAATGAAGTGTGTCTCATGGCTTTAATCCACAAATGATTAACCTTAAAACAGATAGTTTTCAGAAATTTGCGACACGGATATAAAGAGAGCTTGAGTCTAACTCACACTTTTTTAAAAGATTCCATTTTCACATGATGTATCTTAGTATTGTTGCCACAAAAGTATTTTACGAGTTTCCGTATTTGCCATTGATTACAGCACAATTCAGAGAAAAATCTTATCATCTTTTTGGCTTTTTGAAAATCGTTGCGTTTTGGGCCAAAAACGCTCGCTTAAACTATTTGGAAATGTAGCGTATCATTATATTACCCCAAGCACTTCAAATGTATATAAATGATAGTACTTAGAGAATACCTCTCTATAATATGATTATCATTAAACTGACCTTGCTTTATATCCTGACATTCTAATAATTGAACTGCGAGAAAGTATGAAGACTTACTCATTACGTATCCATTCCGATAATGCAGCAAATACTATCAGTATTTTTTGGTACGTTTACGAATGAATCTAAAGATACTTACTTGACCAGTATCGAGCAGTCGCGAAAATTTTATTTTTTTATAGTTCTCATCACTGAGACACTGAATAAGAGACCGCATATCAGGTTGCAAACGTCCCCAAACATTCTGCAGTGTGAAATTGGCATCGAATTCTCCTACGGAAAAGAAAATGCATCATGGAATATGCTAGTGGTTCAATATTTGTAGAATAAATTTATTTATAAGGGCAGATGAAAAAAATTCTTCTCTCTGTTTGATAAGTTGAGTCAGGTTATATAAATGTAGACATAGTAAATGAAATAAAAGTATAACATTTTTAAACTACCTTGAATAAATCAAGACTTACAAACTAGAAGCAATGCGATTTCCATCCTAATGAATAAACGAACCTATAAAATCGACTTATATAATACAAACGACCATAGTTAAAGTTCACGCCAATATGTCTACACGGTGACAATAGTCGCCAATCTACAATGTCGCTAAAATCATAGACAACAAAATTGTCGCCTTTGGAAGTTACCAAATAGTAACGAAAAATAGTTTTTTGCATCGAATTCCATGCGTTTAAAAAAATTGTTGTACTAAGTTTATTATTCTACGAGTAGTTTTAAATTTTTTTAAAATGGAATAACTGAAAGTTTCTAGTATAAAAAATTTGAATTTAAATATTGACACTTTTTTTTTCTTCCAATGCCCACATGTGTTAACATCCGTTAATTCAGGCATACACAGGGCGATTTTGTTGGCCTCTCTTTCAGGGCACCATGTTAGGTGGGCCAACGCTCCCACAGTGAGGACAGATAGTACAGAGAAGGAAAGAACATCCATGCCTTCCCGGGATTCGAACCCAGAACCTGTATAGGACAGTTCCATGCCCCCTACACAGGCCCGTCGGCTAAATATTGATACTTCAAATTGACACGTTGTGCTGTGCCTTGCATTCATGTACTAACAGTATAATTATGCATCGATAAAACGTTGTTTTTTGCTCTTTTAGAATTGACTTTATTTAGAATTTTCAGACAATTAATTTTCAATGTAACATTTTGTTAATATTTACTTTTTCTCTTTTCCTCATTTATTTGGTAGAATCAGCGTTTTAATCTGTATGTTTAATTTATTTACTAATATTATTTTACCTTTTTTCGCGTTATTTTAATAAATACTAAACTTCAACCATTAGGGGTTAATGACTTTAATTAGTGTAAGGCGTAATAGAAGCAATTAATAATTTTTGATAACAGGAATAATGCAATTGGGTATAATATAGCCTGTCACAGGTTGTGTTGTTCCTACTAAATTTAACCCATGAACGGCATTTTCTGCGAGCCTAACTTCAAGCCACAAATAAACAAACGAAGTGTTCGATCGTTTAAATAGCTGCTCGCCAGATTTTATTGCATTATAAAGAAAAGTTATTGAAACTAAATACAACTAAATAAACAACAACAACTAAAACAAATAACAACAACTACTAATAACAATAACTAAATAAACTACAACTAAATTCCATTCGTTTAGCATTGCGTCATATGTTGTTCCTACTAAATCGAAGTAGTTGTGTTTTTTTCATATTATACCCAATTGTAAAGTTCGATTTTTTTTTCTCAAGTTTGTCTACCATATTAAGTTTTTGGACCACTAAATAAAGACCTAAATGGTACTGTTGGACCATTAAATTTTTATTTCTGGTTTGAACCCTAACTATAACAAAAAAAAACAATTCAAGTAAATAAACAATTCATGTAAATAAACAATACAAATAGTGGCATAAATAATGCGTAATAGTGGAATAAATAATGCGTATCGCATAAAAATACTTATTTCCAGATTATTTTTTTATCACTAATACGTGTTTTTAATAAGTGAGTATTAAGAAACTTTATTTAAAATTGTAAGGGTCATTAGAAATGAGAGTGTTTCATCACGTAATCGAACTAACCTTAAGCTACTTGCGGTTAGTTGGAATCTAGAGCTTTTTATTTCTCTGAAATTATATTGGGTCATATAAGGTTACTTTAAAGAAATAATTATAATAAAAACCGAAATGATGAAAAAACTTATTATGATCTCGTGACAAATCAATAGGTACAATTCGAAATTTAAACGAAAAATGAGAATAATAATATTAAATTTACTGATTTATGTTCGTATAACTATGCTTTAAAAAAAGCACAAGGAAACATATGGGGGCTATGCTTATACTATCATAAAATAAAGTCGCTTTTAATGTTAGAGCTTGTTCTTTGGTCTCGGGCATATTTGGCAGCTTTAGAGGGATCTACTTTGCCACAACGCATCAAGACATCTTGAGATCAAGTAGCCCAGAAAACATAAGTTTTATGCCATATTCAATAAATGAAAATATTTTTTGATTAAAACGAGAAAATTGGCATAATTTTATCATATATTTACATATATTATTTTCTCGCTTACTTTTAATTTTACTTTTCCACTACACGCAGTATAGTTAAAAGTGGAAAGAGTTTAAATTCTTGTATTGTTACTCAGAGTTTGCAATGTCGTCTGCGTAACCACAACAACAACATATAAATTACTATAAGCATAAAATGTCTTTCAGTTCTAGTTTTTTCTTTTTCTTAAAAAAAAAAAAATTCAATGTTTTTGAATTTGGGCCGGGATAGCCTGGTCGGTAGGGCGCTGGGCCCATATCCAAGAGGTCGTGGGTTCGATCCTCGCCGGCCGAAGACTCCCCGTGTAGTAAATGGTGACTGATGCACGTTAAATCTGTCGAGTCTCAAAGTCCTCCATGTTCCCACAACAAATCAATACCTCTGGGGGTACTGATCCAGGAGTTTCCTTGTCTTCTGGATTGGTTCAAAATTACAAGGCTACGGAGTTGAACGTAAGTAGTCGTAAATCCATGAAATTGGGTCGGCTGTTCAACGGCGGTTATAAAATAAAATGTTTTTGAATTCAAAAATTATTCTTAACAACTTAAAGTTTGATAAAAGTAAAATATACGCAACTTATAATATTGCCCTCATTATAATTGATAGTTAATTGAACTCATAAATGAAGCCGGATGCAAATCCCCGGGAAACCATTTATGTTTTCTGAAATGTTTACGGAAACAAAAACGAATATTATAATTATAGAAAGATACATTTTCTTAGCGTTTGAATATTTCATAAAAGTTTTTTTCAAATTGTTAATGTGGGAGAAGTATATAATATAACTAATCCTGCGTTACAGCTTTTGAAAAAAAGTTAACTTCCAATGTTTAAATCATTATACAGCACAAAAAAGGGTTGTGATGCAAACTAGAAAAAACTGTTAAATTCTAGAAAAAATCAAAATGAACTGTAGGGGAGAATGGAACTAACGTAAACACTGGACTAATGTAGGCGGGTGAAATAAGTATGCAGTTTATCACTCAACATTTCTCAAAAAATGTAGCCATGTTCTCAAATTCGCTTCTCACTTTCAAATTGCATGACCACACACTTGATTGTTAAGTAGTGAATTCATACAGTTGTGTAACAGTAACCTTGATCGTAGTTTTAGTAGAAAATATAAAATAATCCTTTAATTGTAGAAAAGTGATTAATTAATTTGCTTTTTAGATTCCAATAATAGGCTTAAACACACAAATGATTTCATGAAGCTAGTATGGACGTATGGTAGTCGGGCTATTGTGGACCTATCCATATTGAAGGTTCTATCTTAATATGGGTTAAAGCACATCAATTGTTTTAGTATTTATTTACTAAATTGGATTGATATTGTATAGTAATTAATTTAATTATTAATTTTTGTTGTCATTTTTGGCTTGTATTTATAAAATTCGATTTTTTTGATGCCATGAAACATTTTGAAACTCAATGATTAATTTTATTTATTTTTAAAATATTAACTAAGGAGTTTTAGTATTATTAATGGCAATTCTGAAGTGCGTCCTTCCAAAATTACTTTAACAATGCTTAATATCACGCCTTGCCTCTCAGTCGGCATTTAATATTGAAATGTCAACTAAAATGTCCAATTCAAATTAATATATTTTCTACTAAATAAATATTGATAACAAATTGCAAATGTGGTGGTAGTAACTTTCAAATAAAGTTTTCCGCAATTAGGTTACAGTTTAGTTCGTAATTGTAAAATAATATTTATGTGACTAAACAGCAATTAAAATCAACATTTTCATTCAAGAATCTAAGTTAAAATTAGTTCCTTTTTGATTTCATTCAAGCCCATTTAATTGAAATCAACATTTTGATTATCCACCATTTTGATTTTTCAAGTAACAAAAGATTAACTAACACCTTTTTTTTTTACTTGCCCATTTAACACAATATTATGAGCTAAGTGTGAATAAAAACAGAAGATGTTACTGAAAAGAGATTAATAAATAAATACGGATTAAAATTATTTTTTGTATCATTCAAAATGAATTCAAAGGTTCCAATTTAAATAAAAGAAACACAAGCAGTGTTCAAAATTTTTCTTAGTAAACATTTTTGGAAAGTTTATTAAAAATTGTCTCCACTATCCCGTTTATCCCCTACACATATAAAAATTTCTAAAAAAAATTTTTTCAAAAAAAAAATTGTAAAAATTCTAACATTTTTTCCTAATGCTCAAAACCTTGTGAAAGAATTGTGAGGGCAAATGAGGTTTTGAAATTCATTTAAAAATACGATGCATCAATTATTGGAAAAATTCATTTGTTATTGAAGTAAAATCACAACATAAATTATTTATAAGAAAAAGCCTTTGTTACAACAACGAATAGTAAGAAACATCTAGCACTATCTAGTTGTAGTTGTACATCGACAAATGGTACGCATTAAACATCAAAGTTAGAAAATGAAACAACTCACCTTTTATCCCATTCAGCAACAAAATCCACACAACAGCGATTATCCAAACACAGCTTATTTTCAAATATTTCATATTTGCATGCAAAACAAACTGCAGCACTTAGTAAGTTCGAATTTTTAAATTCATTTCAGAGAAGCGGACAGATTACAAAACAGGAAGCTCAACAACACTGTTTCCGTCGGCTTAGAGTAGGAAGTTGTTACTGCCTTTAGACCTGCGACTTCAGAGAGATAAAAACCTTCTATGCCACTTTTTTGAATTAAAAAAATACCAGAACAGAATATTGAATTATTCTGTAACGAAAAGTTTGAGCTTCAGAACAGAAGGAATAGCTAGAAAAACAACCATTCCTCACACCCAATATATCTATATTGGGTGTAAGGAGATGACGAAGGGGGGGAAAAAAACCTTTCCGGTCAAGATAGTTCCATCCTTTAGTGCAAGGTCTTTTCTGACCGGGTGCTATATATATATAGAAAAAAAAATACATTTGTTATTAGCTTTTTTATTGTTTTAAGGTAAAGTCCTTTGATTTAAATTCGAACTTTTTCTTTGAACTTGGAACAAAATGAAAATTTTTTTTCTCCACATTAACCCACATCTCTAGGGTCAAGGTGACGAACTATTTTTTGGCTACTTATAGTTTTGATTTTAAAATCATTTTAAGAACATGCATGATTTTACTCCTTTAATTAGCCTTTAAAGTACAAGGTTATTCGAAAAGAGGGATCCAATTTAAAAAATTTTTATTTCATGAACTACAAGTTGAACAACCTACAGATTGATTAAAAGAGAAAGGTTTACAATTTTTCACTTATTTTTTAACGTTGGCTGTAAATATTTATTGTGTACCTTCTTAGCTGCACAGCAATCCTCTGACCTAAGTTAGCCAAATTTATCCCACAAGCATAAAAGCATGTCTTGTGCTATTGAGTTTTGAGTTCACCACAGCAGTGACACGGTTCTGCAAATCGGCTATAACTGTTGTAAACAGCCTTATTTAGTCTCCTTAACATAGCCTCACCAGAAAAACTGAAAAATACACGAGATCAAGCAATCAGGGAACACTCGAACAGCCGAAACACTTCTTGCAGACTCAAGATCGCTGAAAGCCTCATGACGCTTGGTAGCCATCTTACAACTGACAGTATTACAAATTACCTGCCTAATGGCATACCCAACCATTTAATTACAAATGAAATTTTTTTTTTTAAAAAAAATTGAACCATCCTCGTTTTAAAAGTATGAGGATTGTTCACATCCAATTTATAATTCGAAAATCCAAAGTAATTAAATTGGGACCATCCCTTTGTATAACATCGCATATTACGCCAATAATTTTAAACCCCACAGCCATAGAGTGAAGAGGGAACTGTAAGGCCGTGAGTTCGTGCATAACTTTTCCTGCACAATGGGCTATTGGCGACGGTCTGGGAAACACCCCTGAGAATGATCCAAAGACATGCCATCACAATTTTTATCCTCTGCAGGAGGGATGGCACTCCCGTTTCGGTAGCCTGACGACCTGGAAGCGAAATCGAGCACTTTACGGTCGAACAGTTTAACGAGGATCAATACCGCACACCCACGGTCCCTGCGCAGACTGATCCAAGTAATCACCCACACGCACACAGATGGCGGTCAATGATGCTTGACCTCGGTGATCTGCTGGGAATATCACCTTTGAATTTGTTCGAACGAAGTGCCTATCATATAGATTTACACTGTTAGCCTCATATATGCTAATTAGTTAGAACCGACTATTAATCAATTTACAATAAGGTGTCTTGGTGTTAATAGTAATTAACATTAAGGAACTCAAACTTACGACCACTCTACTGACTAAACTAGTCGGGCCATATTTTTTAGCCTGTGGATTACTCCCCCCCCCCTTCTGTATTACTTATGGCAGCGAATGCTGCCATAAAGTAAAACTGATTAATAAAAAAATAAAACTGATGAAAATAAACAACCGATATTTAAAAGAAAAATTCCCTGAGCCACCTTCGGAGCTGTTAAAGAAAACAGTGTTTGGTGGATTCTGTACAATTAATGCAGAAAAATTAAGCAACCAAACATAATTTCAGTTATTAATTCCTATAGAATAAGACGACTGGGTCACATCTATAGAAGGGATTAAAGTGACCCAGTTAAGAAGCTGACTTTTTTGGAAAGTTTATAGGCAACCGAAAAGGGGTAAGACCAAACACTAGATGGTTTAATTCTGTGGAAAAAGATCTCAAAACCATGGGAATCCATGAATAGAGGAGAAACCTAGAGTATGATCGAGCCAGATAGAGACTGCTGGCCTGCTGTTATTCTGATGGGAAAAGGATATTAAGCAATTTAATTGTAAAAAAGATGCATTTATTCAGAGAAAACACATTTTTGTATCTCATTTCGTAACTTCACATCAAAAGTTTGCGAAAATCGGTTAACATATTTGACATTAAAAACACAATTAAGTGATTTTTTTTTTCTTTTTTCATATTTTGTATCTGAAAAATCTAATGCCAGGGATTCAAAGCAAAGGTACCGAATTTGACAAAGCCCATGCGCAGCCGCGAAGCGGTAAGTACCAGAAGCAGGGCTTTAATTTTGAGTTAGAATTTTTCGAAAAAAAATTTTAAGCGTGTAAAAATAACATTCAATTCTTTCCTTACTATTTTCTTCCATTTAATTCTTAGTTATTTTTCAAAATTCTTAGTTAATCAAGCATCTGTCTAGTGGTAGCATACGACAGGAATTCTACATAGCTTCTGTTTACATCAAAAATTTTAATGTCTTACATTAAATAAATAATAATAACGTTTGTAACGTGTCGATTTAAAATGGCGAGCGCAATTTTAACAAAGCACTTTTCCTTCGAGAGGATTTGAATTTAATTAACTATGGTTCAAAAAAGCTAACATTTAATAATAAAAATTTAAGTAACAGCCATAATTACCTCAGCAACGACGAGTGAAAAAAATAAAACATCTTGTTTAATACCTGTCGTTGGACAGCCTGCCTAATTTTTCTGGGTTTACGACTATTAGTGCTCAACTCCATAACTTCGTAATTTTGAACTCAATCCAGAAGACGATGAAACTCCTGGATCAAGTATTGGGAGAAATTTGTCTTTGTGGAGGACTTTTTGAAGGAATTAACCCGCATTTGTCTTGCATGGAGAGGAAGACCACGAAACCCTCCCACGGTTAGCCTGACGTCAAGGATACTTAAACCCATGATGCGTTTACATCTGAATATTTTTACGTCAGGCACTGTGTGTACAGCCCAGCCATAGCTGGGATTCGAACCCGGTTCACCTCATTAGAAGGCGATCACTCTTTTCCCTGAACCACCACGTCTCGAAAACATCTTGTTTGTAATAACTAATTGATTTCTAAGTTAGAAGAGAAAAGAAGCAAAGTATTCTTTTAAGAAAAACTTACATTGTAGCTAGATAATAATCATTTAAAGATTTTGTTAGCAATTTTATGTATTTTACTTGAATAATAAAAACAATATCGGATTTGGAATTCATTAAAAAAACTGCTGTAAACGAACTTTTGTATTTCATTTCCGTGCTAACTAACCTTGACAATTTATGCATGGGTTCGCCTCTGATATAAAAAGTATCATTTAAACAAACAATTGGTTACTTGCACTTCAAGATCACTGATACCCACACATGTGACCTATGGCGTCAGCGACAGCAGATAGTTTATAATAGAGTCCCTGAATTAGACAGGCCGACTTATCATCTATTTTTGGAGCAAAAAGCTAACATAAGCACAATACTAACATAACGTTAACTTGCGAACTTGTTTGCTCCAATATTGCTTGATAGGTCAGCTCTGATAGTATAGGAGCCTTAGTTTATAAGAAAAATGGCGCGGTAAAGTTAAACTTCATACAAGTTAGAATGTTTAGAAGCTTCTCCACACAAGTTAGAATGTTAAAAAAAAAGTGTATGAGTTAATTATATACACTGCTGTATCGCACATCAAAAAAGTTGAAATAGAATTCCTCCTCGTCTAGTCCTCGACTAAGTCTTCGCCGTCTAAACTTAAATTAGATTCATTATTTATGCATTTTATTTTAACCATGATACGTTTTTGTTTTGTGTACCTGGCAGCTTCGATCCCTGAATTAGTTTATGTTCTCCATGGCTTCATGCCCGTCTTAATGTTAACGGAGAAATATATAGTGAAAGAATTTAAATCTTTGTGAAAAAATGTAAAATGTGTAATTTAAGGGAATTGAAGCTTGACGGACTCGGCTTACTCGAAATAGAATGGAAAGAACGGTTGTTAACGTAAACAAATTCCATGTCTCAACAACCAATCAGGATCGTGATACTTGCAGGTATCCCATTTTAAGAAGAAAAAGAAAATTATGTGAAATTTGAAATATTAACAAAAAATGTAAATAGGAACAGTAAAAGGCAAAACAGATTACATAGGAAGTTTTAAGCAAAGTTAAAAAATAAAAATAACCTGATCCGAAATTGTGGTATTCAATTAAAGGTTTGAAGCATAGGTTAAAAGTAAATCAAAAGATACGAGTCTTGCATTTACTTTCACTGACGTAGCAATTGCAACTTTTATATTTATTACTTTTTATGTACAGTTGTTGTGGTGTAGGGATTTATAAATCGACTATGTCGACCAGACCATCATCCATCAAAAGGTACCTCTTGATAGATGAAGGTTAACATCGTCGATAATTAAATCCCTTCATTGGTGACCTGCGGACGTGATAAGAACTTGCCAATATTGATGGATGATCCACATCAAACAGCTGATTTGCTTAAAAATATACTGCTCAAAAAAAAATCCGGTGAAGTAAATAAAGTCCTCCGTTCAATAAACAATATTGAAGAAAAAAAATAAGCGAAATGCTATTAACAAAAATAAGAAAAAATAATGAGCAAAATGCTATAAAAAAATGAAGAAAATTATGATGAGCGAAAATGATATAAATATATAAACAGTATGAATCAACTAGTGGTAATACTTCATCAAATTCTATCGCAAATAAAATTCTGGATAAAATCCTAATATGGTGTAACTACCACTACAAATATTAAATACCAAATCACTAGTATAAAAGACATGTTAACATAATTCTAACATGAGGTAACTTTTGATAGATGAAGGTTGACATAGTCCGATAATTAAATCCCCTCAGAGGTTAACTTCGATTCATGAATTTTCATTTTTATAAGTAAATTCAGTAACATTTAAATCTTTTAAAGTAAGTCCCCCCCCCCCCGATTTATACATACAGTTTATTTGACCCTTCCCCTATCTTCATTATCAGGTAGTATTATATTGGTATTTCTAATTTAATATTTACAAGACTAACCAAGCATGTGAAAGTAAAAAATACATGCACAATTGAAAATTTTACATGCCCGGGCCACAACGAAAAATGTAATTTTCAAGCCCTGATCTCGTTTTCATTGAGGTTATAATAATTACTTTTTCCTTTTTAAAAACCAAACTTGTAATAATCATCAAGTTAATACATCATCTCTTGTTCACACTAAACCTTTAGAGGGAACACCGCAATTTTCAAGACTGATTTTATCGAAATTTCCTGATTTTTGTAACTAAAAGCTTAAATTTCATTTATGCCCTATTCTTATACATAAAATATATAACAAAACAAAAACTTATGCTTGCTGATAGACTTAAAAAAATTAAAGAACGATTTTAAAAAAAATATTGCAAATCCTAATTTTTTTTTAAAAAAACTTTTTCAAAAAATTTGACTTTTAGGTACTTAAAACTTAAATGAGTACATATTCCTTACCTTTTAAATATTTTAATTAAGTTCCCAGGTACTTCCCACCTGGCTTTAAAGAAGGTAGAACTCATATTTTTCTTCATGACATTTACATTAATATAAACTTACTCTGCATTTAGAGCAGGTTTGTTCTCCAACACAATTTAAAATGCTTCCAAAAAAAAAAAAAAAAAAAAAAAAAAAAAAAAAAAAAAAAAAAAAANAAAAAAAAAAAAAAAAAGCTTTTAGAACTTTTTTTTTTTTTATAAAAATATTAATCGAAGGAGTTTTATAAGTTGTTCAAATAAATTATTTTTTAAAAATGAAAATACTTCAGTATTTGCATTTAAAATTCCTTAAAAGAATCTAAATACATATTCATACAAAATATGCATATTTGATGACAGTCAGTGCCAAGTATTTGCATTTGTTATGATGATAATTTAAAGGATTGTTTACTAGAGTCCTTAAACCACATCTTATTAATTCCTTTTTTTTTAAATTGTCAATAAGGAAATTTTCCAACAAAACTGTTTCTAATTCAAAAATAAGAAGTTTTCAGAAAGAGATAATAACATCAAAACTAAATCAAAATTCTTCATTACCAAAATATAACATACAATAATAAAATTTTAAATTTTATTTTTAATAAATATAAATACAAAAATACATTTTTTTTTCAATACATAACTGCAGGCGCATCATTAGCGTAAGGGTAACTCCAAGAAAACGGCTGCACCCACCTTATTTTTTCAGAATCCCCCTAAATAAAGAAAACACATAGCTCATTTTTTTAATAATAACAAAAACAATTACTCTATTAATCCTCTAATAGCAAATGCAGTCAGAGAGTGATGTCTGCCTGTACTATATACTTTTAGAATCTTTGTCAAAAAAGAAGTTGGTAAAGTATAAACATTGGCGGTAGCATTAGAATTTAAACAAGGGGAGAAAAAAACACTATTGAAATCTAAGACAGTATTTAGGAACATAGGATTGAAAATAATAAATACATCTGGGGATATTCAATTGAAGGTTGATTGTTCTCTGATTCAGGTCAAAATTATGATCTGTGGATGAATAGATATATGAATGGGTTTACATTTTAAAACGGGCGGTGATGCGTGTGTGGTTGAAGTCGTATTCTTAGCCATAGATGGCGACACTGAAAAACAAGAAATGAACTGTCTGCCTTAAATTTGCTTGGTTTCACCAAGCAAGCTTGCTGGTATTTGGAAAGTGGCATTAGAAACAACAACAGGATTGAAAATAGCCAAACATTCTTTGATTGCTGGAGATAGCAGAGGAAAAGTTAAAACGCGATTATCTGAAACCAAACCTAGTTTCACCAGGCAGTTAAACTAGTTTTGGAGCTTTCCATTCACCCTTCCTCACAAGTGATTCAACAAATTTAGATAGATTTTTTTCCTTATTTTAATATTAATTATGCCCCTAATGAGTATGTTTTTTATAACTTCCTTTTTGATGAGGATTCCAAAACTTTTAATCACGGATTATCATCACAGAAGATCCTATATATACACATTTAAATAGGTACTCATATTTCTTTCATTTAATTTTACAAAATAAATGCTTATTTCAAGGTAGGGATTTTATTCAGAAGAAACCTATTTCCTCCGAAATACTGGAAGAAACTCAACAGAATGGAAAAAACATGGTCAAAATGGAGGAAACTGAAAATGACAATACCATTTCTTAGCAATTATAATTTTAAGAAATTTAAACAAATAAAATTCAATACAACTACTTAAAAAAAATCTATATACCATTTCTTTTTTATTTTAGTTTTATACAAAATTTTAAAATCTATATACCATATTATTTAGCAGCATTCAAAGTCTTAACAATATATGATTATAAAAATTGATATGCTATTTTGAACAATTAACATTGAATTCAAAATTACAAAATTTTGAATTCAATATGTGATTTGCAGCCATGTATATGTTTAGCACATGATTTGTTAATATAATTCGGTTATATTATTTTAACAATTCTTTGTATAATAGACCAATTACACTTTACATCACTCTTTTAGATAAAATATTGAAAGAAAGTAAAGTAGTTTTAATTTCTAAAATTCATAATTTTTTTTCCTAATTGTTGCTTTTTACCCTTCCCTTGTAAGTAGCTTGAAAAAAATACTCTTATTTGAACTATATAGCAATCAAAAATCAAACATTAAAACTGAGTAAAAATTCCTTAACGTTTGATGTTACTTTTTGAAAAAGTTTTTTCTTTTTCTTCAACTTATAGAATATTTTAGAAGAATATTTTCTCCAGGCCTGTTTTTTTCCACTGTGGAAGAAACTTGTATTCCTTGTTTTATTGTACAGAAAGCTATACAGTAATACTCATTCTTTAATATTCGATTCAATCAACTTCAAACTAAGTTACTTTGAAAATTTTAATAGACTCATTACAGATGACATAAAAATGCGACCTTTCACTATTTTAGGAAGAGCAAAAAAAGTGTCAAAATTATAACACTAGTATATTTTTCATAAAAAGTAGCCTTTTATAAATGGATAAAAAAGGCTGTAAAAATATTTTACTAATCTGATTTTTAAGTTTATTATACACAATATTAAAATATATTATGAAATCATATTATGTATTTATTTACTAACCTTTTAATTTGCTTAAATCTTGTTGTGAAAAAAATAAAGAAGTTCTCTAGTGAACTTTAAAGAAATATAATTTTTTTAAAATTTATTTTTAAATAAATGTATATCTTAAAATATTGTTTTAAATTTTCAACTTGATTCAATTGATATCAAGACATTTTGAGAAGAATCCAGGTTGTGGACCATTAACATACTATGAAACATTAAAAAAGAAATTTTTCCCAAAATATGATTTTAAATTACACTGATAATTAATTAACATTAGTACTAAAATACAATATTAAACACAATATTAACTAAAATTTAGAATACAACCTTTCTATCTATTATATTTTTGATCAATTGGTTTCCGTTTGGTACTTATTTTTATTCTAAATATCACTTTAAAAAGAGTTTTTAAAAATGAAAATAAAAACCTAACAGATTTTCATGCTCACAAAAATTTTTATGTTTCATAACATCAAATAATTTTAATTTTAAATGAAAAAAGTACAATAGGATACTCAAAATGTGATAACATAAATAAACAACTGGAGTAAACCTATTAGCCCTAAAAATGTTTGAAAACCTGAAAAAGAGAGAGAGATAATGAAATAGGAAAGAACATAGAAATGTACAGTTTATTATGTCTCCTAAGTTTACTTTAATGCACATTTATCTTTAATAATACATAAAAATATAAAAGCAGATTTTAGTCAAACTCTTTGCATGTTGCAATGGGCCATTTTTGCAAAAAATTGATGCCTATTTAGGGGCAATCTACAAATGGTACAAAAAAATTTTAATATATTCTCTATTCTATCCAATGTTTTTTCTAAATTTTTATGACTCCTAAATATTATATATTTGCAAAAAACTGAAATATCTTATCTTAAAATTTTATAGGGTGAAATTTGGGGACATACACTTATTTACTATTTTAAAAAAATAAAATTGAATCTTGTGTGATGGAGATAAGTTGTTTCAAACAATTGAATTGTCATTATAGAGTTTTATTTAAAATTATTTTAATTAAATTAGTAATTTAATATGCATAGAAATTTTAGAAATGGTAAACAAAGGGAAAATTCACAAATTGATATTTTTTCAATCTTTAGTTGTATTTAAAAATAGGGAAATATAGCAATTAAAAATTTTATACTAAATTATAATTGACATTTGAATTAGTAATGGCATTTTTAAACAACTAACAGAAGAATCTAATATATTGATTCGAACTAATTGAAAATGTTTATGAAAAGATTATTTTTCTATTAATAAGGTTTTTATTACAGTTTTCTTTGTTATTTTGAAAACCTGTTTCTGAAGTTTTATTGCTATGAAAAGTTCAGCTTGTCCATAAATGCTGTGGCCTACCTGACATTATAAATTTAGAAACAGCTTATAAAGTAACAAAAAAGTGCCTCAGAAATCTAAAGTTAAAATTTTAGACTTAAACAGGTAAAGAGGAGGAACAAATAAACTATTAAATAAACAAACAAAAACTAACATTTCCAAAAATATTTTGAAACAAAATTCATGAATCATTAAAAATTTCAATTAAATATAAAAAAAAATAGCTAGAGTAGAATACATATATAAAGCAACTCTATCAATCACAATTCTCCAAAAATGGTACTAACTTTATAATCAATCCCTAAAGTAAACATAAATTCATAAATTTGTTGGACTTTATTAACTATGCTCATAATATCCTCAATTTCTTCTGCGAAAAATAAATACATAAATGCACATTTTTGCATTTTAAAGTTTTTTTTTTCTCATTAATTATTTAAAAGCCTTAATCCGACTTAGATAAAATGAAAAAATTACTGCTAACGCAAAATCTCAATTAAAAAAAATTTTCTGTATGCATTGTTTAACTCTTGGAACTACCTCATTTTGTCGAAATTTGTTTGAAAATCACAGAGTTTATTAAAAATGCATTTTTAGAACTCTATATTATAAATTTTAAAGATTTCTATATTGATTCATATCACAGGAATGAATTTTGTAAAAAATCAAAAAAACTAAACATAGAAATCGGAAAACGTTCTGCGCAAACAGACTTTTTAAATAATTCAAGAATACCTGAAATTTGAGAAAGAAAAAAGTATAAAAATGAATCTTTTCTTATCTGGGGAATACGAAAAAAAAATTTCATTGAAGAGGCGGATTTTTTCTTTTTTAGCAATAGTCAAAAAAAAAATTTGTGATGGAGACTAATTTTTGAGCGAACATTGTTTGCGCAATTGTGTATTATACAGGTCTGAACTTAATATTAAACAGTTACAGATTTATGTAACCGTATTCAATAGGTAAGCTAAGGGATATGGGAAATAATATATATGATAAAAAATTCTATATAATATGTTTCAATGTTTGCATCATAAAGATCTGATACTGCATTTAAAAGTAAATAGAAGAGAAATAATTTTTATTACTTCTTTGATTTGCAGCCATTTATTCAGATTGGAAACCATTTGATAAGCTTCACTGTAGTTGCCCCCCTCAGAACATACCATGATGAGCACCACAACAGGAATATTTTGTTCTTCACTAAAAAAATTTAAATAAATTAAACACAAAATAATAAATGAACAATAGATACAATACCAAAAAAAAAATAGATGTCATGAATTAGGGACACTTACACGTTATGTATCTAAGGAACCAAAGGGATTAGTTTGCTTTTCGTGACGAGGTGAACCAATATCACCATAAATATTGGTCTAAATTATTTTTAGAGTAACAACTTTTGATCTAAAAATCAGATTTTCACCTATTAGGAATCGATCTTAATAGTTTAATCTTAAATATGCTAATTAACTTTTGCATGTTTTGCAATATCTTCAAACATTAATAGAGCGAAACAATAAATTGTAAAACTTGTTTATGCAGAGATAATTCTATGTAAAATATTATTTTTTATAATCATTTAATACTTTTAATCAACTTATTAATGGTCAAAAAATTTGAATAGTAAGGTATACACATTTTTATAGATTTAATCTATGCAATTTTAAGAGATAAAATCTAAAATTTAAAGAGAATAAGTTGAATATTTCTTAAGAAATGAAAACTAAAGATAACTTATTTGAGATCCAAACTTTTACTCACTTTTCTGCCTGAACTATTCGCATCCAATTCTACAGATTGTGGCTGCCTTCCATATTTCGAGAATCACGAATGTATAAAATGTATGTTTATTCAGAGAAAGTACGTTTTTTAGACCGGATTTTATAACTTAAAATGGTATCTACACTACTCAATTAGCATTTTAAGGTAAGATTAAGATTGAATCAAGTATGCAATCCAAATCACATAAATAGATCATAAGCTATAAAAATGATCAGGCAATTACAAAAGTTATTTAACAAATAATGTAAGTGATAAAAATTTAAGGATATGAGGTATCAAGGATAAAAATGTGACCTTCAGAAAGATTTAAAAGAAACTTTTTTTTGTACTCTTTTTAGATGAAGAATGCCAATATTAGTTCAATGTAAGAAGATTAAAAATTAATTACCACATATCTAAGAACAGTTTTGAAATTCCACTTCCTGGTATAGCTGGTACATGAGGTAGCGCCAAGTTAAATTTCTTCCAAGACAATTTTCCAAATCTAGATTCATTTTCTACATTGCTTGAACATAAATAATGCAACGGCACACTAGAAAAAATAATGCCAAATCAGCTTGAATGGACAACTTCAAAGTTACTTCATAAAGAATAACACATTTAATGCTGTTAAAATGATTTCATGCCAAATTCAATTTAAGATTTGGAAGTTAAGGGTAGAGATTTCATTCATATTGCTTTGTTATCTGCTTTAAACATAGATAAACCACTTTAAACAAACCGAGTGAAACTGACGATTTGAAAAAATCAATTTTAAAATATGTGATAAAAATGTTTGGCTTGATTTGCTCTGCTTAAAGAACTAATTTATTCTCACTAAATTTTAATATTAGCTCTAAAGAACATTAACTAATAGAAGCTGAACACTGTTAAAACTAAACCAATTTTTTTTTTTGTTGCATGTTTTGATATTCTAACTAAAATAATTGCACTGGTGTCTTTTTTATTTTGAAAACATTTTACAGTATTCAAATGGTTCTGTAACTAGTTTTGAAGTTTGATGAGAAACAGCTAGCTACCAAAGCTGAAGGCAGCAAACTGCAACAACTGTAATTACCTTTAGCTGTTTTCTAAATCATTGGTCGTAATAGGGATACCAAGTAGATACAACCGGAATAGAACATTTAATAAAAATATTATGAAATGTAAGCCATATTTTACCATATAAGTAGAATTATTTCTTGAAAAAGTAAAATTATGATAATAAATTGTCAAATTCAACATTCAAATAAAAATACATAAAATATGATTACTTTTCTAGTTGTTCAAAAGCAAAATACTGAGAAAAGCTGCTTGACAACATAATAGTTCTTTTGATTTTGTGATCCTTTATGAATTTTGTAAGAAAGTCCAGATATTCTTTCACTCTACTCTGAAAAAGAATAATAATAATAACAATTAAAATGTTTATTACAATTAAAGAATACAATGTCCAAAGACGCCAGGACATGGGGGAAAATGCCTTTTGGTGGTGGGGCATTATTGACGCTCAGATTTTATAAAATTGTCCTCTCTGTAAAAAATAGAAACATGCAAATATTCTCCATGTTTTTTATATTAAAATATTAGTAGCACTTTATGATAGGAATTATGACACCAGTTTGCTTACATAGACTCCTTCCACCCATCTTCAGTCTATAGTTTGTCTATGGTAAGAACTCCCTCCACCCCAAAGTCTGAGGCCATCTGCTACTATAGAAACAAGAATAACACATTTGAGGAAGGTAGTTTCTCTTCACTCTAGGGCTAACATAATAGACCAAAGAAAAATTCTCTTCTGACCTGGGCCAAAACTTGTCCTAAACTGCGACCCCACGCTCCTACTTAAAATAGTCATACCTCGTTACCATAGTCACTGCCATGGGTTCAGACGAATGGCATGGGGAGTTCTTACTTTAGACAAACTATAGCTTTTGCACTCTATTTTTATTTTATTTTTCTACTTTGAAAAAATTGAAGCCAGTTAATATTTTAATTTCCATTTCGTTTGATATTGATAATATTAATTTTATAGACAATCTGCGCATTCTGCATTCTTATGTATCCCTTATCTCGAATATATAAAAACAGTATAACATATCTAGCAGTATAAATACATAGATATTATTTTTCTTATTTCATTTTAATTCATAAAATGATATTTGGGGGAGATAGTAGTTATGGTATTAATTTGTTTACATTGTTTTTTTTAAAGAAATGCTGAGATTATTCTCTTTTATTTTCTGTTCAGGATTAAAATTTTAAATAAAACTAAATAGGAAAGCATTGTATTATTTTCAACAAATTTTCAAATCATTTTATCATTTATATCAACTTGCTCCTCCCGACCTTTCTTACTACTACCCCCACCAAAATGATATTAAATGATATTTGGTGGGGGTAGTAGTAGTTAGGGTAGTAATTTGTTTATAATGTTTTTGTTTTTTTTAAAAAAGGCTAAAATTATTCTTTTTTATTTTCTGTTTAGGCTTAAAATTTTAAATAAAACTAAATAGGGAAGAATTATATTATTTTCAACAAATTTAAAAAACGGATTTTTTAAAAATCATTTTAACCTTTATATCAACTTGCTCCTCCCAACCTTTGTTTAATTTCAGCATCCCAGAAATTAGTAGAAAGTATTATAAGGATAACAATTAATGAAAGAGGTAAATAAAATCATAAAATACGTACATTGACTAATGGAGCTCTATGCTGAATGATAACAAGTCTTTTTTCTTTACATTCATACACTAAAAATATACAAAATTATCTTATTTGACTGAAAAATTATTTTAAAATCACATTTTGAATAAATTTATAATTTATACATATAACAATGTGTAGCAAGAACATATACTGAAAAAACTATATTATAGGGAATATTATATCAGATACTTCTCATAAAAAAATACTATTTTAAGAACATTTTACAATGAAATTGGCAATTTAAAAACTTTATAACGAAGTGCAACACAATAAAAGAATAATTGTAGAAAACAAAATTTAAAAATATTTAAAAAATAAATACATATAGTTTAATAATGCCACATTATAAAATAACTAGTTTTTAACTGTTTTCAGATGGTTATTTAATGGTGCTTAAAACCCATTGAAAATTGTAAAAACAAAAGGAAAAATTAATCATGAAAAAATTTACAATAAAACTATTTTATGATTTTTTTTTTTTTTTTGCAAAATATTATTATAGAAAAAAAAATTAAATTGCAAAAATTTAAAAACAAAATTAAATTAAAAGCAAAAATTAAAATTTTAAATTTAACTTAAAAAGCTCTGAAAAATTTTATTAACATCTTTCTTATTGAAAAGAAGAAAAATATACAGATGGATAAGTCACAACATTTGTATTATTATTAAATTTTAAAGATAAAAATTTTAATTTAAAGAAAATTAAAAATCCTAATACATAATTATAGAAATTACTCCTTTTAAAAAATATAGTCCAATCAAAACATTATCTGAGCAAAAAAGAACAACTAATAACAATAAAGCAAGAACATATAAATATAAAAATAATAATGATTGTAATTACTTAGATTTAATTTTCTTGCATTATCCCAACAACATAAATGGCAATATTTAAAAAAATGAAAGGCCTTAAACTAACAATAAAAGTAGCAACAAAATAGTACCACCAACAGAGAAATTCTGAATATAATTGAAGCCTATTCACGATTTATTATAAAATGTTATTAGTACTAATAGTATTTAAATATTAATTTATAAAAATATTCTGTTTTTGTTCACAATATAATAAAATTCATAAAATTATTTTGCTTAACCATAACAACTCCATTTTTATGAATTTAGAGATAGTACTTAAGCTTGGTCTAATCTAATTTTTTATTACTTTGGAGATGATCAAATAATATTAATTAAAAAAATATTAAATATTTCTCAAATTATTATTTTATAATATTAATTATTATTTTGGAGTGTGTAATCTGTTTATTTCATTCTGAAAAGCAATTGTTATTAACTGTAAGCATGTAGAAAAATGTTAGTAAGTTTATTTAAAAAAATGTTTAATTCTTCTATTACTTCAAAAAAGATTCTGTTTTTGTTTTAAAAACAATACAAACTAACATTATATTTTTTTTAAAACTTTATTGATTTAAATTGATGAATTTTTTAAAAAAGAATCAGAATTAAGAATTTTAAATTGGATTTTAAGAAACAAACTTTAAGTTCGAATTTGATCCGAGTTTTAAATTTGATTTAAATTAAAGACATCATGGTATAGAGAAAAATATGAAATTGGCATATATATTTTTACATAACATTCTGGTGGGAGACACTTACTTTGACAACTTGTTGATAACTTATCGCTTTGGGGATCAAAAGCATCTGCTCCAGCAAAAGGTAAGAAACATGGATGATGGAGATAAGCAAGATTGTCTACATTTAGATTTCTAAGTAATAAATCTATTGCTAACTGCCCAACATTTCCAACAGCAATGGCAGGCTAGAATAAATTAATATTTCGTAAATTATATTCATCCACTATCAGCAATCATCAAAGTCTCATATAGTACTTGCAAGAAATTTTTAAAAAATATTTAATGGCTTGCTTGGAAGAAAAACTTTAGATTCAAGTTTGCTTCCAAAATATTTTTTCTGGTGTCAAGGGATGTCTCTATATTGGTACTATCTGTTTGCCAACCCTGACCCCAAGGGGCCAAAATGTAGATGTACTTTCAAAAATTAAAAAAAAATTTATGGTATGACCAGAGAGAGTATGAATCATACCCATCATGTTCGATCTCTTCTGTGATATATATACAGGGTGTTTATAAAGTCCCGGACCTATTTTGATGTTTAATAACTCATAAAATAATAAAAATAGATTAAAGTTAATAACATAAATGGTTAGATAGACTCAAAAAGCTTCATGACCCTTGTCAATGAACTTCCACGTGTGCCCCCTTCGTCGCACGGAGAATATCAAGTCGATAGCAATCATTTAATGAAAGCTTANATAACCTAAAATATATATATATATATATATATAAGTCTTACTCATGCCATTGCCAAATTGTTGTTGAAATTTGCAAATAATGGAGATCTTACCAAGTTACTAACATCAGATTATAGTCATAACTTAGTGACTATTTAATGGCGATATTTGTTATTAAAAAAAAACTTTTCTCTGGTTAATGTGAGTATTATGCAATGCAAGAAAGTAGAAACCATTATTAGAAATATTTCTATTATACTTTTTCAGAATGGACACCCGTTGGCTGAGTGGTAGCGTGTCACGCTCCCGTGCCACAGCTCCTGGGTCGGATCCTCAGCCCTCCATCCCTTCGGTGGGTCGATAAATGTGTACCAAGCATGCTTGGGAACTAAACAATGGGGGTACCGCAGTCGTTTGACCACCTGACCAGAACATCTGCTCCTGCACCCCAGAGCCCAAGGTCAAGAAAACTGAGATGGGCACAGTAGGACTTGGCTCTCTATGGGCTGTCACGCCATTGAGTTTAGTTTAGAATGATCTCCAGGTATTGACAGAAACTGGCCAGGAGCAAGAGAAGAAAAAAATACAGTTAGGAGAAAAATTAAGAGATATAATTCATAGCCCCTTTACAGAAAATCAATAAATATATAGATGCATACATATATTTTTTAAAACTTGAATTATATACAAGAATGGGCTGTGGCACTTAGGCAGTTGTAGTAAAATCAACAAGGCGGTATAGGAATATCATCCTAACATCATTCGAGAAACCTGAGACCAAATAAACATCAAACAATCAGATTGCTTAAAAATCTGCTAATTGTCATTATCCTTGAAATATATTGTTGCACAATCATTAAAAAAACAATCAATTTTAGAAATCGATCATTTACGGTTAAAAATACACAATAATAATATTCATTATTATTGTGTATTTTTAACCGTTTCAGAACAATAATAATACTCATTATGTCAACAGACAGTACGTAATTATCATTTATGACTACAAATTATTAGCTAAAACACTGTAAGTAATTAACAGTTATGGCAGAAAATTATTAAATACGAGGATGTGAGTAATTATGATAATCCTCCCAAAGAAACACTTCATTCCAGAATGAAAATTACACGAAAATCAAATTGAGCAGCAGAAATCAAAAAACTCTTTAAGGGCAATAATATATGGTTCGTAAATATTTTATTGTATAAAATCAAATCAATTCCAGAACAATTACAATAATCCCTCCCCACAATAATAATTATGAAAAACTAAAGAGAAAAAATTACGATTATAAGAATTAACAAAAACATCGTAATGCGTTCGTTGGTTACAGCGCTAGTTAATTGAAGAATCTGTTATTAAATACATGCTTTTAAAACCGTAGTATATTAAGTGTTGCAGAGTAATCTACATCATTAAATTACTAAGTTATCGGAGCCTCCTTAAATAAACCAATTTATTAAATGTTTCAAACGAAATAAGTAATGCCTACTAACCAAAATAAGAGTATAGTTTTCCAAATTTGTATTTTTTGTTTTTTCCCAGAATATGAAAGACATACTGAAAAATATGTTTCTATAATCGCAGGAAGGAATTAAAATATAACTAATTAATATTCTTAGAATAATATAAAACAATAATTTTTTCTTATTTGAAGAAATAACGCTGCTACCGCTCTCAAAAAATGTTTCGTCTGTTTACTATTTTTTGTCTTTTTGCCAATCATTTGTTTTGATTGCTACTTCGTGGTTATTTCACATCACTTCTTTTAAGCAAGCAATCATACATAATTAATGCTTACTGTGGAAAAACGCAATGACATCACAGAAACACACTTTCCAAAGCTGTACAGCAGAGTCCTCTATGAAAACTTTCCCTTAAAGACCATTCTCACTGTAGACTTGAATTGGAATGAAAACTTGATTGGTGAAATGGATGGTGTTTTCTACACTAGGGAACCCTGCAAGCTAGGTACCACCTAGATTTCCGGGTTTCTGTTTCCGTTGTATTTTAAAGCCATTTGGCATCGTTGTGTTTTGAGATTCTTGCAAACAATGTATTTGATAACTTATTACTTGTTTTTACAATGCTAACAATACTTGTGTTTACAATGCTAAAAATGTTAACACTAACGTAAGATGGTTCACGGCTTGCAGCAAGAACAAACAGTTATAAACTTATGGAAAGTGGCCAAATCAAGACTGCCAAAAAAGAGAGTTATTCAAAATCTAGCAACCATGTCGCCTTTTCTAATAATAAATAACAAAGGGTGGAATTCAACTGCAACATCGACTGTCTTAAGACGGGTGAAATCGTAACTTTCGCAATGCATGATGGGAAATCTCGTAAGTTTCAATTCAACTGAAACACTTACGTTGAAAATGACAAATCGGTCTTAAGACGGGTGGTTCGACTGACTTAAGACGCTCTAATCCAATATGGCGTTTGTGTTGTTTTGTTATGATGATCCGTTGGTGATCATGAAACAAAACTTACTTGTTAATTCTTAAATATTATTGATTTAATCCTTCTCATTTATCAGTCTGCACTTGTTATTAGTAATAATGTCTACAAAATTTGTTTTAAAAAGATAAATAAATACGAACCTAACACCTTATTTTTACTCTTATTCCTGTAAACAAAAAAGTATGTTTAATTTTATTTTTCCTGAACTGAAGTAAAACGTAAGAGTTCTATTGTTTAATGTGTGCATATTAAACTCTTTTGTATGTAAATTTTATTTGACTATTTTTTATATCTTCATCAAAGTTGTTTGCTGTATGTTTTGAACTAAAGCTATTATCGAATATAAATTTTTCTTAAAAGTACACGTTTCATACGTAAGTAATTTATTTGGTTACAAAGCGAGTAATCTTACGAAATTTAGTTAAAATTGTATCGATACACATTTTGTTATCTTTATTATTGTACAGTTATAAATTATGCTTATTTTTTATTGATATGCTTACGGATAATCTATTTGAGTTCTTAGGTTTATAAAATTTTAAACCCCTTAATGATTCTTGGTTTATAATAATTATTATTCATTTTAATTGTTAATAACTTTTAACTCTTTATCTTTTTAGATTTAACTGTTGCTAACATTTAATACTACAAAATGCACTAAATTTTTACCTTTTAAACTAAGAATAACTTTTTCATTGTTTTTTTTAAATTATTTATTTTTGTAGAAAAGTTGGTTTTGTATAAAGATATATTTATTGAAATCCTATCATAAAACATGTTTAACAATTTTAGAAATACAATTACTGATTTTTTAAACTTATATGTTCATTAAAAATATGGGATTATTTCTGTATCATGATTTGTCATGCCAACTACAATTGCTGAAGTCCCAAATAGCTTTTAAACTTGCAAATTTTTGTAAGAAAAAAAACATGTAGATGTTTGCCCGTGGGTGGCTACGAGTTATTCTTTTTGTGATGTTTTTGTTTCTCGTGGGCCGCTGCCCAGAAATTGCCGAGACTTGGCAATAAATTACGATCCGAAAATCTCCCAAAAAATATTGGCTGTGTGAACTTATTTTATTACAGACATAACTGCTGTTTATGGATGTAAACTTTACAGAAATTAGGAAGTGAAATGCTTACAAGCTTGGTAATTTATGCTTTTGTGATGGTGTAATAAAAAATTGCCATACACTCTAGCAGAAATTTGTTGGCTTGTTTTAAAACATCCAGGAGTGATTGAAGATCAGGATACAATTATTACCTGTTTCTGAAGTTGAATAGACTGTCTTTTATTGTTAGGTAAGAGTGCTTATAATTGATTCAAACAATTATTTAAATTTTTTAATTAAATCCCAATTAATAAAAACTAATTGCAGATTTGCAATTAGTTTTTATTAGTTAGGATTTATAGGTCTCTTTATTGGGTTATGTTAAATGAATAGTATTTAGTTGATGACTTGTTTTATATGTGTATCAAAAATTTTAAAAATACTGTGATCAAATTTTAAATTGCCTTATCACATATAGTATGCAAAATATATGTATTGTATTCTCTGTTACGAAGAGCATACTAATTTCCATAAATAAGTGCTGTTATGTATGAGTACTTGAAACAAATCTTGGATAATATACCAAAGGCGTTTCTCAACAGATATTTTTTTATACAGATTTCATTATTTATGTTACCAATTGGTAAAATTATAAAATAAAAATAATCTTAATGATTTTTTAATGGTGAATTTTAACTCTAATGCTGAACTCTTAATGTTGAATAATAACATAAAATTTTTAAAAACGAAAAACAACGTTAATATTCTAAACTCAAAATCATGGAAAAATTTAATGAGCACTTTCAAGCGCATTTACTGTTTCATGGTATTTAATTTAAAAGATGAGACTTGAAAATTTTTAACAGAATTATTTCCATATTTTGATAGCTATTCCTCTTTGATTTTACTTGAATAAATTTGGGTTAAGAAATTAGCTCTTGTAATTCTGTTGCTAAATGTTTTGTTTTTTCTTTTAAAAAATGACAAGTGGTGAAAACCCTAATTAATATTTAAAATTACTATTAGTATTAATATTTGTAATGAAAATTTCACTAATTGAGAAAAAATTTAAAGTTATATTACGTAAATAAGATTCAGAAGTAGTCTATCTTTTACTGTTAGGTACATGTTAATAGTAAATTGAAATTTATAATTTTTTAAATTTTTCAGTTCTTGCAGATTAGCATAAAGTAGTTATCAAATATGGTTTTTAAGTCAGTTTGTTTAGATACATAAAATAACTTGTATATAGCACTTAGGCTATCGAAATACATTTTTCTCACAAAAAAGATCAATAATATTTAACCGATTTTAAAATCTATTGAGTACTGACCTACTGATTCAAAGTCTATCATAATATGATTAAATCTAAGTTTGACTAACTTCAAAATATCTGTTAAATGCAGTTTTATTCTAAACCAAAAATCAAGTTTAGAAAATAACATAAATTAAGTCAGAGTTAATTAGTTAGAAATTTTACTTTTCTGAATAATGATTAGTAGTATTGAATTATAGTCTTTTTCAATTTTATATCAATATAGTCTTTTTCAATTTTATATTTATTTTCATAGTTATTTTCAATTATTTTTAATTTATTATCTAAAAAGTTAGTGGTCTAAAGTTTGTTTTTTATTTAAAAAGAAGCAAGAAGCACTGATAGCAACTTTAGAAATAAACTATAATATGGATTTTACTAAATTAAGTTCCAGCTTTTTTGTTCAATTTATAATGGTATTCATTTGAGAATAAAGTGCTTTGAATCATGTTAAAAGATAAGTTTTTTTCTTCCAAAAATTATTCCCCTTGAAGTGCATTTCTGCTAAAAGAGGGACAGGTTAACTTAATGTGATAGAAATCGATATATAAAAGGCACAAGATAAATTAAAGCATACTGATAAGCTTATACTCATGAATGTCATTCTTAAGAGTAAGAATTTGTTCAAATAAACAATTTCACACTCAACTAACATATATCTCATATTTACTTTTGGCTAATGTAGGATTCAGTGTTACGATTTAATCTCATTAAAAGTAGCATACAACAATGCATTTATTAAAATATTAATAGTCATTAGCTTCATTGTTTTTCTTTTTTAAAGTGATTAACAACAATTAATTCAAAAGTACACTCAACAACAAACAGCACCGCATAGATAATTAAATTATTATTTGTAATTGAGTTGTTTAAAAATATTGTTTTTATACATATAAAATGTGCTATGAGAAATTATTATTCTCATGTCTAGCAAAATAGTTAAATATTTTATAAAGCCTTTCTACCTTAGAATAAGCATCAGTAATTTTTGAAGTTAATATTAATATTGATAATTATTTGAAATATGTTACTTTTCATTTATAAGACTATGCATTAACCAATAGGAAACTAAAAATTAATTCAATGCACAAAATAAAGGTTCTTTTTAATTTATTTTATAAATAAATGTTTTTTCTTTCTCTTTTACTACCATCATTAAATTTATTTATTAAAATTTTTAAACACCTTAGAACTAAAACTATTAATAATAAAAATAACAATTGTTATTAGATATGTGTATGATTTTATTTAAATCTTAATTGTTTTTCTTTCGTTGGATCACATTGAAAATTTCTGCAATCACTATTGTTTTCGTAAACAATTTTCGAATTTATATTTTTATTTTCAAATAAATTTAAAACATCAACGATTAATAAACGGAAACTAATCATGGAGCTTTTAAAGAAGCTTTATTACGCGACATGCGATTTATGCTTGTAGCTTTCTTTTCTTGTTTATTCACTGTGCAAAAGAATCTGATTGGACAAAAATATTTTGACGTCACTGCTGATCGTAGGGAGAAACAGGTAACAAAATCCCCGTCTTAAGCCAGGGTAAATTTAAGATACGACGCAAGTGTTTCACTTGAATAGCTATTTAAGACGATAGGCGTTCGCATACGTCGAGTGGCGTGTCTTAAGACTGTTTCAGTTGAATCCCAGCCAAAATAACTAAAACAAATTTTCACTCCAAACTCCTCAGAATTACATAATAACATTAATATCTTACGAAATACGGCAGATTTGAGCTCAGAAATCATCTAATTTATTTCTCTTATTAAAAACAAAATTATCCGTTTGAAAACATCGCCTATCAGAATAACATGTAGTAAGCAGCTGCAAACTTTTTAACCGGAACTAGAGTAGGTGCCGAGCTCGAGATTGTTATTGTTTACATTTCTACTGAAAACACCATCCATAA